TTTAAAAATACAAATTAATATGATATATCTTCAGTTAATCTTTTAAAAAATAACATTACATTTTTTAAAAAAATATAGCTCCGCGGTATACCGCGGGTTAAATTCTAGTTGTGAAAAAAATTCGTCCAATATACCCTACACAAAGCCATCTCAAAATCCTCTTTCAGCGAAGTAAGCCCATTTTACCGCATATATTATTCTCAAATCAGAGAGCATTTAGTACTAGTGAAAAAAGTTCAGATTTGGTCTCCTCCTATATATGGTTAGCTATCAAGCTCTAAGTGTGTAACCTCCAAAGCCGACATTGGGAAAGAACTGGAAATTATACGTTAGAACTTTTTGTTCCACATTTCGCTTCATATGCTCAATTAGGTCGGTGAAATTGGTAATTTTAAACATTACGATAAATGTAACCAATTTTTGTCAGACAATTTCGGTTTGCAAACGATTTACTCATATTCCTTGATGATTCGCTTCAATCTTTTTTAAATCGTGTCTAACTAATCAAGATCGCTGGTTTGAAGCTTAGCCTTTAGGACATTCATTAAAATCAATGACACAAATCTGTGATGGGCCTTAGACCATGTGCAATGGTAAATGAGTGTCCCGTCCCTTATTTAAAAAAAAAAAACAAGTAACCAATCGCGGGCCGCCACGTATCAGTGGGGCCCGCGAATAGTGAAGGACGAGAAAGAGGGACGTCCCAAATAAAGAAACGTCGCATGGTTTTGGAGCAAAGGTCGCATGGTTTTGGAGTGGGGCCCAGCGTGGGACTTTGTCAAGGAACGTTGCTGCAAGTGCTCTTAGGCTTTCAAACAGGTCTGTCAGATGCCCAGACTCTCCTTTACTCAGCCGACGACTTTTCACCAAGTTTCCAAGTCAAACGGAATTGAAGACCACAATCCTTCAACTTATTTAAACCATATACAGTAAAACCTCTATAAATTAATAATATTGGGACCATGAAATTTTATTAATTTAGAGAGGTATTAATTTATCGATAAATTAATTTATAGAGAGATTTTACTAATTTTGTAATTTCTTAAAAAAAATTCTATCTAAAAATAATTTTTTTCTTTATAAACAATATCTTTTAAAACTAATTACAAGTAAAGAAACAATTATTAAGTTTAAAAAACAACACAAACTTTTTTTGAATAATAGAGTCATATTTCATCAAATTTTTTACATATAATATTTTTCAAAATATATCATAGTAATTCATATATAACATATATAAATTTATATAATGTATATATATATATATATATATATAAATATTGATAAGTTAATACAATTATTAATTTATGATAAAAATAGGACCATATGTTTACATGAGATTTTCAAAAAAATTATTATCTTATTAATTTATCGATTTATGTCATATTTTACACTGGTCCCAACTCGGGACCGGAAGAATTTATTAATTTAGAGAGGTTATTAATTTATAGAGTATTAATTTATAGAGGTTTTACTGTATAGCTCAATCTCCAAACTTAGCTTGATTTTATTTAAGGACTCCGATAACCGGATTTAGTTACACATTCTCAGCTCCTGGTTTATTCATTAAATAAGCTGGTTAAGAGAGTTGTGATGTTTGATGTTGGATACACGTGTCCCGCAGTTATAAACTGCATTGATTTGGACGGTCATTGACATTTAGCATAATACGGCTATTAGTTGTTAAATCTCCGATTACTAACCAGTAACCACCATCTCCGACCATTTTACCTGTTAACTTTTATTTAAGAGAATATATGTACAATGAAGACCTGGCTTATAATCAATACATATATCTTAAAATAATCAAAGATAGACGACAAAAAAAATTAATGTACATAGTACACGTATGTAACTGATAAATATATATATATCAATGTACATATTAGTATATTACTAGTACTCATAACTGAAAATAAATTAACTTGCTGTAGTGTAGGATACGTCCCTTAGTTACACATTGCATTAAATTGAAATATGAACGGTTATGAAATACTCCTTAGTCCTTACACATAGCTGACAAACTATTGATTTTGTACACATATGATTAGCGAAGCATATATATTACCAGTATTATTATCCAAATTCCAAATTAATCCTCTAAAGCGCCCAAAAGCATGATTTCTTAAAATACGAAAATATACAAAATTTATATAAAAAATAAAAGTAACTATATTGATGTTTATAGACACTCGTAACATACTAAACAATGTGATACTATTGGCCGGTTACGTATGAGTCATATGATATGACTATTGCAACACATTCTTTCACGTTAGTGGAAGATACTAGAATAAATGAACGAAATAAATGCATATATAACGTCTAACAAACCCTGCTTAGTCACCATTTTTTTCCCATCTAAAATCACTATTTAAACCCATCATCACCTCCCACTTTTCTCACATCCAATAGCAAAACACAAGCTTGGAAAACAAGACTCAACTAAACCTCTACTTTTGTTTGTAATCACCCAAAAAAAAAGAGCAAACACAATGGCTTTGGCTCTCAGGTTCTTCATATGCTTCGTTTTGACGGTGTGCATAGTTGCATCAGTAGATGCAGCAATCTCATGTGGCACAGTAGTAAGTAACTTGGCTCCATGTGTCAACTACCTATCAAAAGGTGGTGTGGTACCGGATCTGTGTTGTGAAGGAGTTCAAAAGTTGAACGGTATGGCTCAAACCACACCGGACCGCCAACAAGCATGCAAATGCCTACAGTCCACTGCAAAGGGCATTTCTGGTCTCAACCCAAGTCTAGCCTCTGGTCTTCCTGGAAAGTGCGGTGTTAGCATTCCCTATCCCATTTCCTTGAGCACTAACTGCGACAAGTAAGCTCTTTTATTGTTGTACATATATAGTTAGTCTCCTCTCTTTTTCTTTTTAACTTAGCTACGTACTCGTTCTAAACACCATGATATAATTTTTTATAATTTCTTAACATATAGTCTTGATCGTTTTTATTGTTGCAGCGTCAAGTGAAGTTGGAGCTTACATGTATCATCAGATTATGGTTTAACATAAGTAAAATAAAATACGTCTATGTACGCTGATGTCACCGTGCCTTTTTCTTGTGGCTTTGTAATCTTTTGCTTTCTTCTGCTTCTGTTGTATCTTAACATGTTTAAGATAATAATAGTGCCTTAATCCTCTTTTATTATATATTTTTCCAACGCCTTATCTCGCAATAATCTTAGTGACAAGTTCTCTAACAAAAAAAATCACGGATTTAAGGATGGAGCGAAAATATAAAACTGACATTGGTAAGGAAAAATGGTGAAAACTTGTATATATTTTTTTAATTATAATAAAACAGATGTTAGCCTAACGATGATCACCAACACTATTAATTAACAACATCATTTAAAAAAAAAATTAATATATATAATACAATTACTATATGACTCACCACCAAAACATCTCAATTTCAATATGCGTAAAGACAACTTTGAACTTCAATGATAGAAGTCTTCTATTTCACCTTTTTATGTTCATATGGAAAACTTGAAATTCTTATATTTCAGTGATATTTTCACAACAGATTATATATTTCCGGCCCTCACGTTAGAACGTGCATATAATCGCGTATATTAATCTACATTTAAATAAGCTAAATTTTGTTTTTGTTTTTAGCGTTTTGGTAAGAATATGGGCGAAGTTATATTGCCATGTCTATAAACTTCCATTCACCATCTCATCACAAAAAATGGAAATCGATTTCAATATATTCTTAACGCGTCATTAACAAATAGATTTAGCTTCATAAGGTCTTTTCTCCCATCCATAACACTGACCCTTAGTGATTTCGGAGAACCCACCCAACTCCACTCTGATTTCCCACCATACATAAGGTCTTCATATGTATTACTTTTGACCCATTCTCGTGGAGAAGGGTTCCACTTGATACATGTATTTCATGCTCCAGCTTGAGTGCTCCTACGTTCACTTCGATTTCCCCACTCTTCTACATCTTCCAATGCCTTCCTTACAGTGTCCTGTGCATTGAAATCTTTTCCTTTTAAATATAACTATTTCTGTTTCCAGAGCTTCCAAATCAGCCATGGCACTGTTTGAATTATTATTTTTTTTGCTGAGGGTGAAACTAGTTGATTTTCATGACTTTATATGCGTATAAACATAAGTTTAATTTATTTATACATATAAAATCGCACATTCAATAGTAAGAAAATAAAAAAACAATATAACTCACTCGATAATATTCTGTTGAAGTTATGCATTAGCTTTGCCTTTTTATAGTATATTTTTTTTTTTGCGAAGATCTTTTTTATATCTATAGATATATTTACTATCATACAGAAAAAGCGGACGGAGAGCAAAAATATAAGACTTTGAAATTGCTAAATTTGTCACCACTAGTGGTTTTGCATTTCTAAATTAGTCACAAAATTAGCTATATATTTTGCATTTTTAAACTCCCGGCCCTAATAAGAACCACAAAAATCTATTGCTAAATTTGTCGTGAATTCTCGAGGATTCTAGCCGTAGCCAATTTTGTTGGCAGTAGCTACGGGCGACAGATGACAATAGATCTTAATTCACAATGAAGCAAAGGCAACATATTTCATCTTTTGCCATTTTGGTTTTAGTCACAAATTTGATCATAGTATTCAATTTGATATATAACTAGATTATATATTAAATATGATTAATTATAGTCACATATACATTTTAATATAATGTCTATGTAGGCCTCCAATATATAACCATATGAATTAAGTTCATAATTACCAAGTTAAATTAGTACGGCTATATAAATTTAATTTTTGAAGAAAGGTAAAAGAAATAAATGAAATTGAAATATTCAGTGAAATGATTGTATATTTATTAAATGAGTATGATATTTATCTTTATATTGAAACATTAAATTTTAATTGCGACCAAAATATTTAATTACATTCCATTGCATTTCAAAATGTTCATTAGTTCCTTAGTTTGAAACAAAAAAAAAAACAAAAAAAAACAACTAACGATAACATAAAATATAGGGATGGTTCATTAACCCCTCGTTACAACGCATTTCCACTACTATCGAAACGACTAGTCCCACCAGAGAAGAAGTCAATAAACGGCTGCTCTCGGCCACCGCCATCGCCAGAACAATCCCCCGGAGAATCACTACCAAGGGCAAAACTGGAATTTCCAACACCATCGTCATTGGTCGCATCCAAAGGCTGAAGTGGAAAAAGAGGGAGTGTTTGCCGTCCACTGGAATTGCCGTTAATGCCCTCACCGTAATAACAGTGATCACGAAGGGCAAACCTGTCATATCTGAGTGAACTCGAAGACATTGGCATTCTAGTTGTTGTTGTGTCTGACAGTTGTTTCTTATGTTCTGTGATTATCCGTTTCTCGTCGCCACCACTTGGAATCATTACATTGTTTCTGTGAAGAAGGCCGTTCGTGTATACACTTCCATTTTGATGATTCAAACCTACTTGCTGCAAATAGTACGGACTAACACAACCCACTTCATAACCAAAAAAAAACAATTTCTTTCAGTAAATAGTAAGTCCCAATTATTGATAACAATGAAAAACAACATAAACTCACAAGAAAACGGAAGAAATCTGCTAATCCAGAGTACATAATTTGCTAATAAATATCTCAAAATAGTTCCATGATAATCCTTTAGCATCCGATGATATGTTCTTATGATAAATTTTTACAAAATCGATTTGAAACTCAGACAAAAGGACAAAACTCAATTATATGTATTCAATGACATGTTTCTTGTAAGTTTTTTCATCGTCCAGATGTATTTCACACGCTTTATTTTCAATTCTTTAATACGGAAAGAAAACGTCGTCAACAAAAAAAAGAACCTATGATGTATGGTCTAGAATTTTTTGAAAATTATAAAATAGAACGTCGAAGTTTACGTATAAGTAAGAGAAAGGATGAGAACTACGTGCCGTTTGAACAAAGAGGAGGGTGGAAGAAACGGGAGGTTTTGTGGAGGAGACGATTGAAGTAAGCCATGCGCTCCTGTTTCTGCTTTTGGCGTTGTCTAGCCTTATGGTTCTGAAACCAGTAAAAGACGTTTTTACCCTCGATATGGCCGTACGCACGGAGCCTACCGGTGATCTGCTGAATCTGATCGGCGCTCGGAGTTCGAATCCCTTGCTTGTAAAGATTCTCTAGTAGCGTTATCTGATCCTTCGTTGGGTTCCATCTTGAACTGCTTGCCGTTCCTACGTTTCCTTCGTTTTCCATTTATTTGTGTCTAAAAGTTTTTTTTTTGGGGAGAGAATTAGGGTTTTAAAGGCGATTTTTGCATGTTGGTTTGAATGATGCATGAAATTCATGGGGAGGCTCTTATATTTATATTGTGAGTTAGTGAGGGAGTGGAACAGAGTCAAATGAAGAGAGAGATAGTGACATGCGTGTTGTTTTTTGTGCTAGAGACTCTGAAAACATCGTGTGGAGCGGCTGAGATGGTAAAAAAGAGGCTACTTTTTTATGAGACGACAAATAGAAAGAAAAAAAAAACAATTTGGATCTATTCTTGTTTTTTTTTAATAATAAAAACATGTTGCATTGCATTGTATAATTAATTTAGTATAAACTGCGGCTAATAGAAAAAGAGAGAAGGCAGTAGTACTTGTCAATGTCAAATTGTCTATAACACATAAAAATGTTTTCCTATGTGAATTTTAATATATTCCATAATGGATATAATTCTTCAGTGGATACTGTGTATAATTGTTAATTGCGTACTTTATTATTTTTTTCTTATTCTTTCTGGGGATTACGGATGTTTTTTTTTGAATTTAATGAAGAAGAGCAAGTTTTGGAAATGAAAGAGATTTTAGTAAGGATAAATACGAACGTTAAATATTAGAGGGCGGCAAAAGATAGCTGGTTGGATTGTGTTCTTTGTAGGTCATGAGAAGCCTACATATCTAGTTCGCTTCGGAAATTGACATATCTTATATTATCATATTTCTTTGTAATATTTGTATTTATATAAAACGACAATATGAAGTCGAGTAGCTTGGCTCTTCGATTTCTTAACGATCACGAAAAAATTCAAAAGATTCGAGCAAAGAAACAAACACTTGATTATATTTAGTAAACCGTCAAAATAGAAAACTCTTTCGCCTCGTGGTCTCATTTCTGATGTCCATTCAATTTTTCCTAGGTGAAGAGGAAATGGCGAGTTCAAGTTTGGACCGTCATTTTCTTTCAGATAGAATCTTATTATTGATATCCGTACGAGATATATATCAAACATTTTCATAGGTTTTTCATTAAAAATTAAAAGTTTGTAAAATAGAGCATACTTTAGTTGAGCGGCAAATCTCACCGATATGCTTAACGTATGCACAAAACGTTTATTTGGAACTATATATTGGTAATATAACAGTAAAACATAACTGAAAAATATTACAGTACATCGCATATATTAAACACAATTTTCTAATGAAAATTATTTAAGAATGATATCTAACTGTAATAACTACAAAATTTAATAAATCAATAAAATGAAAAATGGCTTCAGAAAGCTGTTTTTTGGAGTATATTCGTTGTATACTTGTAGATGAAGCAATCGTATGTACAACGCTTCAATGTCGTGTTTGTGGTGTTTAACTTTTCTTGTATATAATTGCACTATATAACATATACAGTCTGACGTTAAAAAAAAAAAACATACTATACAGTAATAAAAATAAACACACTTTTCAGTTTTCACGGTACATAGACAATTATACAGACGTACTTTTAAACATTGCTATCACATATTATCACTTCCTCATCCTCTTATATTATCTTTACTTACAAAATAATTTGTAAAGTAACATAGTGAAACATACTTGATTTGTTGAATACCCTCGTCTTTAATTGTCTTAGATTTTTCCATCACAATCTTGGCTAAATACATATTGACTTCGATTAGTAATATAGTATTGCATAACTATATAATGATATAAGTTGCAGAATGAAAAACATATATAAAATTTTAAGGAATAAAAAATCGCAAAATAAAATTTGTACTAATTGGATATATTTGCAGACTAACAGAATAATTTCTTGCATTTACATAAATAACTATATACCTATTTAATTACATAATAAATTTTAACTTATATTATAGACGAAAACGAAAATTCTGCATTTTTTCGTTTTCAAACAGTATATAGATTTTTTTCTATAAAATATTTACATAATCACATTAAAACACCATTTCATCATTATGTGTATTACCAATAAAAGTCATTCCTGAGGAATGACTTTTCTGAGTGTTATTTAATTTCGGATGACAAAAAAAAAAAAAAACAATTAAAGCCATAAATATAGTATGTTACATGTTTCATAAGTTAGCTTTCAATTCTGAAAACTAGACTAGTCAAACAAAAAGTCAGAATTAAATTTGACACAGTTCTGATTTCTGACTAACAGAAGGATGCCATTGTACGACTATAAAAATTCATCGTGTTTACGCCACGAACTTTAGATATAGAAATGTGCAATACGCATATATATAGACTGTAAGAATTTGTGAAAAGTTGGCATGGGGAATGACAAATTGTGAAAGCAAAAGACATGCATGGCTTCAATTTGAGTCTCTATTAGGCACCTACATATCTATAGGAGCAGAGATTTGCCTCGAGAAAGAGTGAGACATATAACACTCTCCAATCTCTTCATTGATTTTCATGTTTTAGTGAAATTTGAGCCAACTTTATTCGTTCAGCAAATATTTTACATCTTGTTTTCGTTTAATCCAGATAAGAATGATAATCACGATGGCAGTTTTATTTAATTTTTTTTTTTTGGTCTCTAAAATGAAAATAATGTTTAATGTACAATCAGCATAATACTACTAGTCTACTACGATAGAATATAATTACCTAATTTTATTTATACTTTTAGAAATAGCACTCCCTAAAATGAATTCCTCTTATCTGCTATTTTTCTATTTATTATATATATAAACAAAAAAAATTTAGTGGTTTTCTTGCAAAACAGTACCTTTATTTGTGCTATGAGTTTCATCCACTCTGTTTGTTCTGCTTTATTATTATTATTTTTGAACCTGAGATTTGTAGCTGAACTATATATTACGTATGTATAACTGCCGTAAAAGGCAATTTTGTCTCCTTTGGCTTTGTGTGGTGTCCTTGGCTGTAGTAGACCCTTGTAGCCACGCTTTTACACGTACGTATATTCACTATCTATATTTTATACACGTATTATACTATTTTGTACTATTGTACGTACGTGCTACTTTTTTAGTATGTTATGTTTACTATTAAAATTAGATAAAATACTGTTATAAATTATAACCCATTTACACGTTCGTGGCTTTTGTTCTTTCATCTTCCAGAGATATTATCTAAAACTCCAGAGTAAGAATGGAAGGAGATTTAAATAATATTATATAACAATATTATTGTGAAAAATATACAATGAGACTTTTGGAAGAGGTAGAGCTGTTCCTAGGATTTAGGAGATCTTAGCTAGAATTTTTGTATTATACTTCTTTTTTCATGTAAAGTTTGTTTACTAATTTGCTAGGATCAAAAAGTTTTTGAAGAGGAAGACTCGGTTTCTTCTTTTTTAAGGATTAGATAAAGTACTTTTTTAAGTTGTAACCCGTTTGCACGTTCGTGGCTTTTGTTCCTTTATCTTCCGAAGATATTATCTAAAACTCTAGCCAGGTCCGGCCCGCCACTAATTCTCAAGAAACAAAGGTATTGGATCTTCATAATTTTTTAAAAATTAGTATCAAAATTAGGCCCCAAAAATATTTATTATTGCAAAATATAAACCTCGTTTTTCTAAACTTTTCAGTCTCAATTTTTAAATATTATTTTTTCTTATTACAAAATAGGCCCCATTTTTTCTTACATTTTAAGATTTGATCTCAAATTTTAAATTTTTCTATGATATCCATCAAAAAATTTTGTTTATATTGGGCTCTATATTTCACAGGGCCGGTACTGACTCTAGAGTAAGAATAGAAGGAAATTCAAATAATATTATGTGCCTATATCGTTGTGAAAAAGATACAGTACAATGAAACTTTTGGAAGAAGTAGAACTGTTCATAGGATTTAGGAGGTCTTAGCTAGAATTTTTGTAATATACTTTTTTTTTTCCTATAAAGTTTGATTACTAATTTGCTAGGAACAAAAACATATTTTTTGAAGAGGAAGACTCAGTTTCTTTTTTTTTTTGTACGAAGATCATAGTATTGGTTTGGGGTTTTGTTTTGTCATCAACATGAAACACATTATATTAATTAATCATAGCATAAATCACACAAGATTACAAATTTTGGTTGGTATAGATTTAGATTTTAAAATATAACATTGAAAAATGTTTAATCCGTTTTACTTCTTAAGTTTCAGAGCAAAATGTATATTTTATGGATCAATTATAGAATATTTCATTACTTTTTGTCAAAAGTTTCAAATTGCATGTGTGTAAACCTATGTTGGTATAAACCTATGTTGAATGGAAACACTCTTCGACATCCGTTTCCCGTTTCGGAAACAAAAACTATTGGAAACACGAAAAACGCTACGGAAACGCGTTTCTTAAACATATATATTCGGAAACACAATGGAAACGCGACAAATTTTGTTTTTTAATTTAGAAATTTAAGAAATAAAAGTTTGGAAATATTAAGATTTATAATACATAGAACTAATTTTGGAATTGATGAAAATAAAAGTTTATAGGATTTATAATATTAAGATTTAAAATAAGACAAATTTTGTTTTTTAATTTAGAAATTTAAGAAATAAAAGTTTTAAATTTTTTCTCTCGACAAACCAAAGCCAAAGACAGTAATGTTTGATGGAATTGATGAAAGTAAGAATAAAAATGATGGTCTAAATATTTGAATTTAAGCTTTTTAATATTTATTTTTTACAATTTTAGTTGGACTATTTAATATTTATGTTTTAGATAAATATATATTTATACTTTGCCAAAACGTTTTTATTCCTTAATTTTGGAAAGAAAATTGTTTCTCTTTTTCAAAACGTTTCGTTTCCGCTTCCATGCAACATAGGTGTAAACATATACATAATTTCTAGAATTTTTGTAAAGAATTCCGTACAATTTTTAAAATAGTCTATTTATCCCTTTTTAATTTTTATATTATGTAAATTTAACACTACATAGATTTTAACATTAAATAAAGTGGTTAATGCTTTCGCATGTACTCCTATCTATAGAGTTTTACACAAACACACTACTCAAAACTTCCTCACTATTTGATCATAGCGATTAGCGCTTGAAAAACATACAATATTAAAATTTTGATATAAATAAAACATTAGTGAAGATCACGCGGTGGTCTTTGAAGTTTTAATCTTTTTCTCCGGGTCTGATCCGAATCCGATATAGAAATTCAGTTCCTATCTCCAGTCGGTTTAACTCCGGTTCAGCTGAGTCTTCGGTTCATTGAAGCTGCCTAGTTATCCACCGGAGAAAGAGATGGGCTACGGTTTGTTGGAAAGCCCAAATAAAAAAGCTGGAAGAAAATCCATCGTCTTCTCTTTAACAAATTAGAACAAATCATCTTATAGACCCAGTATATATTTTTCTTGCAACTTATATTTATATATTTTATCTTTCGGCAACCTCTAATTACAGTACATATTATAAAAAGATAAATGAAATATGGTTTTTTTTAACACAAAAAATGAAAAAATAAAAAATTATATATCTGAAATACAATTTTGTATTGTTTGGTTTAGCGTGGCTTTAGTGTAAATTGTCTCGAGTTTTATCAAAATTAAATAGTCAAAATTTATTCTAACGGTATAAATTTGTTTGTTAAAATAGTAAACATAACACAACAATTCGTAAATAGTGAACATAAAAACACACTTTCTGTCTATTTAACAATTTAAAAATCACCGATAATATTGGAATCAAAACAAGGAAAACAAACAGCTATAACGAGTTTGTGGGCGACGGTTGTCTAACCCTTTGGTTCTGTGACTTCTGTCTATTTATTATCTTATCCAATCATATTTTCTGGGTTCCCCTCGTGGCTTCTTCAATTATTATTCCTCACAAACCTTTCAATTTTAAAATGTTGCTACATTTGCTCTTTAAACTTCTTTATACGAAGAAAAAAAGATTGCAATTTTATTAACTTTTGCTTTACTGTATTTGGAATAAGTATTAACACTTTTATTATAACCATATACGTTTGATGGTTTTCAAAATTCATATGTATGTATATGATAAATATTTAGTAAGAAATTGAAAACAGGGATACATAAATAACATAATTGGTAACTCACATACCCGACCATATTATTGAACAACTGTCTAAACACTTTCCAGATTATTGCAATTGACTAAACATTAACATAAGTTAACATAAGTTATGAGAAAACGCCATTTAGCAAATTAAAACATATCTATACTCTTAAGTGAGAATGCGAAGATAACACTAATTGCAAAGTATATGAACATTTAAATATTTGAAAGTATATAATATAGATGTGTATTGTTGTGGAAGACACGCGGAGGAGAATCTTGGGTTGTATCGACAAAAAAGAAGAGAATCTTGGGTTGATGGCTATGACTGTTTTTTCACTGTGTAAGCTCAAAATTTCCTTTTTAAGAGCGTATCTATTCTTTGCTTCTAATAAAGAAAAAGTTTTCCCCCAAAAGGTACGAGTTATTTGAAAAAAAGTTCAAAGGTGTGAAACTTGGTAAAGGTTGTAATGGAGTTACGAAGAATAAATGTTTGATTGGTAATTGTAGTTGTAGAAAGCAGAAAACAGTAATTGTAAGATGTATATAGGCATATGACGGGATAAAAAAAGATGTAAATAAGCAAAGTATATGGAGCTCAGCTGTCGTTTGTTTTGTTTATTTCGACGGGATACAAAAACAGAAATTCTTTTTAATTAATACTAATAATATTTCTATTAATGCTTTTATTATAAAATGTTGTGGAGTTGTACATACAAACAAAATTAGTGCCTACCAAAAAAAAAAAAACAAAATTAGTTATAACGTGGACCGTTCAATTCTTGTCTATTTATAATATTTTTTTGCAGATATAAACTGAAACGATATTACAATCATTGTAACCTGAAAAAGGCTACCATTTCAATTATAAACAACATTATCATTAATTAAGCTCAGACTTTAGATACCGATGACATTCACTTTAAAAAAATTATTTAGGATAGCCACAAAAATATGAGCTCAAACTTAAGATAGAAATGACATCTTGGTAAGAAACTGTATCCAAATAAAAACGGAATAAGTGGTAGTATAATTTAGTATTATTGGCTTAGGTGTCTTCCCCGCACGAGTGGCCAGCGTTTGCAACATACTTAGAGGCGGTTCAGAGTGACAAGGAGGAGTTTGATGTATTTTCATTATCTTTAGTTTCTCGAAATGCAAATGTGAAAGCGGATAAACTGGCTCGAACTGTTCGTACTCAGCCGCATCTTATCACTTATGTAAACAATTTTCCACAAAATTGGCTTATTTGAGCCAATCTAATATAGCTGTTGACAAAAAAAAAAAAAAAAACTACTTTTATAACTATAAATCTAAAACCCCCATTTTTTTATTACAAACAAACTATAAACTAAAATAATCAAATAATGAATTAATGTGTTTATACTTTAACACAAATGAAAGTATAAAATCTGCATATGCAAGTTGACATCAGCTTCTGGTCATTATTACTTACTACCTCAACATTATACAAACAAATGCTTTTACTTAAAGAGAAAATACAAATAATTACATTAAAATACTGATTTTGTGTACCATAATTTTTCTCTCTTTTTTTCTTTCAAAATGTTGAGTTAAAGGCACCAAGACTTGGTCCTTTTGTGCCAAGTATTTCAAAGAACCCAACTTGTGAACCTAAATTGCTTTGAAAGAGAAGTTCCTCTCTCTGTTTCACTTAAAATAAGACAGCACAAAGAAAAAAAAAAAAACTATCTTTCTCTTTCAATTCTAATTTCTCTGCTCACCATCAAGGCAAGTTTCCTTCTTTTGCTCCTCTTAACAATTTCCATTTTTACAAAAAAAAATATCTTATTTCCAAAAGTTTCACACATTTAGGTTTTTCTCAATCGTTATATATGGTAACCAAGTCTTATTCCAATCCTCTGTAATTCACACAAATTCCTTAGCCAAAATAAGGTTTTTTTTTAATGTGATGTGAGAATTTGGGTGAAGAGAAAGATGAAGACTATTAGTGGATTAGGTATTGGTTTGAGTTTAGTGTTTGGGTTTCTTCTACTAGCACTTGTTGCAGAAGTCTATTACCTTCTGAGATGGAAGAAGCACAAGAAGAGAGTCACAAGCCAAGAGAGTGAAGAAGAGAAAGAAGAAGAACAACCAAACGGATACGCTAAAGAACTTATCCAGCTCTTCTGCTTCAAAAAGCCTCAATCTCTGCAGCAAAACAATGGAGGAAGAGAAGGTGAAATCTCAATGAATCAAGATGGGAATCCAGATTTGGAACTAGGGTTGATGAAACACTTGAATGGAGGAGATCTAGGGTTTGAAGCAGAGCTTATGAAGCTTCATAACCAGAGGTTTCTATTCACAATCATGGAAGAGACAAAAGCAGATTTGGAATCTGATGATGGTAGCAAATCAAGATTTGGTTCAAGATCAAGAAGAAGAAGCTTGAGTGATGTTCCTAATGACTGTAATACCCCTGGATTCACTCCATTGGCTTCTCCTACTACACTAAAGTCTTCTCCTTTGGAGTCTTATCCACACCATGGATTCAATCCTCTGTTTGAATCAGACGGTGAGCTTGAGTTTAACAAGTTTTTCAGGTCGTCTTCTTCACCTCCACCGAAGTTTAAGTTCATGAGAGATGCTGAAGAGAAGCTAAGGAAGAGAATGATTGAAGAAGCCAGAAGAAGAGAAGGGTTAGCTTCGGTTGTAACACAAGGTTCGTTTTTGAAGTTCATGAATCCTGCGATAAACAGAGAGAAGAAACAGAGTATTCAAGAATCTGATGAAACGGTGTCGTTTTCTCCTTCTTCTTCTTCAGGTACAACAAATCTTAGAACGTTAGTGGTTGTTTAGTTTTAGCATCTCTAGCTCTACTCTTTTAATTTTTAATTTTTGGTTGAAATTTTTTTCAAGAATTTCAATTTTATTTGTGTGAAAATTCTATCTTTCCTTTCTCTCGTTCTTGTTATTTGGGAATGATTTTCTTCTGTACGTATCAATCTGAAAAATTTGCAGATGCTTGTTTTAATTTCGTCTTAAGAAAAATTATAAGCTGATAGAATTATAGAATTTGTTCTCTAATTAAAAACACTATAATTATTTGTTAGGTTTGAAAGTTGGGGTTAATAATTTGCAGATGCTTGTTTTGTATAAAGCTTTGAGAAAGTAATGTAAAATAACATTGTGTTAGGTTTGAAAGTTGGGGTTAATAATTCAAATCTTTACAGCGCCACATGTTGAAATTTTCAGCCTCCTTAAGTGTTTTTTTTTTTATCTACTAGAATAAAATATTACTTTAAGTAAACGATAAAAAAGTGTAATGGTCTTGCTGTCAAAAAAAAAGAAAAAAAATGTATTGTTCTTTGATAATTAGTATAAGTGCTTTAAAGCCCGTAAATTATGGCACAACAAAGCATGAATAATTTGTTTTTACTTGATTTTGATTCTTACTATTTTGAGTTTTCTAAATGTAAAAGAGAAAAAAATATGATGGTATAGACTTATAGTATATCTAGACTACATTTGAATAAAAACTTGTAAGAGAAAAATACTTTTTGTGGTGTCTGAACTAGAAATATTCAAGGCATCACGCGATGTATCGCCGAAAGGTTTGTGTTCATTTCACTTACCTTTTCCACAGTTTCCTTTTTAGAAATAATGAAATATACCTACTAGGGGTGGGCATTTAAACCGAACCGAACCGAACCGACCCAACCCAACCGAACTCAAACCGACCTAAACCGAACCCAAGCTTAGACTCAAACCATTCGGTTGGGTTTATTCTCAACCCAAATGGGTCGGTATGGTTCGGTTTAAAACCGAACCGAACCGATAACCCAATGTGTTTATTTAATTAATTAGTTAATTATATTAATAATATTATAAATAACTAAATATGTGTTTATTTTTACTTTTATAATAATTTGAATAAATGTAAAATATATTTAACTATCTCTAAAACTCTAACTCTAAAAAACTTAGGGTTCTCCTTCTAACTTATAAAGAGTAAAACTCAAAAATACTTTCATATTTTATTCTTGATGACATTGCGTGAAGGAATCATGGAAGATTGGTATGTTACGTTGTTAATTGGATTTCATTTTCCTTTTCTTCTAATTACCATGGTTGGGTTTTTTTAGGTTTTTCTTTTCATGGTTAATTTGAATTATTCAATTTAAACTTACAACTTGAACTTGATATTTAATTACTTTATCAATTTCAATGTTCAAACTTCAAAGACAATGAAATTTTTGGTTTTGTTACATTAATTGATTTTTTGAACCGAACTCAAACCGAACCCAAGTAAAACCGAACCGAACCAAACCGAACCAAACATAAACTGACCCAAACACAAACCGAACCAAACTAACTTCGGTTGAGTTTGGTTAGAGTTTTACAAAACCCAAATAAACCGAACCGAACCGAACCCAAACCGAACCCGAAGTTAAACCGAAATGCCCACCCCTAATACCTACTCACACACCTATGTGTATTTTGTTTGGTTCCTTCCAAGCAACCCAAAAATGCAAGATAAATTTGTTCAACTATCTACGGTTTCTGCAGAAAAGTCATAATTAAATCAAAAAGCAAGTTTTATTAACAAATTTAAACTTGTAAAAGTTTCTAATTGAAGTACATCTCTGATTCTCTATGACTCTATCTAGCAGAAAAAGGTACCAAAAATCTTAATCTATTAAGTCTTATTGGACCACTGACCGTAAAACTTTATTAGTGGTGGGTTAGCGACATTTTTCTCGTCAGAAACTCTATTTATTTTCTCGTCAGAATAATGGGATGTTAAATTCACAACTGAAAAGGTACCAAAAATCCTCATCTATTTAGTATTCATACTTTTAACCAGAAATGAATATTACATACTTTTTTTAGGTGTTTCAAATATCGACTGAAAAGTATATTTGAATATATTTTTTTGGGATTCTTAAGTGGTTATAATAATATTTAAATTTTTGTTTTGAATACAATAACTAGAATTTGTCAATTAGTGATAATTACAAATGGACTTTTCTGGATCATGGTTGTACTGGTTCGATCATCGAGTCAGAGTTTAAAACCACTATTATTTTTGTTGTTGTTTATATCTTAATTACAAAAGAATTTGAATTAGACAGTGTAGCAAAAAAAAACACTATAAATGTAAACACCCTGTAATGGCCTGTATGAAACAAAAACTATCCGTATACGTATATTACGCATCTTCATACGTATAAATGTACGTATAAGAAGACACATGTGAACATGGCGGCACGTGAAAGAACCAAACTCAAAGAGACAGAAAAGGGAAGGGGTCCTAGAAACACACGTCAAGCTCGTAGACCCCACCTTAAAACGTTCGTAATTAACTATGATTTATTTGTTAATCCTTTGTATAATCATGATTTTTTTGATAAAATTATGGGACTGCATGTACTCGACCAGAAGGAAAAATCATTATAACAGATATGTATCGTGTCGTCTGTTATAACGTCTTCTAATGATCTGTCATAATCAGTAGTTCGATATGAACAAAACAATTTAAATACAAAGATGCCAAAAAATTTCAAGAATCAAAATTTCAAATATACATCCTATACGTATCCAAAACCTTTGATGTCAGTGACCAAGCCCTAATCTCCACCGTTGACACTTAGAAACAAAATATTCAAATTACTAAGACTATCCACATTGCAGTAGTCAGTGAAACTCGAATATTTGGTTATGTATTATTTAGACATTGTTTAGATGACCAATAGTTGGCGACAAACAAAAAATATGACCAGTTGAACTTCCATTAGTAGTTAATTTATAGTTAATTACATTAATACTAATGGTGGGTGCTATGTATGAAGATTGAAGAGACAACCTAACTAAAGAATTGTAGTTTTGTGCTTTCGTATAGACTCAATTGGATTAACTTATTTGGCCATTGTGAAAGATTTGATCCAAAGATAAACAGTATCTTCTATGTGGCTATTTCCAATTCCGTACGTCTTTCGTTTCTTGTTGAAGTCCTCTTTTCTTAATTTACTTAGTTTAGAAAGAAAAACGTATTTTGTTACGATTTTTGGAAAGGAGCAGAGAGACATCACGTCAGTAGCTTAGTTTTACTTCTCACTGGAGTCTCTAAGGTTGGTTTGCTTGCTCAGCGGTAGGTTTGAAAACTTTCATAAGGTGATTTTGGTTTCTTTAAGCGACATCGTTTTGTGTCTTTACAAATTTAGAACAGATAGGCCCATTAAAGGAAATTAAATGGGTTTAGCCGTTTAGGAATAACAAACGAAAACAAAAAGAGGAAAGAAAAAAAAATGATTAACGGAGTAGTACTTTTCAATCATGAGATGTTCTTACTTTTTTTTTTGGCACATGTTTTTTTTCGTCAGCCATAAACTAGAGAAATCTATTTAGAATTTCAACCTTATAAAATGCATGTTTATTGATATAAGAAAGTAGATTAAAAACCTGCAGGAAAAATTAATTTTTGTGTTGTTGATCTTTGATCTGGGAAAATTATTAATCGTAATTTTGTTTTCATCGTGTCAAAGACCAGCAACATATTAACCCATAAATTAATTCGAATAAAGGGACAGAGGATTCAAGAACCACACCAACAACATAGAAAATTGCTCCAAAAATATTAAGTATTAGCTATATAACACACGTACGTATGTTACTTAGAGTTAAGTGCTTATAGTTTCTTTGAATCTCGAGGTTTTCAATTGACATGCATAATTTACTCGGCAAATTTGACGAGAAACCAAAACAAAGCAAACAAAAAGAAAAAAATTCAGAATTTGATTCTCCAAATTGATCCTTTCCCCTTCACCATCACCAAAAAAACATTCGGAGACTAATGGGAAACCACTAAACCATAACGTGCTACAAAAGAGAGTAAGTAAACTACAATATTCAGAGATCAAAAACCAATGTAAACCCGAGAACTGAAATTGAAAGAGAACTAACAAGTAACAACGTACACCCCAAAGAAACTTCTGATCTTTTTCTCTTCGCTTGGAATTTGTAAACTTGAAAATTTAGGAAAACTTGCACTTCTTTATAACGTCAACATTGAAGCATCTTCAGTATGTAAATTTTTGAAGCATTCAATCATGGTTACAATTCAAACAAGAAAAATCTTTTAAATTTTCTTAAAAATATGCATACAAGTTAGGATCTTAATTTTTTTTAAAACCAATTAATATATTAAATATGTTTTTCAATAAGAAAATAACATTCTACTAGTAGTTTCATACGGCTCTGAATACATCATTGTATAAATTAAATAACTTAGAGGTAATACTTTTATGTATATCATGTGCGACTAGAGTAATTATAATATCACTCATATTTGAAAAAAGGTGGTATTAATATATAATATAATATGATTTACCTCGAGAGGGGAATATTTTGGTAAGAATAGGATGTGTGGGGATGATCAACACGAACGCATGTTTGCTTTTGTGGGGGGACAAAAGTCAAATACACTTAAAATTTCAAGATTCAATCTTAAAGTTCCCTAACCCCCAAGACATTCAAAAAGTCAACTTATTGTTGATTGAGATAGATTAACCATATCCTTGGTTTTATGGACATTTAGCTTAGGATCCTCCAATTATTAAAAAAGAAAGAAATAAAGAAGTAGAAAACGTAAACAGACAAACATTGATCTTGGATAGTAGCTAGAAGACAAACTTAGATAAATTGATATGATTTTAGATATATAAACTTACAAACATTAATGTAAACGAACACAATTGAATCCTAAATACTAACGTCAAAAATTTAGGCACCATTATCGAAAACGAATACTGCAAACAATGTAATACATGCATTGTTAAATGGCCTACCATGAATTTATATACGTATAGAACATGGAACAAGATCTAACTCTCTCAATATTCTTACAGAAAACTTTGACAAGAAAGAAATATTCTTACCGAAATTTTGTCAAAAACAAACGGAGTTCAATTTCAGATTAGTTTGATAAAAACACCAAACTTTTGTTTTCTAAACTTTGGATTTTATATAATCACATCAATATCACACCAAACCCTAAACTTTTGTTTTCCTTTTTGATATAAACACTCTATAAATATAGCGTATAAACTATATAAATAACGCATACAGAAAAAGTGAAAAAAAGACAAATCAAGCCTATGGATAGATAGATATATATGTATAGACTATCGATTAAGATCTAGCTTTCTTGATCTTTTTACTAAAATCTTGAAGAACAGACGGAGGAAACATGGATTCGACCTCTCTGGCTACATCTAAAAAAACCACCGATCTCTTTACCCACATGGCTCTCCGTTTCATCGCCGGAATAGCTTTTGGCTTTCTCGGCGGCCGAGGAGGACAATAACACACAGTGTTTGAGTTTCTCGGCGTCTCTGTGATCTTTACACGAGAAGTTCCATCCTCACATTCCCATTTTCGTTTTCCTCTCGATCCATCTTGAAGCTTTTCTAGTTCTTGATCTTGTTGTTGGTGTTGGTGGTTTTGTTGTCTTTTAGGTTGATTTTCTTGATGATGCGGAGATAATGATGAATCGGGAGAGTCCGGTTTTGATGGAACTAGGAGACTCTCGGGTTGTTGCATGGCTTCGATATCTTTGTCATCAGGGAATAAATGAAAAATCTTAATATTTGACATCTTATCACAAACAGGGAGAGAAACAGGAAAAGCGAGAGTAATACTAAAAGAAAAAATAATGACTATGATATCAGAAACAACAAGAAGATCTTGATATATATTAAGGTATGCGTGTATGTGTATATATGTGATTGTTTCTATTATTGCACATATATATGATGCAAATAAGGAGCAAAGAAATTGAAATTGAGATCTTTGTGTGAGTGTATCTTTGATATTTGTGAGTGTGTGCGCTTGGTATATAACAAAGAGCGACGACACCTCCACATCGACAAGGGAGCGAGAGGCATGCAGACAGTAAAATGAGAAGGACTTCTAGTTTATAAATTTTCTAATAAATCAAAAAAAAAAAAAAATCGCCACCCACTCACTTAGTCATATTATTGTGTCTATACTAATACTATAACTAGTATAAATAGTTTTGGACTGATTGTCTACAACACTAATTCAAAATGATAAAACCGTTGCCACAACGAAAAATGTAGGAGTTTAACATGTTAATAATTCTATAAGATCATAATATTTTTTTTTTAATTAAGAATATGTAAATAAATCATTGGATGAATTATAAAATCAATTTTTAAAGCTGTGACTGGTAGTATTGTAGAGTAAAATTTACGAGCCTATGATGGATTAAGCAAATAAGTTCGATGTATTCTGACTGCAATATTATAATATGTATTCATCATTATAAACTTATACATAAGCATTAGTATAATTTTTATAAAACTATGTGGGTCCTGAAACAGAGAAATTGAAATGAACCTATTTTGAATATATATAAGAAATACAAAACATAATTAGTATATTTTATTGGGGAAAAAAATCTTGCTTTCTTTTATTCTCCCAGGCACGAATGTCGAGGAACTCTCACCAACTTCACGGTTTGACATTTTCCACCGCAACTACCACTCTTGCCACCGTGTAGAAGCTTCCCTCCGCCGCAGCTACTTTTTCCGGTCTCTGTTTTTTCAAATTTCTTGAATTTTACGCAGTCATTTACACTTTTAGAGACTTTGGGTCCTCTTTTATGGTGTTCTTGAGACGTGGGAGACTTGGAAAAATGGCATTTGTCGGGGCTTTTTGCTCTTATGGTGCTAGAGTTCTTTCTTCATAATTCCTGGGGTTTTAGTGCCTCCCTTTTCTGCGCCACTGCAGACCGTTTTCGTCGCTTGTCTCTGGAGCTTCGCCTGCTCCCCTTTACACCATTGTGGTGTTGGTTTCGACTGTTTGGTTTCAGGTATTTACCCTCTTCGGATTCTCATCAAGACTCTGTTTGTTAAGCTCTCCTTGAGCTGTTTTCTCGTGTCGGTTTCTCAACGCCTCTGCTTCAAGTGCTCCTGTTCCTCTGCTCCTTTCAACATGTCTCACAGATTCTCGAGAACTGAAAAAGGAAAATGGGAGGCTGGTTCCTTGAGAGTCACCCGTAGGTCTCCGGTGAGAATTCCGGACAGAGATACTTCTGGTCTTGTTGCTGAAAACAAGCTCACGCTCATGGGTCGAGTCACAAACCCTAGAGTCCAGAAAGCAAAAGCAGTCATCGAGTACCTTCCACAATACTGGAATCTGGAAAACAAAGTTGTGGGGAGGGACTTAGGACCTGAACTCTTCCAGTTTCGTTTTGAAACTGAAGCGGATCTTCAAAGAGTGATGCGAAAAGCTCCATACCATTTCAAGAACTGGATGCTGATTCTTCAACGCTGGGCTCCTATCATCTCAGCCTCCTTCCCGTCAACAATCCCCTTCTGGATTCGCATCCATAAGCTCCCAGCTCTGTTGTGGGATGACCAGACTGTCCGTACTATCGGAAAAGAAGTTGGACCAGTCATAGGACAAGACTCTGCAGAAGGAAGAGTCAGAGTTGAGATAAATGGTCTCCTGCCTTTGGAGACGACCGTTCCAATCCGTTTGCCTTCTGGGGAAATAACTAAAGTGGAGCTAGAGTATGAAAAATTGGAGAAACACTGCTTCCACTGTTTCTCTCTAGCTCACGAGAAGAAGAATTGCCCTGCGCTGGCTTCACCAGACAAGTTTTCTCGTAAACCTCTTGGTATAAGTCAGCAACTTACCTTGGAAAAGATTGAGGCTGGTAAAAGAAAGCAAGACACCGGCAAACAAGAAGCCAGAAGAGATCGTCGGGATGATGGCAGGCATAGGCGCATGGAATTCAATAGGGGAAATGAAGATAGACACCGTAGGGTATCCCCTCCTAGACGCTACTCCTCTCACAGAGATGGTTTCCGTCTTCCGGATACAAGAGACTCTAGAAGGACTTACGATTCTTCTTCTAGAGGTTTGTCTCCTTCAAGAAACAGAGAGAATTTCGTGAAAGTAAACAGACCTCTCCTTCCCGGGGAAGAGATTCACGTATCCAAGATTCTCCTTCTAATCTGAGACAGAACAGAGACTCCTATTCTAGGAGAAGTCAAGGGAACTTTTCAATAGTGGCTGCGAGAGGAGAGTCACAACGTTCCCACAATGCCTCTGAGGTCAACACTCCTCCTCCACTTCCTCCTAGGGAGAATTTGGTAGCTAATCCAGCGCCCCAAGAAGGTACTAGAGAGATCACTCCACAAGGCTCGGGCCGAGTTGGATCTGGTTCAAGGGAGAGAAGACCAGCCCTGGAAAGACTTTCCCTGCCAAGTCAGGAGCCCTATTACCACCAAAATGTGGAGGAGACTAATGAGCCAAGCCAATTGCTTCAAGATGTGGAAATTCGTTATCTAGAAGAAGAGATGGACGGTTTCCCAGCGACTAACAGTGCGGGAAGAAGGAGAGGATCAGATATTGCAGGACCAAGTGCAGGACCAAGTGTAGTTTTCCAAGCTCAAGAAGACTCTTTCCCCTCCCAGCTGGAAAGAGTTCATACCTCTTTAAGGTTGGGACCTGTTCCTCCCACGCTGACTAAGAAGCAAACTAAGCCAAAGACCCAAGCTAAAAAAGGAGGCAGCAAAGCCAAACCTAAACCAGCTCCTAAGAGAAGACTACCAAGAGCAACTATCATCACCAGAGGCACCAAAAGTCCCTTACAAGGCACTAGCATTAGAAAGTTAATTGCTACTCGCTCTACTAATCCTCCAAGAAAAAGACTTTGTGGTGACAATGGGATTTTGACAACCTCTGCAAGTATCCTGCCAGGATCTAGCTCCAACCCAGCAGATACTACTATTCCGGAGGAAGAACAAGCTTTTAACCCAGTTCCTACATCTTGTAAGGCGGCGGTGGATTTTCAGTCCCCGCCAAATCCTCTTCCTTAGTTGTATTGAGTTGGAACTGTCAAGGCTTGGGAAGCACCTTTACAGTTCCACGGCTGAGAGAGTTGTATAGTTCAAACTCTCCGGATATCTTGTTTCTCATGGAGACTAAAAACAATGATAAGTTCAATGATGAAAAACTTGCTTGGATGGATTTCGCAAATAAGTTTTCTGTTCCTCCTGTGGGTTTAAGTGGAGGGCTCCTAGTTTTGTGGAAGGAGACTGTGGAGATTTCTATACTCCTTTCCACTGCAAACTTCATCGACACTGAGATAAAGTATAAAGGAGTCACTTCCTTCATTACCTTTATTTATGGTGCTCCTCAACGTGAAAACAGAGCAGATTTCTGGAACCAAATTTCTGAAGTAGGTGCAGGCAGAGAGTCCGCTTGGCTTTGACTGGGGATTTCAACGACATCCTTGACAATTCTGAGAAGGCTGGAGGACCACCACGATGGGAGGGCTCTTTTTTAAACTTTCGCAACTTTGTCTCACAAAATGGGCTCTGGGATCTGAAGCACACAGGCTGTCCTCTTTCCTGGAGGGGAAATCGTTATACACACTTTGTACAAGTAAGACTCGACAGGTCTCTTTCAAACTGCTCATGGTCTGAAGCTTTTCCTGCAGGACGATGTAGGTACCTTCCCTTTGAAGGTTCTGATCATAGGCCCTTGCTCACTTACTTCAATATCTTGAAGCATAAAAAACGAAGGCCCTTCCGGTTTGACAGAAGATTAGTGGACAAAGAGGAAGTGAAAGAGCTAGTTGACAATGCTTGGACTCAAGAACCACACCAACAACATAGAAAATTGCTCCAAAAATATTAAGTATTAGCTATATAACACACGTACGTATGTTACTTAGAGTTAAGTGCTTATAGTTTCTTTGAATCTCGAGGTTTTCAATTGACATGCATAATTTACTCGGCAAATTTGACGAGAAACCAAAACAAAGCAAACAAAAAGAAAAAAATTCAGAATTTGATTCTCCAAATTGATCCTTTCCCCTTCACCATCACCAAAAAAACATTCGGAGACTAATGGGAAACCACTAAACCATAACGTGCTACAAAAGAGAGTAAGTAAACTACAATATTCAGAGATCAAAAACCAATGTAAACCCGAGAACTGAAATTGAAAGAGAACTAACAAGTAACAACGTACACCCCAAAGAAACTTCTGATCTTTTTCTCTTCGCTTGGAATTTGTAAACTTGAAAATTTAGGAAAACTTGCACTTCTTTATAACGTCAACATTGAAGCATCTTCAGTATGTAAATTTTTGAAGCATTCAATCATGGTTACAATTCAAACAAGAAAAATCTTTTAAATTTTCTTAAAAATATGCATACAAGTTAGGATCTTAATTTTTTTTAAAACCAATTAATATATTAAATATGTTTTTCAATAAGAAAATAACATTCTACTAGTAGTTTCATACGGCTCTGAATACATCATTGTATAAATTAAATAACTTAGAGGTAATACTTTTATGTATATCATGTGCGACTAGAGTAATTATAATATCACTCATATTTGAAAAAAGGTGGTATTAATATATAATATAATATGATTTACCTCGAGAGGGGAATATTTTGGTAAGAATAGGATGTGTGGGGATGATCAACACGAACGCATGTTTGCTTTTGTGGGGGGACAAAAGTCAAATACACTTAAAATTTCAAGATTCAATCTTAAAGTTCCCTAACCCCCAAGACATTCAAAAAGTCAACTTATTGTTGATTGAGATAGATTAACCATATCCTTGGTTTTATGGACATTTAGCTTAGGATCCTCCAATTATTAAAAAAGAAAGAAATAAAGAAGTAGAAAACGTAAACAGACAAACATTGATCTTGGATAGTAGCTAGAAGACAAACTTAGATAAATTGATATGATTTTAGATATATAAACTTACAAACATTAATGTAAACGAACACAATTGAATCCTAAATACTAACGTCAAAAATTTAGGCACCATTATCGAAAACGAATACTGCAAACAATGTAATACATGCATTGTTAAATGGCCTACCATGAATTTATATACGTATAGAACATGGAACAAGATCTAACTCTCTCAATATTCTTACAGAAAACTTTGACAAGAAAGAAATATTCTTACCGAAATTTTGTCAAAACAAACGGAGTTCAATTTCAGATTAGTTTGATAAAAACACCAAACTTTTGTTTTCTAAACTTTGGATTTTATATAATCACATCAATATCACACCAAACCCTAAACTTTGTTTTCCTTTTTGATATAAACACTCTATAAATATAGCGTATAAACTATATAAATAACGCATACAGAAAAAGTGAAAAAAAGACAAATCAAGCCTATGGATAGATAGATATATATGTATAGACTATCGATTAAGATCTAGCTTTCTTGATCTTTTTACTAAAATCTTGAAGAACAGACGGAGGAAACATGGATTCGACCTCTCTGGCTACATCTAAAAAACCACCGATCTCTTTACCCACATGGCTCTCCGTTTCATCGCCGGAATAGCTTTTGGCTTTCTCGGCGGCCGAGGAGGACAATAACACACAGTGTTTGAGTTTCTCGGCGTCTCTGTGATCTTTACACGAGAAGTTCCATCCTCACATTCCCATTTTCGTTTTCCTCTCGATCCATCTTGAAGCTTTTCTAGTTCTTGATCTTGTTGTTGGTGTTGGTGGTTTTGTTGTCTTTTAGGTTGATTTTCTTGATGATGCGAGATAATGATGAATCGGGAGAGTCCGGTTTTGATGGAACTAGGAGACTCTCGGGTTGTTGCATGGCTTCGATATCTTTGTCATCAGGGAATAAATGAAAAATCTTAATATTTGACATCTTATCACAAACAGGGAGAGAAACAGGAAAAGCGAGAGTAATACTAAAAGAAAAAATAATGACTATGATATCAGAAACAACAAGAAGATCTTGATATATATTAAGGTATGCGTGTATGTGTATATATGTGATTGTTTCTATTATTGCACATATATATGATGCAAATAAGGAGCAAAGAAATTGAAATTGAGATCTTTGTGTGAGTGTATCTTTGATATTTGTGAGTGTGTGCGCTTGGTATATAACAAAGAGCGACGACACCTCCACATCGACAAGGGAGCGAGAGGCATGCAGACAGTAAAATGAGAAGGACTTCTAGTTTATAAATTTTCTAATAAATCAAAAAAAAAAAAAATCGCCACCCACTCACTTAGTCATATTATTGTGTCTATACTAATACTATAACTAGTATAAATAGTTTTGGACTGATTGTCTACAACACTAATTCAAAATGATAAAACCGTTGCCACAACGAAAAATGTAGGAGTTTAACATGTTAATAATTCTATAAGATCATAATATTTTTTTTTAATTAAGAATATGTAAATAAATCATTGGATGAATTATAAAATCAATTTTTAAAGCTGTGACTGGTAGTATTGTAGAGTAAAATTTACGAGCCTATGATGGATTAAGCAAATAAGTTCGATGTATTCTGACTGCAATATTATAATATGTATTCATCATTATAAACTTATACATAAGCATTAGTATAATTTTTATAAAACTATGTGGGTCCTGAAACAGAGAAATTGAAATGAACCTATTTTGAATATATATAAGAAATACAAAACATAATTAGTATATTTTATTGGGGAAAAAAATCTTGCTTTCTTTTATTCTCCCAGGCACGAATGTCGAGGAACTCTCACCAACTTCACGGTTTGACATTTTCCACCGCAACTACCACTCTTGCCACCGTGTAGAAGCTTCCCTCCGCCGCAGCTACTTTTTCCGGTCTCTGTTTTTTCAAATTTCTTGAATTTTACGCAGTCATTTACACTTTTAGAGACTTTGGGTCCTCTTTTATGGTGTTCTTGAGACGTGGGAGACTTGGAAAAATGGCATTTGTCGGGCTTTTTGCTCTTATGGTGCTAGAGTTCTTTCTTCATAATTCCTGGGGTTTTAGTGCCTCCCTTTTCTGCGCCACTGCAGACCGTTTTCGTCGCTTGTCTCTGGAGCTTCGCCTGCTCCCCTTTACACCATTGTGGTGTTGGTTTCGACTGTTTGGTTTCAGGTATTTACCCTCTTCGGATTCTCATCAAGACTCTGTTTGTTAAGCTCTCCTTGAGCTGTTTTCTCGTGTCGGTTTCTCAACGCCTCTGCTTCAAGTGCTCCTGTTCCTCTGCTCCTTTCAACATGTCTCACAGATTCTCGAGAACTGAAAAAGGAAAATGGGAGGCTGGTTCCTTGAGAGTCACCCGTAGGCTGGTTATTTAATATTTTTAAATAATTCAGTTTAGACTTTTTTGATCACCAGATTCAATTTAGACTAAAACAGTTTTTAGGTACTAATAATCATTTAAACTTTAAATATTTTTATAATATATTTTACCAGTTTGTTAATTGCATTTGAGGTGGACTAATCGACGTAAACGATCTTTTTGAAAAAAGAATGCATGTCACTATATCAATTGCAAGAAACCTACCTGATAATGTGGCTGCGTTAACCAAATATTTCGACAATAACTAAATAATGTCATAAAATACCTAATGACATCATTTGAATATAACAAACCGTGTTAATTAATTACCGTGTACTTGGATATAAAAGGTAATTTGTCATATAAATAAAACCTAATAGTATTTGAACAGAATAATAGCCTTGTTATAGTTTGGTTTAGTTTTCATAATAAAGTTGATCATGTGACTCATATACTTTACTTTAGATTCGTCAAAATCAAGTCACGTGATTAACTAAGATCTACTGCTTCTTCTATGGAATCTATTACCTTTTTAAGCTTTATATCCGGTTTTTCAATCTTTGTTTATTCTTATTAATTATCTTAGCTTTCATCTGATCCTGATCATGTTACTCTTTGTAAATTATAAACATTAATTAACCTTTTATCAAAAACGAAAAATTTATATTTATTCAAGGTTACACATTCACACTCAAAATACATTAATAATCATCATAGATAGAAATTATTACCTAATATACAATGTTAAAACATACAGAAAGCGTTGCATTTGGCGTAGTCTAAGGCTTCTTGTAACAAGTCGTAAGACTGATTCCTAGGATTCCTTCATTGACACTGATCATATGGTTTCGAAGAGGTTGTAGATTTGGTACGTCTTTTTCTTTCTTTGTCATTTACTCAGTTTTCATAATATTGTTGTTTTTAACCACTCCCCATCTACATATATGTCCGGACCGGAATTAGTAATCCAAATGCTATTATTTTAAATGGGTACCAAAAAAGAACTGTTTTGAGTTTTATAAATTTTGAATGCTCTGTATTTGTGTCGGAAATTCCTGCACAAGTATCATAAAACTCTTAATTTGTAAAATTTTATGGGCCAAAACAAAGATGGTATACAACCATACAATATATATATATTGCTCATCCCAATATAATTATGGTACGTTGAAATCACTGAACCAATCACTACATTTTTCCAACAACTTAATTGTCCTTACATTGTAATTTTGTGTATAAAAGAATTCAATAATAGTATCATTAACAAAAAAAAAAAATAACATCCAAAGAAATTTTGTAACGAAATGTGGACAACAAAACGTATTGGAATTTTCTTTCTTTTGTAAATGGAAATATTGTGGTCATAAGAAAAATAAAAACAAAAACAGAAACAAAAATAGATGGAAATAATAATTCGGAAGATGTCAAATATGTCTCCATGCTGGGGTATGCGGGGTCCATTTGAGATTGCTTGGGTTTCACCGCATCCTAAGTTTCTTATTCTTGAGATTTGTTCCTGCATTTTTCACTTTAGTTTAATAAATCCAACCCCATGATTTATGCTAACAAAAAAAAAAAAATCATAGACAAAAATACATTTAAACTAGAGTGATAAGAAAAAGAGAATATACTGCTATTTTGTAAGCAATCGTATTTTTTTTCTTCTTTTGGGACAAAAGTAAGCAATCGTATATTATTAATAAGAAAAACAGAAGAAACACACTCTCATACCAAATAATTACATCTCATGCTCATGCTTAATTATGTTGCTTCCCCACATTTCTATCATCATTACACCATTTTCTCAATCTCCGCTCAACTTTTTCAGCAAATAACCCACGTCTCCCCTTAAATTATTACTAGTTTTATTCTCTTATACATTTTTATAATCTTACTTTTTTCTCTATATGTTGAATTTTTAAGTCTCTAGGATTGGGTGTATATATATGATATTCAGGCTTTCATTAGTAAACATAACAATCGACATATATCTTTGGGAGTGGGGCTAAAGGGTTCAGAGACGCACTCAAGACAAAAACGAAGAATTAGTGGTTGGAAATCACATCAAAATAAGTTCCTTATCCTAATATATATTACTAGCTAAATATAATATAGATGTTAATAGCTGCTTCAAAATCATATGTTTTATAAATAGACCACATAAAAAACGGTCGTTTTGATACATTTATATACAATTATCCGAAGTCCAATTTTAGTAACAAACTACAACAAATCAGAATTTAACATAATAAGACCTCGACCTACGAATGTGGATGATCATTATAATATATCATCTTGCTCTCTAAAATCAATCTCTGACTCAATGACCCATATTTCAAAAGCCCAAATATTCAATAACGATTCTTCCGGCGAACCATGTGGTTTTGGTCATGTTGAGCTTTCACGTACCTAAAAATAGGTGGACACATGTCGTCACCCTCTTAGATATAGGATTTAGCAGAAACTAACGGCCACGATCTGTTTAGAGTCAAGCGATATAAAGCAAAGCTCCTTTCGTTTTTTCAGAAATTTTGAACCCATTAATTCAAGGCAGGGCGATCAGAATCCGATTTCGAGTTTCGTTCTTCTTTAAAATTCACCAGGTGATTACCAAAATACCATTGTTTGCTGGTAACGATTTCGATTTGTTTGAATGGAAAATGACAAGAACAATGGATTTTAGAATAATCTACTTATTAAGGCCATTTCATTTAAAATGATTTGTTAAATGAAAATTATTGGAAATCGTTACAATGTTTTGTTACCGGTCTTGATTCATATTCAGATAGAGATTGAAGAATGGCGGACGGTGAAGACATTCAACCGCTTGTTTGTGACAATGGAACTGGAATGGTTAAGGTGAAGTTTCTCTCTAAATGCTATGTCACATAAGACCATGCCATATACTAGTAAAAAATATATAAACTGAAATCTCTCCCGTGCTTAGGCCGGATTTGCGGGTGACGATGCGCCAAGAGCAGTTTTTCCGAGCATTGTAGGCCGTCCTCGCCACACGGGTGTCATGGTTGGGATGGGACAAAAGGATGCTTATGTTGGAGACGAGGCTCAATCGAAACGTGGTATTTTGACTCTCAAATACCCAATTGAGCATGGAATTGTTAATAATTGGGACGACATGGAGAAGATTTGGCATCACACTTTCTACAATGAGCTTCGTGTTGCCCCTGAAGAACATCCGGTTCTCTTAACCGAAGCTCCTCTCAATCCGAAAGCTAACCGTGAGAAGATGACTCAAATCATGTTTGAGACATTTAACACTCCTGCTATGTATGTTGCCATTCAAGCTGTTCTCTCACTCTATGCCAGTGGCCGTACAACTGGTCAGTAACACACTATATCTTTTAATTCCTAACATTTTCGCGTTACTCGTTAGGTTTGTGTCAATGAACTAGCCATTGACTGATCCTAGTCCCTAGCTAGCATTTGGTTCTTCGTTTTCGTTTTTTATTTTTTTGGATTTTGAGTAGAGTAGTTAGTCCAATCTAGAACCAAAAATTTTCATGCTCGATTTTAATTAATATTAACTATGTAAAGGATAATTTGGTTATGCTTTTATGGACAACCCTAATTGGTTCTTTTGCAAATTGTTGATTAGGTATTGTTTTGGACTCTGGAGATGGTGTGAGCCACACGGTACCAATCTACGAGGGTTACGCTCTTCCACACGCAATCCTACGTCTTGACCTAGCGGGTCGTGACCTCACAGACCACCTCATGAAAATCCTGACAGAACGTGGCTACTCCTTCACCACAACTGCTGAGCGTGAAATTGTTAGAGACATGAAAGAGAAGCTCTCTTACATCGCTCTAGACTACGAGCAAGAGCTAGAGACTTCTAAAACAAGCTCGTCCGTTGAAAAAAGCTTCGAGCTTCCTGATGGACAAGTGATAACCATTGGAGCAGAGCGGTTCCGGTGTCCGGAAGTTCTGTTTCAGCCGTCAATGATCGGAATGGAAAATCCGGGAATCCATGAAACCACATATAACTCTATCATGAAATGTGATGTGGATATTAGGAAAGATTTGTATGGTAACATTGTGCTAAGTGGTGGAACCACAATGTTTGGAGGGATTGGTGATAGAATGAGCAAAGAAATTACGGCTTTGGCTCCAAGTAGTATGAAGATTAAGGTCGTGGCTCCACCGGAGAGGAAGTACAGTGTATGGATCGGTGGTTCTATATTAGCTTCACTCAGCACTTTCCAGCAGGTAAACACATTTTTTATTTGATCTAATAATAATATAACAACTTTTTTTTGAAACACGATCTTAATAGAGCATTTATAAGTTTGTCTTGATATAAGTATTGTTATGTGTTTGAAAATTTGACAGATGTGGATTGCGAAAGCAGAGTACGATGAATCTGGACCCTCAATTGTGCATAGGAAATGCTTCTAATCACAATTCCTAAAATCACCAAAGGAAGACAAAAGTAAAAGTAAAAGACAAACAGTTAAAAAAAATTGAGTTTTTTTGTTACAGCTTACATTTTTCCATCATATTTTCTAATGTCTCCATTATTCTTTTTTTTTAATAGTCTCTCTATGTTAATTTTTCCAACTAAGTATACTTTTCTTTAAAGAATGTCCACTCCCATAATGTACTATAAGCGATTTAACTTAATTATAATATTTTCTATTAACTTAATTTATTTGTTACTAATAGAACATTGGAAATAAAGCAAAGTATATGCTTTTTGTTCATTATGGTTGATAAACAACATTTTTGTCGCAAATATGAGCTTACATGTCTTCGGGTTCAAATGGAATGTCATCGAGCACATTGTCTCGGTGTTCCGACGAGATTGTAAACAATTGTGACTTATACTTCAAAGACAAAAAAAAAAAAAAAATTTCCAAAATCCTTATCAAACACAAAACAAGCTCCATAATGTTGGTGTAGTACAAACAATTGTGACATATATATAAATTGTCTAAACTCACTATATTTTAGATTACTCGGTTTAATGGATGTGGTCTAATAAGTGTCAAGAAACACAAAACAAAACGTTAAGATTTGACGGTTAGATAAGTTTAAATGTTGGTTTAGCAATAAAAAATGTTTATATTGTTGGTAAAGAAAACAAGAAACGAATTGTTGATGGTTAACTTAAAATTTTTCAATTTCTGATTCATTTCGGTTTAATCGAACCGAATTGCAAAACCCAGAAACAGAAGCAGCGGACGAAGTATCCATTTCAAAGATACTTTTTTCTCGAGATCGTCGCCGTTAAAATCTGCAATCTCATTGCTCATTGGTGAATCTAATCCCTTCGTATGTCAGATTCTGTGGCCGGCGATTTTCCTCCCGATCCACTTCTCGCCTCCGGAGCCTTCATCTCCTCCGCCGGTGACGGAACCCTAGACAGTAGTTCGAAACGGCGACCAATTCAGGGAGTTTCTGGTTCGGGGGAGAGCGTACGCATCGGGATGGCTAACGGTACCGATCAGGTGAATCCATCGCCGGATAGTTCGAGTCATCAGACGGAATCGAAGTCACGGAAGCGTGCGGCGCCTGGAGATAATTGGTTGCCTCCTGGTTGGAGAGTTGAAGATAAGATTCGAACCTCCGGTGCCACAGCTGGTTCGGTGGATAAGGTAAAGAATCTCAGCTCTATACACTGCTTTCTCTATGAAGTTTGAGCTGCGTTGTTTCTTGAAATCTATAGATTGGGGATTCTTTGATTGCTGTTGTCTGTTCTCTTTGGTTTTAGAATTTGGATTCATCGCTGCTACAATGGGGCTTTTGAGCGTTTGGATTTAGTCAGTGAAGAAAAAATCGTGCCTTTAAAGTAGTGACAAGTGTAATGTTGTAGTAAAATGATGTGGTTGGTTCTGCTTAGTTATGCTTAAGCATTAATGGCTTTGTTTGAGATAATGTTAGGGAAATAGATACACCTAATCATACACTTTATCAGTGTGATTAGTGTTAGTTTGATTTATCTGGTGGATTTTAGATGGTTTGGTTTGGTATATATTGTGATTGAAGAGATGAAGTTATGGTGATTTCTTATACTCGGATGCAAATATGTCATGTGTAGATAGATATTGATATGTAGAGTTGTGACATTGTCTTATCTGGTTTTGCAGTACTATTACGAACCAAATACAGGGAGAAAGTTTCGGTCCAGGACCGAGGTACTGTACTACTTGGAACATGGAACCTCTAAAAGAGGAGGCGCCAAGAAAGTTGAGAATACAGATTTCCAGTCAGACGTGAGTTTGCATCCTTAAAGATTAGACCTTTCACCCCGATTTCAAACCCGTGAGACGTATATAATCTTGTATTTGCAGCATTTTGAAGGTCAGGGAAGCAATAGAGCCAGCAGAAAAGCTAAAGAGCCTCCACCTCCGCCACCACCATTGGACTTTGATTTTAAGAATCCACCAGACAAGGTAAGCTGGTCTATGGCAAACGCAGGAGAAGAAGCTTGGATACCTATTATTGGGGACGTCAAGGTTCAAGACTCAGTGAGACGAGAGTGGAGCACAGCGTTTACTTTTATCACGAACCGAAACCCAAGTAAACTGTCGTCTTGAAGACGAAGATGATGACATGGTGGCGGTTTTTGGGTGTTGCATCTATTGTAAGATACACAGAGATGTTAGGCTTACTTAATTGGGTGATTCTTGTTTAGTCTCCATTCGTCGAGTTATGTGTACTATAATTTTTTTAGTGTTTTTGGAAGAATACGATAATGGGATATGCATTTCTGCGTTTGCGTTTGGAACGTGATGTCCGTTTGCCTTTTCCACTGATGACATTGAAGACACTGTCATAGTAACAAAGCTATTCTTCTTAGACACTTTGATATAGAACTATTCTCTGTTCCAAAGACTTTTACTTTGTGTTAAGGAAAAGAAGGCAGTGTCGTAATTCAAGAACAAATGCTTGACAAGGCTCAGGTTTTTGAAATCTTATGGAGAAGAAGAATATAATATAAGAAATATAAAACATAAGATGATTAAATGGCAAGAGGCGTCTGTAGTCCAACGGTTAGGATAATTGCCTTCCAAGCAATAGACCCGGGTTCGACTCCCGGCAGACGCAATTACCTATTTCTCAAACCTAATTTTAGATTTTTTAACCAAATAATCTGTGTCGATCCAAAGCTAACTAATTCCAGTAACTTGGTTTGGTGGGGGTCTAATTCTAAAGCAAAACTGGAATTGCAACGTTGCGTTTTAAATTTGAAATATTTAATAATACTCCTATTTTTAGCCCATTTATTATCTGCAATAAATTATCAAAAAGGCTAATATCACTAATTTAGTAATTCTTGAATTTCTAACCTTCTATGTATACCAGAGGCTTCCGTTTTAGTCTTGTGTCCCAAGGTTTTGAAAAAAGTGAAAAGGAAGGGTTTTTACGTTTTGTTGGCTTTTGACTATCGTTTGCCCTCTCTGTTTGTTTATAATTACATTATTGCCACTGAGTCTACTCTTTGCGACGCTCTGTCTTCAAAAAGCAATTTTGGGGAGGAAGAAAAAAACCTGAGAGAGTAAAACAGAAAAGAGAAACACACTATTTTTGTGACTCACCAAGCAGAAGAACATTGAGAAAAACAAAAAAGGTCTCTGCTTTTCATTTTCTATGGCTTCGATTCTCATATATTTGGGAATTTGGATGGTCTAAAGTCTGAGTTTGATTTATTTTGCTTGCAAGGTTTTACTTTTTCTCGGTTCTTCAGCCGTACACGTAACAAATTCCTTTTTCTTGTGTGTTTCTTCGATTTCTAGAATCTGATAAAACCCACAAAAAAGAGGTTTTTTTTTTTCTGGGATCTTTGAAGAAGCAGAGAGAGGATAAGCTCTTAACAGTTTTCTTCAAAACAAGTGATTTCCTTTTGTTTTCTACTTCGATTTCCCGTTATAAAAACTTGATTTTTTTTACTTGAGAAGACTGTGAATCATATACATTACTCTCAAAACCTAACTTTTTTTTTGTCTGGGTTGTTCAAAACATGATTTTTAAGTAGCTAAATCCATGGATCCTCTATAATCATGTTTCCTGCGTTTGATTATGCAGCTTGAAGATGGAGAAGAATCAACATAAGCAGGAATTTCTAGCTGAGACCTCAGAGATGAACAACAACGACTGTTCTGAACAAGAACAACCACAACAACGATTTGTGTGGCCATGGGTTGGTCTTGTAGCCAACATACCAACGGAGCTTGAACAATCTGGTAGGAGAGTAGGCAAAAGCGGTTCTACGTTACGTGATGAGTTCACTCTGAAAGGGTTTAATCCTACAAGAGTCCAACCCATTTGGAATTTCAAGGGACATTCTGGTTTTGCTTTGGTTGAATTCACTAAAGATTTCCATGGATTCGAAAGCGCCATGAAATTTGAAAGGAGTTTTCAATCTGACCGTCATGGGAAGAGAGATTGGGAAAAAGGTTAAAGATTGTTTCTTAGTGTTTTGATTTATAAAGTCATTTGATTTCTTGACATTTTGAGTTCACTTTCTTTGAAAAAGGTATTCGCTTGAGAGATAATAAGCTTTATGGATGGGTTGCGAGAGAGGATGATTATAATCGAAGTGATATTGTTGGGAAGAATGTCAAGAAGAAGAGAGATTTGAAAAGTATCGCGCAGATTTTGGAAGAAGACGAGAGGAAAATGGTTCATTTAGTTGAGAATATGTCTCAATCGATTGAGATGAATAAGCAATGTAAACAAGAGCTTGAACAGAAAGTTGATGAGACCTCTCGTTTCCTAGAGAGTTTGGAATTGCATAACGTTCTGTTAAACAAAACCTACCAAGAAGGTAAAAAGAAACACTTAGATAAGCTTTTAAACATAATCTGTTTGTGATTCATGCTGACATGTAATAGTCCTTTGGTTTGTTTGTGTGTTTTTTTTTTGATGAGAAGGGATTGAGAAGATGCAGATGAATATGGAAGAGTTGTATCAACAGGTTCTGGGTGGACATGAAAAGTCTTTGGCAGAACTGGAGGCAAAGAGGGAGAAGCTGGACGAGCGTGCAAGACTTATCGAGCAGCGGGCAATCATAAACGAAGAAGAGATGGAAAAGTCCAGACTTGAAAGAGAAATGGTGATTATGCTTTCCTTATAAATTAGGAGAAAAATGGTGATCACAAGGCAATAAAATGTGGTCTCTTTGTTGTAGAATCAAAAGGCTATGTGGGAGCAGAATGAAGCGAATGAGGATGCTATGAAACTTGCGGAAAAGCACCAGGCAAGTAGTTCTTTAGGTTGTCTGTATATTCATGAACAAGAAACAACTAAGCTTCCATTTTCAACTTTTGTGTTTCTGAAACATGACAACTTTTGCAGAAAGAGAAGGAGAAGCTTCATAAAAGGATAATGGAAATGGAAGCAAAGCTAAATGAAACGCAAGAGCTGGAGTTGGAGATAGAGAAGCTGAAAGGTACTACCAATGTAATGAAACATATGGTGGGGAGTGATGGAGATGAAGATATTGTGAAGAAGATGGCCAAAACTCAGATAGAGCTTGATGCTCGAGAAACGGCTCTCCATGAAAAAATGATGACTCTGTCACAAAAAGAACGTATGACCAACGATGAGTATCACGATGCTCGTAAAGAGATGATTCAGGTTCAAAACCTTCTAAATTTATATGTTCCAAACTCTTTAGCTTGTCCTTTTAACTTGTGGTATTACTTTGATGAGCAGGTTTGGAATGCAAATGAAGAATTGATGAAGCAAGAGAAGATTAGAGTGAAGAGAATGGGGCAATTAAACCCTGAACCCTTCTTGCCTGCAGTGATGAAGAAACATAAAGTTACACAATCAAGAGCAGAGATTAAGGCTATGCAGCTGTGTTCAGTGTGGGAAGCAAACATAGGAGATGTGCAATGGACCCCATTTAGAATCGATGAGTCTGATGGAATAGCAAAGGTCTGGACTTTTAACTTAGGAGTCTAATTTCAAATCTCAAAAGATGAATTTTTAACAAAAAAGATGTTTCCTTTTACATATTATCTCAAGATTCCAAATGTGAAATGCAGAGAGTGGTGGATAAAAACGACGAGAAGCTTCGTAAGCTGAAGGAACAATACGGTGAAGAAGTTTACAATGAAGTTGTTAGAGCAAAACTAGAGATTGAGGAACATAACGCTAGTGGGAGCTATGTGATAGTAGAGCTTTGGAACTATGCGGAGAACCGAAAAGCGAAGATGGAGGAAGCTGCAGATATAATGTTGAAGATAAGGTCCAAACTTGCTGCTATGAAGAACAAACGAAAGAGGCTTTGAGGTCTAAACTTAAACAAAAAAAGAGACTAAAACTGCGAGACAACTCTGAAGAGCCTTAAGAGAATGCTCTCTGTTTTTGTTAATTTACCAGTTTAAATTAGTTTTGCTACAACTATTGAACCGAATTGGATTTTGTTTCTTCAATAGTGTTTCTCCAGAAATCGTATCATGTGTTGTTTGATTTATATAAACTTGGAGTCTTAGATCACAAGAAATGGAGCTGAGAATCTTCTTGCGGCTAAGTATGTTTGTTTTATGAATATATAAGTAAACAGTGGCAACCAATCAAATAGCGTCTGTAGTCCAACGGTTAGGATAATTGCCTTCCAAGCAATAGACCCGGGTTCGACTCCCGGCAGACGCATTGTCTTTTATTAACATCCATCATAGTTTTTAAATATCTACATTAAACAAACGACATCGTTTCACTATAACCCGCCAAAATCGAATCACCGCTTGGAAGGGTATTCTCGTCCAATCATTAAACGTAGTATGTTGCGTGCACGCGCCGAACCAAATCGTGTGGCCACAATTTGTCGGCCCAAACCACAATCTTTGTCTCTCTCCTCTTTCAATTTGTTTCCGGCGACTGAAGAAGAAGATATTTGTTGTTCATGGCGGGTACTTGCACATCAATTAGGCCACGTCTCATTGACGCTTCTTCAATTGTTGAGCTTTCCAGGTTGATTAATCGAGCTGGAGTTCCTTTCTCTGTACGAATCTCTTCCAGAACCAGAGCTCTCCACGGTGGTGGTTTAACCGCACCTACCTCTCGTGAGGAAGGTCCTTCTTGTATATTCGTTGGACCGATTGATTCTGCTCGCAAAGAAACTTTAGAAGCTCTTTATCGCCAGGTACGCCTAATAAAAATCTGTTTTTTAGTCTAAAGTTTGCTTCTTTATGAAATTTATGAATTATGATGAAACGATTGAGTATAGTGTTATTGGATTGGTCTCGGTGGATATTGAATTCGGATTTGTGGAACTTTATGTTATAGGCTAAGGATGCGTATTACAATGGCAAGCCTTTGATAGTTGATGATATGTTTGACAGAGTTGAGGTAAGAGAACTGCTAGTATATTTTCTTGTGTGTATGTAGAAATATATGATTTTTAATGTTGGATTCTGATTTATGAAATTGTATCATTTCTGTTGTAGCTAAAGCTTCGGTGGTATGGTTCAAAATCTGTTGTCAAGTACCCTCGGTGTAGTCTACTGAGACAGTCAACTTATGCTGATGCAGAGGTACAATGTGGGTGTTCATGTTTCCATTTTATCTCATATGAAACAGATGGGACTAAATTTTTCATTGACCATACTATGGTATTTGTAATTTTGTTCATCCTTGAGGTTTGGATTTGTTTAGTGATAGCTTTTCAGTTTTTAGTTGGTCATATGTCTTCTCAAGGTATGGGTAGTGGCTATAGGGATATAAGATATAGTTTTCTGAGTATTGATTGTCATAGTGGGAAAAACATCACTGCACATCTGTTTCGTAGATTAGTATATGATCATTTTTTTGATATTGAAACAATGTTTTGTCAAGGGTTGATGTTGAGATAAATCCTTGTAGGACAGGATGATGCATCACAAGTTCTTCTGTTAGCTACCATATGGATCTTGATTTTCTTATTTGGTAGCTCGGCATGTGCTTTACCCACGATCTATGGCCTCAGCTTAGTTTATGGAGGAGATCCGTTCGACTCAGGGCTTGTTTATAGCGGTCAGTTGTCATCTTCTGTGCCTCTTTTGTCAAAGTTTAACGGCATCCTCCTCGCCGTGCTAGGACCTGCTTTTGGATATCCAATTGCATCTTCTGCAGGTACCAGAATGCAAACATGATTTTACCTACAATCTGGTAATAGCTATAGCATTTACTTCTACTGAGATAAATAATGCTGTTTGCAGTAAGAGTACTTAAAGGGTTATGGAGAAATGACTTAACGGCTCTAAAAGGAGACTGCCCGAATTGCGGGGAAGAGGTCAAATCTTTACTTGTAATTCTTTTGCAGCAAAAAAACAAAATGGTTGTTTTTTTCAGTTCTCATCACATTTGAGTTTTATGAACTTGTGTAGGTTTTCGCATTTGTGAGATCCGATCAATCAAACCGATCAGCTCACAAAGCTGACTGTCATGTCTGTGAGTGCACACTGGAGTTCCGTACCAAAGTAGAGGTAAATATTACTGTTTTTTTCCCGCGTGTTACTTGATCGTGACCACCTTTACCGATCTGTGGTTTAAATGTGAACCAGTCACTGCCTTAGATAATCATCCTCTGTAGCTTTCTAACAACAATGATTTTTTTTTTGTCTATCTGCTTCAGAAATCTGCATCACGATTGGGTAGAAAATGGGTTTACGGCAGGATATACCTTGTTTCACGGCCAAGGAGAGATCGGCGTTCCAAGTTTACATAATTCTGACAAAAGAAGAAATATTTTTTTGGGGATGGTTTCTACTCAATTGTGTATTGTAAAAAGGATACTAGAAAGCTTTTGTAACATTCAAAGGATTCATAAAATTGTTACTATAAACGTTTTGTCTCTTGTAGCCTCTTTTTCTCTGACAGTTTACAAAAGAAAAATAAAAGAACAAAACAGAGATTTGTCCGGGATTTCGAGGTAATGGAGAAGTAGCATTTGCTGCTGAGTAAAAAGAATGTTGCTCAGCGTTTTTCAGAAGTGTGCCAAGCTATAGACAAGAATCCATGCGAGCTGAAGACAGAACATGAAACAGATTCTGTTAAACCTTAAAAACTGTCTAGGAAAGAGTTGGTACTATCGAGATGAAAACAAACTTACCAAAAAGAGAGTAAGCGATGCGAAGAGACCCTCTTGGAGTAAAGCTGCATGGCCACCGAAATCTTCTTCATCAACCTTAAGAATCATTGCGTAGTAACCGTAAACGATGCCCGAGGATATTGCCAAAAACCTGCAAAATCCAATCATTAGTTCATAAGATCACAAAGCTTTGCTAAACATAGAGGGTTTAAAAAAGCACTGTGATCAAAAAAGCTCCATGAAGAGGGTTTTGCTAAACATAGAAGGCTTCGGCTCGATGCTAGGTGAAACTAAAAACACCAAGAAACAACGCTGGAACATGATTTTAGACTAAGGATAGTATCTTAAGATCAGTGCTAATATAACCACATGGAAACACAAATGTGCAAAGAAACAATTGTGGCCAAAGTTATGAAAACTCACAGAATGATCCAAATGCCTCCAACAAGTGGAATAGATCCCCATAACAATCCACAGATCAATCCCACCACTTGTCTAATCCAATGCAACACATCTCCCAATTGATCCTGCATCATCATCACCAACAAAATCCAATTCATACCCAACAACTCAAATTTGCATGAGCTTAATTGCCTTACTGATTCAGTAAGATCGACTACGACGATTCATTACTTACATCAAAAAAAGGAATCAAATCTCCATGGAAGTAAAAAAAAAAAAAAAGTCAACGATCAAAGGAGCTTCGAGATTGCCGAAAACGACGGAGGAAGAAGACAGTGTGATGAGTACCTTATCCCAAGAAGCATCGGGATCGAACAATTTCGCTAATTTCGATGGAGACAAGTGAACATTCTGGTGATTATCTTGTTGTTGTTGTTGTAGCTGATTCAGCTTGGCTGATTTCGATTCTCTCATCCTCGATTTCAAACAAAAAACAAAACTTTGGATAGCGAGAGAATCTGAAACCTTGGAAGAAGAAAACCCCCTTTGTCGAATATTGAATTAGGGTTTTTAGATTCAGGCTCTAGTAAGTGATGAACTAGTGGCTGCGTCGTGAGATTATTATTAAACTGTGAGTCTCGTTCATGTTCTGGAATTGGATCGAAGAGATTCTGACTGTGATCCAAATATGTTTTTTTTTTTTTTAAGAAAGAAAATTAGAACGATTTGATCTATTATTAATTATAATATAATTATCCCTTGATAATAATATTGGGATTAGCTTTTGGATATTTTGGATCTGATGCCTCAAAATATTGCAATTTATTATCTGTACGGTGTTGAATTAAGTACAAAATTCTCTATACTAAAAACTACGTTTACAATTTCTGATTTTGGAATAAAAGTTTGACTTTGATTAGAAAAATACTCTGGTCCACGAATTCGTTCAGTTTAATGTTATATATTACTGTTTTTATATTATAAAAAACAATATTAGGAATAGATTAGTACTAGTGTACATATAGTTTGATTACATGATTTATAGTTTGAATTCTTATAACATTTTGTGCAAATATATTATCCATTGGTAGCTTATAGAAATAAAGTAATTATCCTTTGCAATTTGCATCTCTAGTCCTCCATATTTAGATAAACTACAGATCGAACCCATTTCTCCTTCTTTTGTTTTAGTCTCCCTCCGCGTAGAAGAAGCTTCTCCGAGACTTGTCTCTGATTTGATTGAAGAAGACGCTTCATCGAAAATTCTCTTAGATTTCTATCAGGGCTTTAAAGAAGGTGAGATTACATAGAGATCGTGTTCAAAAAAAATGGGGAGTCCAAAGAAGAACGAGAACAAAGGCTTCTTCGCCGCCATGACTTCTGGCTTCTCCATGTTTGGTAGTGCCATGTCGAGATCTGTCAACGGGTCAGTTTCTTATGAACTTCTTCTTTCTTACCTAACAGAATTTTACATGAAAGTTCTTGTTTTTGTGTGTATAAACAAAACACTAAAGATGAAGACTTTGCGTCGTGAATCGCTGTGATTGTGTGACACTCTGTATTTCTAATACAAAAATATTTCATGATATGTTGTGTTATCGAGTCTATGTGCGATGGCTAAACTTATTCTCTGTTTTGATTCTTCAGGTGTTTCATTTTGTTGAATTTTATATTAGAAACATGGATAATTCTATTATTATTTCCTCACAAGTCAATAAACAGATCAAAGTTTGTCATTTTTTTGTAGTTTGAATCTTCTAAGTGAAAATTGTGTGTTATGGTACTGAAGATCCTATTGGTTGAGTGTTCAAATCATGTAGGTTTTGTTAATGGTTGTTCGATGCATTTTCTCTTCAGGTTGCAAGGTAATGAAGGAGTTGAGGTTATAAATCCAGAAGGTGGCAAAGAAGATGCAGAAGAGGAAGCTCAGAAAGGACGGTGGAAGGACGAGGTAACTAATCAATCGCCGATGGTGTCTTTGATACTTCTTCTTAAATTCCTCTGTGTTTCTTTACTTACCCGAAGAAACTTATGTTTTTGTGCTTAATAGGAACGAGATAGTTACTGGAAGATGATGCAGAAATATATAGGTTCGGATATTACGTCAATGGTTACTCTTCCTGTTGTTATATTTGAACCTATGACTATGCTCCAGAAGATGGCGGAGGTTAGTGTTATGTCTACTTCTCGTTTGTTTGTAAGTTTTGTTGTTATTTTTTTTGGCGTACTATATAACATTTGCAAATTTCTCACAGATAATGGAGTATTCTCACTTGTTGGATCAAGCAGATGAATGCGAGGATCCATACATGCGTTTAGTATATGCTTGTAAGTATTTACATTAAAAAAAACTCGTATTGACTTCCGACTTTGTAGGATGTAAGTTAAGATGTATGTGAATTTTTATTCAGCATCATGGGCTGTATCTGTTTACTTTGCCTTCCAACGAACTTGGAAGCCTTTCAATCCTATTCTTGGTGAGACATATGAGATGGTCAACCACGGTGGGATTTCATTTATTTCTGAGCAGGTGCGGTTATACATTTCATTGTTATTCGCATAGTGGAAAATGACTAATTCGCAATAAGTCATATATTTGTTTCATTTATAATAAGTTACTGTGATATTTCAGGTCAGCCATCATCCCCCAATGAGTGCTGGTCATGCCGAGAACGAGCACTTCATTTACGACATCACATCAAAGTTGAAAACTAAACTTTTGGGTAACTCTGTTGATGTTTACCCTGTTGGAAGGTAATTTTTTTCTTATTTATGATACGACCTCTCTCTCACTTTGGTACAGGCTCTAGGAAGAAATTGTTTGCTGCATGTACTCTTTCCTTTCCATAGTTCTCTAACTTCTGTCTGCGGTGAAACGAAGGAATCCGACCATTCTTCTGTCTTATGTTTTTTAACGAAAGAGATACAAAAGATTGTGGTGTAACACTGTCCTAGTAGCTTTCTCTCTTATATTTTCATCTAAGCTCATGCAGCCGGTCTATTGGCCTGCAGAACGCGTGTAACCCTCAAAAAAGATGGTGTGGTTCTGGATTTGGTGCCGCCTCTCACTAAGATTCACAATTTAATATTTGGACGAACCTGGGTTGACTCACCCGGGGAAATGGTCATGACAAATTTAACCACTGGAGACAAAGTTGTACTCTATTTCCAGCCATGTGGCTGGTTCGGGTAATTGACAAGACATCGCTTCATCTTATTGTGTCGTGATACTCTGTTCATTTTGTCTTGTCCTGTAATCCCGACATGCTTATTGATTGAAATTTCCTACCTTGATCTCAGTTCTGGCCGCTATGAAGTTGATGGCTACGTTTACAGCGCAGCTGAAGAACCGAAAATCATGATGACAGGAAAATGGAATGAGAAAATGAGCTACCAACCTTGTGATGCCGAAGGGGAACCCCTACCAGGCACAGAGCTGAAAGAGGTATGTCGTTTCTTTTCCGTTTTACGTTTTTTACTGGACTTTGCTAGGTTCTGTGTGATTATACTTTGCAACCTTGGGATATTGACCAACATTGTTTGGCTCTTTAGCGTTTGCTTATGCTTTTCTTTGTTTTTTCTTGTTTTCTTCAGGTGTGGCATTTGGCTGATGTCCCCAAAAACGACAAATTTCAGTACACTCACTTTGCTCACAAGATAAACAGCTTCGACACAGCGCCTGCTAAGCTCTTGGCTTCAGACTCACGTATCCGTCCTGATAGATATGCCCTTGAGCAGGGTGACCTTTCTAAAGCTGGTGCCGAGAAGCACAGGTTCTTCATCTTTTCTTCCTTCTTAGTCACTTGTTTGTTGCAAAGTTTAAGTCTTTTACTTCCCATTATTCCCATAGCAATTCTCTCCAGCGTGGAACATGTACCTGATCCATAATGCTACTCACTTGCAGTGGCCAAGACTGATCATATTCTTCCAACTAGGAAATTTACTTTGAGAATGATTACATGTTAGATCACACAAAACACTAATGCTATGCTCATGAGGTTCTTCGTGCTGTCTTTTAATCTCAGCCTTGAGGAGAGGCAAAGGGCTGAAAAGAGGACCCGAGAGACAAAGGGACAAAAGTTCACTCCAAGATGGTTCGATCTAACGGATGAGATCACACCTACTCCATGGGGAGATATTGAAGTATACCAATACAACGGGAAGTACACAGAACACCGAGAGACATCAGAGAGCTCAAGCAGCGCCTCCAATGAAACGGACCTAAAATCTATAGAGTTTAATCCTTGGCAATATGGTAATATATCAACCGAATGAGGTAACTCTTATAGTTTAATGCTGCTGTGATTCATGGACTCTTGAAAGTGAGTTCCATGTTGTTTATTCCAGGGTGAAAAATCTGATTATGTAGTTTGAGTGATAAAAACATAAGATTGTGTTTCTGTCTCGTTGTTCTTTGTTCCATTTCGATCAAAAGTAGCTATGTTTGTTATGTTGTGAATCTTGTGATCTTTATATAATTATTGATTGAAGTATTCGTCCTACAACATAAATGTGATTCAATTTCTTTTCTCAATATACATAAATAGAAGAAGAATATTGAATTAAAGAGTATTGATTACAACATTAATTGGGAAAATAATTTCTTGTCTCTTCATTTATTTCACCGGTCATATATCTATTTAATTGGAAGAAGAAAAAAAAGTGTATTATTGGGAGAGCCGCCTTGTGAAGCATACCAACTTTGAAGTGTTGTGAATCATCTCTTCTACGTCAACCATGTCTCCTCAAGTTTCCTCTAACCTTTTTCCCTTTTTCTTCTTCTTCTTCATAAGTCAGATGTAATTATCTTCATTTTTAGACGTTTCATTGTTCTTCTTTCTACAGATTCGTTACACTAACATTTACCACTTTTTCAATATTCAACTGCCACGCTGTAATCTATTTACATAACTTTATCTTAACGACCAATCACCAATTACCATCGTGACAAAAGCTTAAGCTTAGAATATAAAACCAGAACAAAATTAATAAACGTAAGAAAAGAAGATAGTACTATGTGACTATGTGAGAGTAGGAGCAATGACAAGATTCTTGTTAGGTTCATTGATAGCCTCATGCATTTTCAATAAGTCTTAAGTTCCAAGACGTCATGGAACCTTTACGATACGTTTTCGTGACCTACACGAGTTACAATTATAGAATCTTTTTTTTTTTTTCAGAAAATATTTGGTCAAAATGTTAAATCCATATCAATATTTAAAATATAAGGAAAATTTGGATAACTACAAAAATCCAAATTATAATCCTAGTATTGGATTTCCGATCATGCCCGTTTAGATGAGAACCAATAAGAAGAAGAAATTCAAACTATTGTATTTATCTTTACAATCGTGAAATCATTATTTAAAAATAGACGGGCCAATAGATTTCCATTGATCATGATAAAGCGTCTACTTATTTCAACTTTTATTTCCTAAATACAAAACAATAATTTTATTTATTTATTTCATCTTATCCTTTATAAGGGTAAAGTGTGGGTGGTTTCGAAATGTTATCAAACAAACATATCACTATTCAACGAAAATAATAATTAATATAATTTATTTTTATTATTATTTACAATTATAAAAACCAAAATATCTTATTATGTAATCCCTGAAATTATTATTAGTATCAGTAGCTACTAGCTAGACACCAACATTCATGCTATATCTCGGTATGAATTCTTTAAAAAATAAACAAATCCTATTGTTCCTTCAATAATTTAACATGTAATCAAATTTAAACAGTTGTTTGGGTTTTTTGTTTCAAAGTGAAAATGGACCAATTAACATTCAAAAACTGGTTGATGCTATCTATCTTTAACGTATAGTTTAACATTAAAATAGTATCTGTTTGCCACTCTCGATAATTATCACTGTCATAGGATGAGGCCCACCTGTTTGGTCCGGGGGCCCACTAGCGATTCAAGCTTTCTTATCTCCGAACTTAACGCCGTTTACACACTTCCTTCCAATACAACACACACCGAACTCGATGCCGTTTATCCTCCCCGCGACGTTAAGTTTTGACGGTTTTATTTATTTTTCTTATCCTAAAAACATAACTGAAAAAGTGCAAAACAGAGACTCATTTGACGTTTTATTCTGGAAAAATCCCTGCCGTCCGATTGGAGCAAGTGATCAGAAACGTATGTATTTCTATATATCATAGATAAGATATGATGAATAGAAAAATAGAGACAATAATGATGTAAACAAACAAATTAAGCTAAACTTGCAAAAATATATTAAGGTAAGAATGATATAAATATAAATATGAATATAAGCTATAGTCTAAGTTAGATCCACCTGCCACGTGACAGAATGTCGTATAGTTTAGCTTACAGGTTATCTCCACTAACCTATATATTAATTTATATATATAGAATCCATTATAATAGTTGAGATTTTAGATTAATACAACTATGAAACCAAACTCAACAATTATCTTTTAATTATTGAAAATATACTCATTAATCTTAGATTAATGAGTAAAGATATATTCTTGGTATAAAATTAAATGTGTAATCACAACATTCCATGTAAAAAGCCCTACATTTCTTCAAAGATAAAAACTAGGAAAGTAATTAATTTTTTGTATATTTTTGACTAAAACTGAATCATTAAATTGTTGAAAGCTTTTTTTTTTGGTGTGAAATTTTGTTGAAATCTTAGAAGAAGAAGTTGCATATTTTTTTTTCAAGAATGTGCACGTAAATAAAATATTGTTAATGAGATGTAGTTTATGTTTTGACATGGAATATTCTGATTGGCTAGATTGAGGAGTCATGTGATGATACAACTTCGCCACGTGGTAAGATCTGAGGGATTACAAGCAATGAAAAAGCGTGGCGAAGAACCTGGTCTATAGGTGAAGGTGTGTCGACCGATAATAGCCGGTGAAAAGAAAGAGTATAACCGGTAGGACCGGTGAGAAAAGGTCAATATAGGCTAAAAAGGGTTTAAGCAGAAAACGTGGTCGTCTTTCTTAAGGGTTTTTGTTTTTGTGGCGTTTCACAGAGAGAGAAATAGAGATTGTTTTTGCTTGTGGTGAGAGAAGATCGCATCGTGTGGGTAGCGTTTCAAACAAGTAAAAAAAAAAAGATAAAAAAAGTTTCCGTCACTTTCTCGAGGAGGAAGGGGTTTTGGTGTGAGTCCTTCGTTTGCGTTTGTCTTTTCATTTTCCGATCTCGTAATTGTCGTGTTATTCGCCGGGAAAGTGAAGATTGAGATTTAAAGGTGAGATTATTGTAGAGTCTTTCGTTTTTTGTTTTGTCTTCTAGGTTCTGTCGTAAAACTTTATAAAACGAAGGAGATTTTGGTTTTTTTTCAAGGGAATTTTGGTCTGAAAATTTCTGGGTAAATCTCAATTTTACGTTTTTTTTTTTGGTTCGTGGACCTAAATCTTGATTTCTTCCTCTTATGTAATTTGTAAAAAATCCGTCGATTTTTAGTTTTATTACTTTGATGAGATCGATCTGTAAAATCCGATCTGAGATTTAAAACCCTTTTGCAGACCCGTGATCTGGTGGTCCTTTGATCTTGAGATCGAATTTTTTGGTCCATCAGTTTAATTTTTTTAGGGTTTAGGGTTTGCCTATGCAGAAATTTCTGGAAACGACGGTTTGACTCTCGATTTCAGATCTAAAATCGATTAGGGTTTTAGGGTGGTTTAAGCTTTTTCAATGGGCTTTGACCCAAAACCTTCAAAATCCTTCCTTTTTTTGCTTCATGCAGTTTTTCCCAGAGACAAAACCCTTGTGTTCTGTTTTTTTTTTAAATTTTATTTTTGTTTTGATTTCAATGGCTCTTTCTAATTTGATTTCCCAATTTATCTACAGGTTGCGAGTTACTTTAATAGGATTTTGTTGATTTGGTGTGATAATAAGCCATTGATCAACAAGCTTTTTTCGTGTGGCATTCACATAATCGTGTTATGCATTCTGAGAAATGGTGTCGCATACGTGTGTAGAAGAAGTTGGATACAAAAGCTACCTGTTACCTGCCAATGCAAGAGCACCCAGATCCGCCCGGGTATTGGTCTTACCAGTAGCGTTTTTGGTTTAGTTTTAAGGAGCTTATTATCAGTTTATATGATTACTTACGTTTTGTTTCATCCTTTTTGGCCAGAAGAGGCGTAGTATCGAGAAGACCATAAGTGAAGATGATAATATGTGTGCAATTGATTTATTGGCCACCGTAGCTGGACATTTGTCATTTGAGAGCGGGAGTTCTATCGACAAACTGATTGAAGATCATCGTGTAGTTACACAAAAGAGTGTAAAGGAGGAATTCCTGGAGGAAGAAAAACCTCTAATGCCAGTAGCTTTATCCGGTGAAGATCCTTATCAGGGATCTTTGAGCCCCTGTGGATTCAGTTCTGTGATAACTGGTAAAGTAGAGAATGAGGCAGATGGTTTTAGTTACTCTGGTGGTAGTGATGCTTGTCAAGTTGGGAGCTTCAGTGAAGATATAAAACCGGATATCGATGGCGACGCAGTAGTTCTGGATGCGAGACCTAATGTTGTAGTTAGTTTAGGTAGTAGTAGTAGAACCGAAGTGCCATCAAATGGGAATTGTGCTTCCCATGGCGTTCGGGATGATGTAAATTTGTTTAGTAGAGATGATGATGAAAACTTTTCTGGGTACATTCACCCGCGTGTTACTAAAAATTCACTTAGGACTGTGCCGCGTATTGGGGACAGAAGAATCAGGAAGATATTGGCTTCTAGACATTGGAAAGGAGGTTCAAGACATGCAGGTAGTAGCCCGCCTAAGGGGTTCTTCTCTGTTTCACATCTTAAATACATTGATGAGTTTTGTTTTGATGACATGCATTTGGTGTTGCAGATACGAAACCATGGAGAAATTATTACTTGCACCATCAGAGGAGCTATCCTATCAAGAAAAGGAAAAACTTTGATCACATATCTGATTCAATTACTGATGACTACCGTTTGCGTACTAAGATGCATAGAGGTAAAGAGACTTTTTGCTTCTAAACCTCTGTCTAGATCTTGTAGCTTTTTGTTGTTGTTTTAATTAGATCTTGTAAATTTAATTTGTAGGCAGCAGAAAAGGTCAAGGTGCATCCTTTGTGGCAAGCAACTCCCATGGTAACAATTGAGTCTCAATTTTATTCTTTGTCGGTTTTATGTATTTACAAAAGCGGAGAAGCTAACATGAGAATGTATATTTCAGTGAAACTACGGATTAAGTCGTTCAGGGTGCCTGAGCTTTTCATAGAGATTCCAGAAACTGCTACTGTTGGCTCCTTGAAGGTAACATTACACAGCTCTTCCTTTCGCTTTCTATTAAGAAACTAAGTTCTTATGGTCCTTTGGCTTCTGCAGAGAATGGTGATGGAAGCAGTGAGCACTTTACTGAGTGATGGACACCGAGTTGGTCTGATGGTTCATGGGAAGAAAGTCCGTGACGATAACAAAACCCTTCATCAGACTGGGATCTCTCAGGATAACACCCACTTGGACTCTCTTGATTTTAGCCTTGAACCCAGCTCAGAATTGCCTCAACTGTTAACTAGGTTCAGACTTCTAGCCATTACTCGCCACTGCGTTTAGTAACTCAAATCTTTTGTGGCTTAAGTTCTTATTTTGTTTTCCAGTCACCCGTCGGGACATGCTTCTGGCGAGCTGCTACCTGTGTGCCAAGCTGCTAACATGGACAATGTGTTGGAATCTGACCATCATGACTCAGCACTATTCCCATCTGACTCACTAGGCAAGAATAAAGTGACAGAAGATTCTAAAGCTGTGATTCCTGTGGCGCTCACTGAATTGGCTTCTCGACCACCTTGTCGTAAACTTAAGAGAAGTGAACAGCAGCAGCAGCAGGCTGCACAACGCAGAATTCGTCGACCTTTCTCAGTTGCTGAAGTAGAAGCACTTGTTCAAGCAGTTGAGAAACTCGGTACTGGAAGGTAAAAAAACACAAATCATTTAGTGTTGGCTTTTTTGTGATTGTGAGTAGAAGATGATGATGATTGAAGTTTGGTGAAATCTGCAGGTGGCGAGATGTTAAGCTTTGTGCTTTCGAGGATGCAGACCACCGCACTTACGTCGATCTCAAGGTTTGCATTTTAATCTGTACTTTTAACTTAAAATCGGTTAAACCCAAATCGCATAATTAGGTCTGAGAAATGACTGTTTGGTTTTGTGCAGGATAAATGGAAAACGCTGGTCCACACAGCTAAGATATCTCCGCAACAGAGGAGAGGAGAGCCAGTGCCGCAGGAACTTTTAAACCGAGTCTTGAACGCTCATGGCTACTGGACACAGCAACAGATGCAGCTGCAGCAACCAGAGACACAGTCTCAAACGACAGAGGCTCTGCTGATTCTCTAATTGAATTTGCTGCAGCCTGGAGGTCGTCTCTCCTATGTGTATTACTACTATTGATGATAATGTAAGATTCTGACATAGATGCAAAGATTTGGTCTTTTACTTGTTTCTTGGTTTCTTTGTTTTAACTTTTCTCAATGTAAAGTTTTTAACTGGAATAAGGTTTTTCTGACCAGTTTAGGGCTTTTAGAGGATCTCTTGTACATCTTTTGTGACATTCTCATTCTCTTTACATATTTATTATCTAGACTTTTTAAAAATTCTCGCCCTTCTTCCTCTTATAATCTTATTATTTTATGTGTAAATCGTATAGCTTTGAAGTTTTGAACGCAAGTATAATACATAAAATCGTCTAGTGTGCTACAACAAAGCATTTTCACAAACTACCGGTTCAGTTTTTTAGCAAAGAACCAATCTCTTCTCTAAACCGGAAAACACCAAACCGGTCGGTGCTTGATTCAGAAGAAACCCTCCGAATGATTTAGAGGGTTTGAATTGTGTTGAAAAAGGTTCGTCGACTCTCTCTCTAAACACTCTTTCGTCACGCCGTCGAATTCTTCTTCTCCACCAGCGAATCCGGCGACGTTTCACCACCATCTTCTCGAGCCTCTTGTTGTTGATGTTGATTCGAGGTGAGTCTCAATTTCACGCGCCGCCTTTTCTTTCACAAATGTGTACTTTGATACATTTCCTACATAGTCCAATGTTTTCTAGCTAGATCTCCAACGATTTCTGATTAAATTTAGGGTTTAGTACATGATCTTTGTCCTCACTCGCAGGTTTTAGTTAATAAGGGCATGAACCAGATCTGCTCGTTTTCAAGTGTTCAACTTTGTAAGTAAACTAAAATTACACAACTTTATTCTTAGCTCTTGCAATGTTTTTGCTTCTTCGAGTGCTTTGATTTGTATTAGCTCAGTGAATTCGTAAAAGTGTAATGAATAATTCTTTATAACCTTATGGATTTTTTGAATTGAAACTGATTTTGCTTTAATTTGTATATAGATAGATTGATTAAAGTTTAGAATCATTTATCTAATAACTGTGTTTTTTTAGTTTCTAGAAGTTTCAGAGCTTTAGCATCGCCACGATCTTTGAACTATCCCGTGCAGTCTCTCAATCGTTCATCAGTTCGGATGGAGAGTAGCAACTTTTCTTCTGGTGTCAGAACCGAGAGTAGTGTGAAGCCAAGAGGAGCATTGATAGTTCTAGAAGGTCTTGATCGCAGTGGGAAATCAACGCAGTGCGCTAAGCTACTCTCTTTCTTGGAGGGTTTAGGACATCCAACCGAGCTCTGGAGATTCCCCGATAGAGAGACGAGTGTCGGTAAGATGATATCCGCGTATCTATCTAATAAGTCGCAGTTAGATGATCACACAATTCATCTCCTTTTCAGCGCCAATCGTTGGGAGAAAAGGTTCTTATCCAATTGATTCCGTTTGTAATCCTCTGCTTCTTAGTAAGATGACTGAGAAATTCTTGACATTTGCAGGTCATTGATGGAGGAAAAGCTTAAAACAGGAACTACGCTTATCGTTGATCGTTACTCATATTCTGGTGTCGCATTCTCATCAGCTAAAGGTCTCGATATCGATTGGTGCAAGGCTCCAGAAATCGGGTTACTGGCTCCAGATTCCGTACTGTACCTTGACATTTCACCTGAAAGAGCTGCTGAGAGAGGTGGATATGGAGATGAGAGGTACGAGCGAGTGGAGTTTCAGAAAAAGGTCGCAGACTTTTATCAAACCCTACGCGATTCTTCATGGAAGGTAAATGGATTAAGACTCTTTATTTGTTCCTCTGTAGAGTTAAATTATATCTAACACAGAATAAGATAAAACTAAACCTTGAAATGTTTGTGGTAATACAGATAATCAATGCAGGTGAAGCCATGGAGGAAGTAGAGAAGAAGATTCAAGAAGTGGTATTAGATAAAGTCAAAGAGTGTACTAAAGGCAAGCCTCTGTCTCTCCTATGGTCGTCATAAAACGTTTTCCAGTCATAGCACTTGGCCACTTGCAAGTTCAGTGATTTTGAAGGAACTTTTGTTGACGATTATACTATTTTGGGCCGTATAAGCCCATTTACAAGCCAAAATCTTTACTTTATGTCGTCACTCATGACGTCTTAATCAAGTATATTAGTGTATTCTAATTGAGCGTTATTAAGTAAAGGACAAATCATTAAACGATAGTGCATAAGATTAACTAATTAAACCAAAGTTGAAGAATAATCAGAGTGTAATTAACAATAGTATCAGTAGATGAAATCATGATTGATATCATTACAAATAAAAAAGCAACAGAGTGACAGACGACAATGTGAGAGCATGTAATAAAAACTTAGCCACGCGCTCTCGACCGTGAGATTCCCCAACAGGCCTAACACTGAAGTTATGTTTGGGACGGTGTCTATCACGCGCATGAGAGAAATGGTTACTAGAATCAACTTCTGATTGGTACAAGATTATGTTCTTCAGGGTCAAACACAACATTAAATCCTTATAAAAACAAAAGTACAAAAACCAAATCATATGATTAAATATATCACATTAACAAAGATGTGTTCACACTCCGTGGCGTATTAAGAAAAAAGAAATTGATAAACGGAATTTAGACATTATCCAAATTGTTAATTAGACAAATAAGACATTTGAGAGATTAGGAAATGGTCCCAAACAATTTAGTAACACTTTTTCTCGACGTTTACGAACTCTTCTCCAAACCTTAAGTTTTAATGTTAACTTAAACTTGTTTTTTGTCAACGAAATCATTTATATATTATAAAGAAAATGGTCTTTAACACTCACTGTATATGTGAGGAAAATATATTATAGGATTCTTTCTTAGATGGAGAGAGATATTCAAGGTTTTTGTAGGACAACGAAAATTATATAATAAACATACACTTTAATTAGAACCTGAGCACTTGATGTGTAAATCAAAAATATTTGGGAGATAAGATGAATTTAGACTAACAGGTCGCATTCATCGTGAATATTCCTCTTTCTTTCTCTTTCACCTTTACATTGAGGCATTGACTTATTGTATACTCAAAACTCTAATACCAATTGAGTGATTGATCGTTAATCATATTATAAGAATTAGCAGTACTAATTATTTATATCATTATCTGTCATGATCATATTAAGGAATCTAATCGCGTCGTCTTTTGAATTTTGACTATTCAAGAAAACATAGACTGAGTCAAAGATATGAAAGGATTTTGTTAATGCCGACAAAGAGTAATTTGATAAATTAATAATAAGAAACGATTAGGTTTTGGTATCCACGTTCCCTTTACCCAAAATATTTGTCCAATTACTTGGCCATCAAGATTATCTTTATAGTTTGTATAATATGGTATAGTATAGTATTATAAACAGACAAATACAAAAAAAGAATAGTGATTGAAAATAACATTCATGAAAATGGAGCACTAATCAATGTTCCAATACCATCTAGAGTTTAAGCCGTTTAGATGGTTGTTTAGAATTCTAAAGATGTGACCGATATCTAAGTTAGAAAAAGAAAAAAAAAATGTAAGAAAGCTAATTCTAAATTTTTTTCCTACACCAATCAGATGAAAAAACAATCGAAAAAACTTTTAAGCATAGTTTTGCTAGAAAAAAAAAGAATAAAAGATTTTTTTTATCAATTTGATTAAATTTGCAGTATCTGCTACTTAGATGATTGTAGATTCGTATGGGATATATTTTCTTTTTGACATCAAATACTCAATTCTATTAAATAATTTTAAAAAAATTCTCTTCGCTAGTCAAAAACCGACGAGTTTTCATGGGAAAATAGAAATCCATAAGATTTTGTTTTCTTAGTGAGACAATCTATCAGAAAGTTATTACAATTATGGATAAATCTAATACCGAAAGAGAAAAAAAAGAAAATCTAAAAGATTTTGAAAATGGCGAGTTTCGATAAAGTTAGACCATTTTAAAAAATTGGCAATTATCGAAATGAAATCGGTATAATCTGAAGCAAATCCGATAATAATAATAGGGTTTTTCTAACGGTTTCTAAACCGATATGTAAGAACCTATTTGTTCCCAACAAAACCACATTTGGAATTAGATGCATGCAAAGATGCATATATTTTTGTATGGGACATTTTTTTTTTTGAACAAAAGTATGGGACATCTAAACAACGAAATTTTAACACTAACACAATAGTTCATAGTTGTTAGAAATCACCAAAAAAAAGTTCATAGTTGTTAGAAAATAAGTGAGACTCTATGAATTTTTTTTTTTTTTTAAGTTAATCCCAATGCTGAGTAAAGGTACATGACTTTTAGTCATGACCAAGCAATGCAAGTGGAAGATATTAGATAAGTACTCCCTCCGTTTCGTTTTAGTTGTCGTTTTAGGACTTAAATTTTGTTTCGTAATAGTTGTCGTTTTAGGTTTTCAATGCAAATGTTTGGTAAAAATTCCAGTATTATCCCTATTGTTTTAATGTTTTGGCCAATGAAATTTTTTATAAAATATATTAATAAGGGTAAAACAGAAAATTTAATGCTTTTCTTAATTTGTGTGAGAAAACCTTAAACGACAACTAAAACGAAACGGAGGGAGTAAAAGATAACAACGAAGATAGATATTAGTAGTTGCAGATAGATCCGACACAAATTAACTAACCTTTAAATTATATGTATGTTTTAATAACTTGATCCACTTTTTGTGGCTGCTTTAGTGTTTCCTCGAAAGTTCCATTTTTTTGCTCTGCAAACGAAAAAGAACCATAAATATCTCAAATATAAATTTAAAGCTCTCTCTCTCAACTGTGTTCACATGAACTTTCTCACCGCTTTCTTCTCTCTTCGTTGAACAAAAAAAAAACCTCAACTTTATTTTTTTGTTTTATGATAAAATTTGACAAAAGCTCTCAACTTTCAAACTCTGTTTCTTCATCATCATCATCACCATGGACGCTCTGCTACAAGTTTCAGTTGATGGGTTCAGATTTGAGAACGGATCTGGATCTTGCTGCAAACCCAGAAACAATCTCGAATCTGGGAACAATCTCTTCCCCAATTTCAACGAGTCTCAGAATCAGTCTTCACCAAACGATTCACCTCCAACGGTGTGTTTGGATAACTCTCCTTTTCTTAAGTACATCAATGACATGTTGATGGACGAAGAAGATTTCGTAGGTGAATCTCGAGACATAGAAGCTTTACAAGCCGCTGAGAGATCCTTCTACGAGATACTTCAACAACAATCTCCAGAATCTGATCAGAACACAAGCTCTTCCGATCAAAACTCCGGTGACCAAGATTTCTGTGTCCCCAGCAGCACAACAACGAGTTTATCAGATTCATCAGCGTTGGTTTCGAATGGAGAATCACAGAGAAAGTACCGTTATCGGAATGATGAAGAAGATGATCTTGAGAACAATCGGAGAAACAAACAACCTGCGATATTTGTCTCGGAGATGGAGGAGTTAGCAGTGAAGTTCGAGCATGTGTTGTTGGTATGCAAAACGAACCAAGAAGAAGAAGAAGAATCAGCAATAACGAAACAGAGCACTCCAAACAGAGCAGGACGACCAAAAGGTTCATCGAACAAATCCAAGACGCAAAAAACTAATTCCGTTGATCTTCGGAATCTGTTAACGCAATGTGCACAAGCTGTAGCAAGCTTTGACCAGAGAAGAGCTACAGATAAACTCAAGGAGATAAGATCACACTCTTCTAGCAATGGAGATGGAACACAAAGACTGGCTTTTTACTTTGCAGAGGCGCTCGAGGCACGTATCACCGGAAACATCTCACCCCCGGTGTCAAATCCGTTTCCTTCAAGCACGACATCGATGGTGGACATCTTGAAGGCGTATAAGCTGTTTGTTCATACTTGTCCCATCTATGTAACGGATTACTTTGCTGCGAACAAATCAATCTACGAGCTTTCCATGAAAGCAACTAAGCTTCACATAGTTGATTTTGGGGTTCTCTACGGCTTTCAATGGCCTTGTTTGTTACGAGCACTATCTAAACGACCTGGCGGACCACCAATGCTCCGGGTGACTGGAATCGAGCTGCCACAAGCGGGTTTCCGTCCTTCAGACCGGGTTGAAGAGACTGGTCGAAGACTGAAAAGGTTCTGCGATCAGTTCAATGTCCCGTTTGAGTTCAACTTCATTGCGAAAAAATGGGAAAGTATCAGTCTTGATGAACTTATGATCAATCCAGAAGAGACAACGGTGGTCAATTGCATTCATCGGTTACAATACACTCCGGATGAAACTGTGTCACTGGACTCTCCAAGAGACACGGTTCTAAAGCTATTCAGAGATATCAATCCTGACCTCTTTGTGTTTGCAGAGATTAATGGAATGTACAACTCTCCTTTCTTCATGACGAGGTTCCGAGAAGCGCTTTTCCATTTCTCTTCACTCTTTGACATGTTTGACACCACAATACAAGCAGAGGATGAACACAAAAACAGGACACTGTTGGAGAGAGAGTTACTTGTGAGAGACGCGATGAGCGTGATTTCCTGTGAAGGCGCTGAGCGGTTTGCGAGGCCTGAAACCTACAAGCAATGGCGAGTTAGGATTTTGAGAGCCGGGTTTAAGCCTGCAACTATAAGCAAACAGATAATGAAGGAGGCTAAGGAAATCGTGAGGAAACGTTACCATAGAGATTTTGTGATCGATAGCGATAACAATTGGATGCTTCAGGGATGGAAAGGAAGAGTCATCTATGCTTTTTCTTGCTGGAAACCTGCTGAGAAGTTCACAAACAATCATGTAAACATCTGAAAAATGTTACTTCTCAATTACTTCATTTTTGTTTCCCAATAGTTTTGTAGAATATGTTTGATCCCATGAGTGGAATTGATATCTTTTTTCCTGCAAGTACATATTGTATTCTACCCTGGTTTAAAAGATAAATTGTTTAATCAAAGATCTGAAGATAACACAAGCATTTAACCCAAAAAAGTTCAAAACTTTTGGCTATAATTTATCAAACGGGTTGCGACACCACGTGAATACAGACAGCACAATGAACGATCTACTAGAACATATGAACCGATGTGAACTAATGGCAAATAGGTTGCTGCAGTTAGCTAATTTAAACCCTATTTGGTTTGAGGTTTTGGTGGCCTCAAAACGCTCCAGTCCACCTTCTTGCTCTTGGGTTTCTTGAAAGCATTGGCTTTTTTATTGCTCGGTGATGGGTTGTCATTGCTCCTCGGGGACTTGTTAGGACGGTTTTGTTCCTCGGAGACTACCTCAGACTGTTTTCTTTTCAAGTCACCATTTGTATCCCTACTTGGCTCAACCTTTGAACTCTCCGGTTCACTGAAAGAGGATGCATTTTGACTAGTTACCGTTTACAACTTTAAAAAGAAGCAAATCAGAAATGAACTAAATGATAATAGGTGATACGATCTATTGCTTATCGCTATCAGTAACGACTTCATTTGTTTCAAAATTAGATGATCAGTTAGACAATGGATCTCCAGCATTGTTCTGGTGTATGCACACTCTCTAGGAAATTAATTGTTGAGAACCAAAAGAAATACAAAAGCGAAGAGTACAGACCTAAAAGACTTTTTTCCTCCATTACTGCTAGAGCTTGAGGAAGAAGCATCTGTTTTTCCACCGTTTATTGCCTCTTCATTCAATTTCTAAGGAGAGGACAGTTATATTTCAGAAAGCTAAAAGGGAAGAACAGCAATCGCAAATTATTTTAGGCCACAGCGTCACAGACACTAACTAACCTCGATAGAGGGATTGAAAGACTGAAATGACATGCGTCCTAACAATGCTCCTGGCTGAGGATCCCAGTCTGTTATGACCACACTGCATCAAAAATCAAATCACACATTAGTAAACACTACCAAACACATAACAAAGGGTAGACAATAGAATATAGATACACAAAGTCCTTAACAAAACATTAACATCAAGTAAGAAGAAAGATACGGTACCACTTCTTTGCAACAGTGCCTTGGGAAGGAAAACTCCCATTAGGCTCTTCTTCATCAACCGTCTTCTTCTCTACTTTCAAAGCAGACCTTTGCATAAACTATACACAGGGAGCATCAATCATTATTAACACCCGAAAACCAGATTATCAACTAAGAGCTACATGATTGATAAAACACAATTCTTCAATGAAAAAATTGCAACTTTAGCACCAAAAACAAAGCTATAACAGGTGCTAAGCTCAGTACTACCCCAAGGTGAAATCAACCTCGAAGGGATTATCAAATTTTCCAAGAATCAAAATCCAGCAAAATAGAGAAAAAAAAAACTAAATTTTTCAAGCTCGAATTTAATTCAATTTCAGTAATTTCCTTGAGTTTCAAATCCAAGGTCATGCGACATGAATGAAGCTACTTCTCCAGAGAAAGAAAAAGACAGTACCTTTAGATTTCTCAGAGTGCTACTAATCTCTCTCTTCGCCATTATAGCTTTTACGAGATTTCCGGTACCGGAGAGAAGGAACAACTCTTGAGTGTTTTCGTTTTTTAGGTTTAGAAGATTTTCCGATTTGAAGCTCCGTCCCAAATTGACCTACAACAACACTTTTAGGTTTAAGTCTGGTAATAACCTAACCGATTCAAACCGTACCAAATTGAAAATTTTAAATCACCAAACCAAGATTACATTGGTTTAGTTTTTTGGTATTTATTTGATCACGTCTGAAGAAGAAATCCAGACCAATCAAACAGTAGAACACAAATCCAATCTGAAAAACAGCTTACCAAAAGTCAACGAAGCAACTTCAGGAGAAAAACTATGGATTATCTAGGAATTGATTTGAGCTGCGCAATCGGAACTCTCCGTAACGGTGAGTTTCCGGCGAAAGAATGTCTTCTTCCTCTCATTTCGAAGCTACTCGGTTACTTCCTAGTCGCTGCTTCAATGACCGTCAAGCTTCCTCAGGTTGGTTAATTCAATCAAGCAATCACTATGATTTTCTCAACCATAATTCTAAATTGATTGAAACTGTTGTTGTTGTTGTAGATAATGAAAATCGTGGACAACAAGAGTGTAAAAGGCTTAAGTGTTGTAGCATTTGAGCTTGAAGTAATTGGTTACACAATCTCACTTGGTTATTGTCTTAACAAAAAGCTTCCTTTTTCAGCTTTTGGTGAATTAGCTTTTCTTTTGATCCAAGCTTTAATCTTGGTGGCTTGTATCTATTATTTCTCACAACCTCTCTCTGTAACAACTTGGGTCAAAGCAATTCTTTACTTTGCTTTAGCACCAACTGTGTATGCTGGTAAGATTGATCCTTTGCTTTTTGAAGCTCTTTATGCTTCTAAGCATTTGATATTTCTCTCTGCAAGAATCCCTCAGATTTGGAAGAATTTCAGAAACAAAAGCACTGGACAACTTAGTTTCTTGACTTGTCTCATGAACTTTGGTGGAGCTATGGCCAGAGTTTTCACAAGCATTCAAGAGAAGGCTCCACTTAGCATGCTTATGGGTATTGTTCTTGCAATCTTCACCAATGGAATCATTATGAGTCAGATGCTTTTGTATAGAAGCAAAGGAAAAGAAGATAAGCAAGTGAAAGGTATTAAGATTTCATGATATATTGTAAAAGAGATTTAAACGATGTTGCATTCATTGAATAAAGTAAGCTTGTTTCATTACTACTCATAATTCCGCAATCTCAAAAAGTTGTCTCAATCAAAGCTTTAAATTACACTTATTTTTCCTCTCAAGAGAGTGAATAGTTATGTGGTTTTCTCGCTATCTTCGTTACTATTCGCTGCAAAATGAGCGAGTGAATGTTTGTTTAAGCAATGGTTTCAATGGCGACCTTTTGCCTGGATCTAATCTCCTCGGCTTTGTCATCAACAGCTTCCCATAGTTCAGGAAGAGCTTCACGTATGTTGTGAATATGCTCCAATGCAATATCTACTCCTTCCTCTCTGTGTGAAGTCCCAACCTAATGATACAAACAGATTTTAAAGAGGTGAGCTTTGAGATTGACAACTTTTGTTTTAAACTTATTTGTCTCTGCTTCTTTGACTTACCCATACGGTGTGGAGACCGACACGTTTCCCAGTTTGAATGTTGCGGATGCTGTCATCAAAGAACAACTGAAAACACCCAAGATATTTGCATTTTGCAACTTATTAAGCTTCAGTGATGAATTGGTTTAGGTACATAAACAAAAAGTAGTAATATGTTCTTACTGTCTTCTTAGGATTGATGTTGGCCATCTTGAAAACCTGTTCGAATGCTCCTTCAGAAGGTTTGCATACAACCGGAGTCTTTGGCAGTTCGATGCTTGGGTCAGGATTTGCCATGTAACTGGTAATGTCGAAGATTTCTCTGGTTTTGATATCAACAGGAGATTCAGTTTTGGTGATGGGGTTCAGAGTCTCGAAAGATATGATTTTCTCAAAGCAGTTCTCTAGGCCTAGCCTGGCAATAACCTTGGCTGCATGAGCCTTGTCTGCATTCGTGAAAACCTGTGAGCATATTAAGGAAAGATAGAACATCAGAGAAGAAACTGATTGGAAACCAAATTTAAGAGCTTAGCATCAGGGAGTCAAACACATACAACTTTCCGAATAGGCAAGCTAAGAATAATATTCCTCAGAATTGGGTCAGGCTTCAGTGTTGAGTATGGCAATCTCCCATGAACAAAACTGTAAAACAAAGGAGGAATCTCAAGCTCCAAACACCTTACATTTTACAAGACATGTAAAGCAAAGATGAAAGACAGGTTAAGTTCAGTACCGATGGAAATCGTCGTAATCAAAGTCATAACCCACAGCCTGAAAGAACCAACATCAAAAACAAAGGGCATGTGCATTAACAACATTGGATGGAAGATATGGAAGAATGTTAACAGTGTGAAGAAATAAGATACCTTGAGACCAGCCATAGTAGTTCCATAGATTTTATAAAGCGAAAGGCAGAGTTCTTGGACTTTATCTTCTTCAACACCAAGTTTCTGAACCATATATTCTACACATCAACAACAACCAATCAAATGTTGAGCTATAACATAATTACATAAACAACCAATATTCCAGAGAAGAAGAACAAAAAGTGAATCCGAGAACACTTTTACCTTGAATGTTCTTTTTCACTTCCATAGCCAAACCAGAACTGAGAGGGTAAAGAGTATCATCTATATCTGTATGATTAAAGTCAAAAAACAATTCCTTTAATCAGAAAAAAACGTTTAAACTTAAGAAACCATTTCTCAATCATCAAATTGCAATAAACTAATGTTAAAATTCAAATCCCAATCCTAAAAAATTCTTCCTTTCTCTTACCAAATAAAAGACAATCATATTTAGCTTCAGAGTTTTGCTGAAAGTTTTCCTCATACGACATTTTGATCCCAAATTACACCTGAAAACAAAACCTTAAGGAACTGAATCTCAACGTCACCAACACACATTTCACATAAAGTTGAAAACTTTGACATCAGATCCCATAGATTATACATCTAACTCATTCACCAACAATATAAACATTTCTATAGATCAACATAAAACTACACTCTGAATCGAAATCAACCAGGGGAAAATAATGAAAATGCTAAACGTAAAATCGTTACTAAAAGAAATCAATCGTCCAGATCGAAACATACACGAACTTGCAGAGAAGAATCGAAATAAACGAATAATCAATGAAGAAAGTGGGAACCTTTTTTTCTGATCAATGAAACTTCGCGAAAGAGGCTTTAAGGGAAATGTTAACCAAACGTTTTCAATGGCTTTCTCTCATGACTCATCGATTGGTTGTCGTTAAATCTGGAGAGAGAGCATTTTACTCCCGTCGACATCTACGATTTCTCCACGTGTCGTTTAGATTTTTCTTGACGCGCTAACGAATAATCGAATGACACGCGTACTTAATGAGCCGACCAACACTTTTCCGAAATGTCGTGCGCCTTAATTTATTGGCCCTCCATAAATTCGGTTCGGTTTAGATTATTATTGCTAATGTACCATTCCGGTCCACATGGACCTGATGCTTCAATCACCAATAATAGGTAAACTTGCACAAAACTTTTCCATCTATTTTTTTTTTTCAACCATCTAGATTATTTAGCAAATATTGGTGTATATTTTTGTTAATTTTTTACTAGTGTTTGTGGTGTAAAGCTTAATTGTATATTTTTAAAAATAAAAGTAGTGATGTTATATGTCAATTTTGTTGTTGTTGTTTATAGATACGCTACATGTGATTTTGAGGGTAACTGTAGAGGCTATATATGGCTTAGAGCATCATTATTGGGGGGGCCTTAATTTTGGTTCTTAGTAATTTTTTAGTATTAAAATTGTAAAAGTTTTACTTAAGAGCTTGTATTTTGTTTTCAAATTTTATTTATCTCCAATGGTAGTCTCTTAGCATATGGTTCTTAGAAAATTTTTGTTTTAAATAAAACTAAAATTTTATAAAACTTATTAATTGTTGCAAATTTAAAAATTTAAAACATACATGAGATACAATTTAAAACATACATAACATAAAGCACAAAAAATTTAAGCTTGATTTCTGGAATATTTAGTCCATATATGCTCGACCAAATTCTTCTTCAATTGTTGATGCATACCTCGATCCCGAACTCGAGTTCTAGTGGCCATCATTTCGACGAAATTTGTAGGCATTTCTGTAGAATAGGTGAAATCCACCCGTGAACTTCCGGCAGATTCCGCTTGTTGGAATTCGGTTACATTAAACCGAGTATACCCATCTCGTTCGTCTTCTACTATATATCATATTATGAAGTATTATACATGCTCGCATAATATTGCCTATTTTTGTCTTATCCCAAATAAGAGTCGGATTTTGCCTCCGTTGTCGCTAAAAGAATAAAAATCGACAAAGAGAGAGAGGAGGAGAAGAAAGAGAAACGCGACACGTGTCCGTCTCTTAACATTAATTTTGACTCTTAGTTAAGAGCCATTTCTTACCAAAATCAACAATTAAACATTTAATTTTAATCTCAATTTCCCTAAGAACCATGTTAAGAACCTTGCAATAAGGATGGTCTTAACTTCTAGGTTTCTTACAAATATAGAATATGTATAGTCTAATCAAAAGAAAACCAAAAGTTGTTTATTCCTCATTTGCTAGCAATCGCCAAGCTATATTGGAAAACACTTGAATTCTAAAAAAAAAATATTTGAAAAATGACTTGAATTCTAAATATCACGAACTTTATAAAGGAATGAAGGATGCAAATATGTTTCACCTCTAAAAACAAAAAGTCAAAAACAGAATGAAAATATATGATTCGCTTCTTATTCAGATGCTAGCTACTTGTGTGTATATATATAATACACATGTATATCTTTACTCTTTTATCAACCATTACATCAAACAATAAACCATGTATATGTGGATATTTTATCATATTAATACATTAAAAAAAAAATTCTTTTAGCCATGGAGATTAAGCTTCAACAGAAGTTGCAATCGAGAACTGTGCATGTGAAGTTTAGACCAACTTCTACCAAGGCTTGTAATGGTGTTTTCCCTTCTTTCGAATCAGAACTTGTAAAGAACAGAGCTTTGAGTGTTTAGAATAAATGGAAGAGCTTTGCTAACACGAAAAACAGAGCACACACGAGATTGTTAACCCAGTTCACACCAACGGTGCTACGTCTGGGCCGGGAAATCTTTCCCGGAATCCACTATAACCTTTGAGATTTACAAAGAGATCTCTCACCCTCACAGCCCTTTACAAAGCTACCTCAGATTCACTCTCTTTCACTCTCTGTTTCCCCAAGAACACTCAATACAAGTTTACTCCCAATTGAATGTCTCTGCATTTCTTAACCCTCTCTCTCTCCCCAATGCTCAGCTTAAATAGACAAAGAGAACTTAACCTAGGTTCCTTCTGGATCCTTCCCGTTTAGTCCTCAAGACGCTCCTTTGCAGCTTCCAGGAAGTTGCCTCTCGCATTTGTCTTCTAGCTCCTTTGGGTAGAGCTTATCCAGCGAGTCTCTTTACCACAACCAGACAAGAAATGCTTTAACCATTCAAACGTTGCTTTAGTGACCAAAGCAAACGGCTACTCGAGTCTTGTGGTCCTGCGTCTGACGTGTCTTATTGCATTGCTGGCATTACTTGTTCCTCAAGCTTCTTCATTTCTTGTGTTCTTCTTTACTAATTCTCAACAGTGCAGCGTAACTAATTCTTTTAGATTTCTCGTTGTTGTTGTTGGATTCTAACCATAACTCCGGAAGTGCTTCTTTCATGTTGTGAATGCTTTCTAACGCGTAAATCACTCCCATCCACTTTTCTTGATTTACCAACCTGAAGTCAATTAAAATGTACTTATGATGAGTTTAGTTTCACTAATCCTTCTAAGAATTAGTTTATCTCAATTATCTTTTTTGATAAATAACTATATTTTGCCATATCCAATTTGCTATATTTTGATGACAATTAATTCGTCAATATCCAAAACGAAGTTGATCTCGATTTAGATATTCGTTTAGTGAAAACCATCATATGAAATGATACTAGTACTACTTTGTTTGGTTCAACAAGTTAACCGGAATTTACCAAGACTGTATGGAGACCCATGACTTTTCCGGTTTGGATGTTCCGGATACTGTCGTCAAAGAACAACTGCAGAAGAAACACGATTAATAAATTGATTATGAGATAATACTATTGATTGAGAAAATCCATTAAAAATGTCTATTTGTATTTAATTATTAGTCATCAAATCTTACGGTTTTGTGAGGATTGAGCTGTGCAATATCGAAGGCTTTCTCGAAAGCAACCTCGGTTGGTTTACAGATAACCGGATTTTCGGAAAGATGACCTGTGACGCAAGAAACTTCAGCCTCGTTGGTCTTAGGGTTTAAGGTCTCGAAATTTATGATTCTCTCGAAACAGTCTTCAATGCCGAGTCTCTTTAGAGCTTTCATCACATGAACATCATCTCCATTTGAGAAAACCTTAAAAATAATAATAAAAATAAATAAAAAATAGACCCAAATTTTATTAATAGAACATAAGGATATATTACACTGAAATTATATACGCTATAAAAAGATGAGGAAAACAATACCAATTTTCGAAAAGGTAGGCTAAGAAGTAGATTTCTGAGAACCGGGTCCGGTTTAAGGTTTTCATAGGGTAACCTCCCATGAACATACCTATGGTACTCATCATTATCGAATTCATAACCTATAGCCTGCATAAATCATCATTTTCATGACAATTTGTAAACCATTGTCGTGTTCGTAATAATGGAACATTTCAGATTAATTTTGGTGTCTTCAAGTACTTTTATGAATTATGCAGTCGTCAAATATCATGTGAATTATACAATCGTCGAATATATGTAATTTTTTGCTTTGATCAACAAAATATTTATGAAGGTAAACTACCTTAAGGCCAGCCATTGAATAGAGAAGTTGGTTTAGTTCAACAACTTTGTCTTCCTCTATTCCAAGCTTTTGAACCATGAATTCTGAGAAAAGACGGTTCATGAATCTTCGGGTGTTTTCCCTAATAAACATGTTAAATAAAAAAATTCGAAAACAAAATAACTAATAACAAAGGATTAGTACCCATGATGTTGTTGGCGCATGCTTCTGATAAACCGGAGCTTAAAGGATATAGAGTATCATCCAAATCTATTGGAAACAAAATAGATATAGAACAATAAATTTGTTAATGCTTCTTAAACTTAATTTGAACAAATTAAACAACACTTCTTACCAAAGAGGAGACATTCATATCTTGGTGTAGAGTTGGTCACAAATTCCATTTTTTTTTTTCCAAATTGCGAATCTGTATAGGTTAAAAAATAAAAGTGAAATTCAAAAGAAAGAGCATTTGAAAAGAGAATTCTGTTTGCAACAACAATGAAAGATAGAGGAGACAATTACCTTAGTGTTTTTGGGTTTTAAAGAGAGAAATTAAAAAGATTTGATGAAGTGAAGCTAACTACGTAGATATGTGTTTATATAAGCAACAAGTTAATGCGCGTGAAAAGCTATGTGAAAACAATGTCAATAATAGCTTTCGACTTTTGTTTCAATAGCACTTATTATTAATAGTATAAAGTTAATTTTAACACTAACATTTATCTTATAAAAAATACTACTTCTCCTGATTCCCGTTGATGGGAAATATCATCATCTCCATACACTTTCGAGGTTTTATAGAGTTATATTATTATTAGTGGTTGATTCATTTGGTTAACCGTGGGATCTATATATGCATAGGTTGTTAAAGATGAATCCTTTTTTGGGAGGGTACCAACGATCCATATATATAGATCTTTTACTAGGCTACTAGCACATTACACAAATAAGAGAGGCTAATTAAAATACAATTACAAACTATAAATACAAACTTACGATATATCAACAATAAACGGTACATGGATTTTTTATTGAAACATTTATTAATATGTAAATATCATCATATACGTACTACTAAATAAATATGTAAAGCTAAGCTTGAACAGAAGTTTCAATCGAGATCTGTGCAGCGTAATCAATTCTTTCAGTTTCTTTGTTGTTGATTTTGGATTCCAGCCATAACTCGGGAAATGCCTCTTTCATGTTGTGAATGCTTTCTAACGCGTAATCACTTCCATCTATTTTTTCTGATTTACCAACCTGAAACAAATTTAAATTGATCTTTTTCATTTAATGATTTGATCAAAAGTACATATCTATGAGTCTTCTGTCCGAAATTATACTACAAGAAGATCTAACTTAACTTCATCACGTTATATACTTTTGGTTCAACATATATTAATTAAGGTAACAAAAAGAATCGGTTTTAATTGGTGTTAATGTTAATCGGTTCTTACCAAGACTGTATGGAGACCAACGGCTTTCCCGGTTTGGATGTTCCGGATACTGTCGTCGAAGAACAACTACACAAGCAAACAACACGAAAACGTTGATTAGAAGATAAAACTATTTATTAAAAAAATTTAAGCTCTATAGAAAGGTCTAATTATGTTGAGTTGTTCTTTTCTGGAACTTACGGTTTTGTGAGGATTGAGCTGTGCAATGTTGAAGGCTCTCTCGAAAGCAATCTCGGTTGGTTTACAGATAACCGGATTCTCAGGAAGATGACCTGTGATGCAAGAAACCTCAGCTTCGTTGATAGGGTTTAAGGTATCAAAACTTATGATTCTTTCAAAACAGTCTTCAATGCCGAGTCTTTTTAGAGCCTTCATCACATGAACTTCATCTCCATTCGAGAAAACCTAATAATAGAAAGAAATTAAACCCCTAATTTTATTAATATAACATGAATATATAAAACTGAAGCTAAGCAAAAAAAAAGAAAAGAAGATAAAGCAAATAATACCAATTTTCGACAAGGTAGACCAAGGAGGAGACTTCTTAGAACCGGGTCCGATTTAAGGTTTTCATAAGGTAATCTACCATGAACATAGCTGTGGTACTCGTCATTATCGAATTCATAACCTATAGCCTGCATAAATGGTTTTTTAAATTAAATTTCGATTTAATTATAAGCCAATGTCATATTTGTGTAATGGAAGAAATCAGACTAATTTATTGTGTGTGATATTATGAAGGTAATTTTAATTTACCTTAAGACCAGCCATTGAAGTTCCATATTTCTTGTAAAGAATATGGTTTAGTTCGACGACTCCATCTTCATCTATTCCAAGTTTTTCAACCATGAATTCTGCACAAGGGTAATTTGGTGATCTTAAGAAATTTTTTCCTATATAAAATAGTACCAATTAAATATATTAAGAAGTAACCACAATAAAAATCTATAAGAAAAGCATAGCATACCTATAATGTTGTTGGTGCATGCATCTGATAAACCAGAGCTTAAAGGATAAAGAGTATCATCCAAATCTATTGGAAACAAACATTTATAGAGATAGATCAACAACTTTGTTAATTGCTTCTAATTTTTTCAATAATAAAAACAAATTTCACATCAATTATTACCAAAGAGGAGACATTCATATCTTGGTGGAGAGCTGTTCACAAATTCCATTTCTCCAGAAACTGCAAATCTGGTTGGTTTAGAAGAAGCAATTACCTCAAAAAAAAAAGATGAGAGCAAATAATAGACCTGAGAGAAACGAAGAAGATAAAATATTTGATGTAGAAGAGAAGAGAATGCAGAGTCTCTTTATATAAGAAACTTAAATGCGTGTGAAAAATTAATTCACTAAAAATGAGTATTAATTAATAATATAGACGACAAGTACTTTGCTTAATCGAGTTTATAATGGTTTCGTTGTCAAAGAGACATATTTTATGGTTATAGTAATAATTCTCATGATTCCCGTGGATATGCAATTCAAAAAAAACAAATGAAATAAATTGTACTAATCAATAGGCATTATAAAGTCTACGCGTCAATAATTACACATCGTTCTCTTGGTCGTGTCACGTTTCCATTTCGATCTAAACTAAAAGAAATAATAAAGACTTGTAAGATTGACCAAGACTATCTTTTATTTTTTTTCCTTTCTTTTTTTTAATAAGACTGATGAACGAACCGTGTGATGTGACAATTAAAAGAAGACCTAAATTTTTTACTATTATAGTTTGATTTTTTTTTTTAGCAAACAAAACATAGTTTGATAAAAACAGATACCTCCTCAATACATTAAAGACCCGAATTTTGTCTTTTTTTTTTATTGTCTTTTTTTTTTTTTTTAATATTTTGGTCTTAAATAATGAAACAAGTAAATTGGAGACGACATTATAAGCACAAAAAGGTTCAAAACATAAACTTTCACCATAACAAATTAATACTACGACATTTCATGACAAAAAAAATTAAATTTTTTAATTTATTCATATACAAAAATTTTAAATTATTTGGTTTGACTATAATTTATATATATAAGTACACTATGTTTTATTGTTCACGGTGATTAATCCATCAAGCTCATAATCCAGTCATTATGTTATTAAATAATAAATCGTCGAAAATTGAGTTCAAACATATTAATATCTACTGTATTACAATCTTTTTTTAACCCTAAGCAATTTTGAATTCTCAAATTTTCATTTTCTATTTTTTCTACTTCTCCTCATTTTCTAAAATGAGAAAATTTGCTTACATAGACTGTTTCTTTTCAATAATAGAGACAAGTAAAAAGTTATATATTTTTCTAGTAGGAAAATAACACTTTTTGAAGCGACTTCTCCTCTTTTAGCGGCTTAAACGAACCTGGGTCAGTGCGACCGGTCGGTTTCAACAGCTAAGACCAGCCGACGTTAAAGTCATCACAATTAGCTGAGCCAATTATTAGAACCTTCCTCAATTTTTACAGTTTTGCCCCCACATGACTTGTCAAAGCCCATTAGGTTTTTACATAGTAGCCCATTGGGCCTGCCTTTTTATCATAGCCCAAAGACCCATTGTTAATTACCAAACACAGAAGTAAAAGAGAGGTTCACTTCTCTCTCTATCTCTATCTGTTTTCCGGTTTCGATTTCGAAGCAAATATGAAGCTGAAAGAATTTTTCTGAATCTTTGTCTTTGTATCCGTTATTTGAATTCTATTCGCCATGGAAGCTGTACTTCTCTGCTCGAAGGTTGTTCCTCGAGCGACATCGTTGGAAGAGCACCGAAAGTTTTCGTTCAGGCATTTGAACAAACACCTTAAGTGCAATTCGCTTCGTGCTGATTCCAGAAACACTCCGTTGCTCCGAAGCTTTGAAGCCATTCAGAGTCCGTCTAGCTGGAGATTTTCTCCGTTCCCAGTGAGAAAAGGTTCATGGGTTTCGCCCAGATGCTCAATTTCTAGCTCGACTGTTTCCGATTCCGATAACCCTTTCCTTAGCCAATTTCGAACCTTCTCGTTTGGGTCAGTGGTGAAGAAAGTTCGTGACTTGAAAGTGAAGCCCATGGATGTTGTGAAGTTAACTCTTTTGCTATCGATTTTGACTGTGGCTGCGAAAAAGGTGGTAAATTTGGTCTTGGACCCATTCTTCTGGATGTATTTCAGCTGGACATGGTTGTTCTGGCCTTGGTTTATCGCTGTGGGTCTTGCGGGTTATGGAATTTACTGCTTTCGTAAGCATTGGCTTGGAGAAGCCAATGCCTTTGAGCAGCTTGGTATTGTTACTTCAGTCTTCACATGGCTTACACTTGTGCCTCCTGCTTATTTCAATGGTTATCTTGAAGGCTGGCCTTATGTGTTCTTCTTGGCGTATCATTACTTCTTTTTCTTCAATGTTAGCGTGAGAAAACGCCTCTATGGAGATTACTATGCTCGCACACATGATCCCAAGTGGGATGTGAACACGCCTTTGTGGTCTCGGATTCTGTTTGGTGTTGGCATCATGGTTGGACATTGGCTTGCAGCTTTTGAAGGGCCTGAGCTTCACCGATTACCAGGGGGTTGGGCCAATGTAGGGATATGGATTTTGATTGTAATTACAATGCTTATGCATTATGATTCAACGCTATATCTTGCTAGATATTCCGAAAAGGTTGTTGTTCCAACGGCTGTTGTGCAATTTGGTCCTTATAGATGGGTCAGACATCCGATATATGCTTCTACGATGCTTCTTTTCGCTGCATACTGCACTGCCCTGCGTGCGCCTTTGAGTCTGTTGTTTCTTTTAGCGGTGTGTTTGGTTTACTACAACAAGAAGGCAAAGCTGGAGGAAGAATTGATGGTGGAGAGTTTCGGACAAAGCTATTCGGATTATGCTGATAAGGTTAGGCACAAGTTCATTCCTTTTGTTTACTAGTGCTTTAGAGGAACCTGTGTTGTTGTGTCTAATTATCTGGTATCTATCAGTCAAAGATGTATGAATGAAGATGAGTTCAATTGTCCCATTTTTATTGGAATGTTAGGCTTGTGAAAAGGATATGTTTTTATGCTATTCCTGGTTCTCTAATTTCTATTTCAAGATATTTCATATCAGTATTAACTATAATATTAGTTTTTAAAGTTAACACTTTGGGTTAGCACGAATCTGAAAATTGATTGGATGCTATGAAAACCAAACTTCACATCATCTTGATTGCTTGTAGCTGTAGCTTATTAGTGTTAAGTTATTTCCTAATACTTATTTGATTGAGTACTTTATAGTATTAGTGCCTTATCTTTTGTCCTTTGATGACTATCCATCTTTGCTGTTGCATAATTAACCGTGATTTGCTGCATTCGTTTTCTTTTTTCTTGATCCATCTAATTGGGTACATGTGACCCTAATTTTCTAAATCTCCTGATCTTAACTGATTCCCTGACTTAAAGTATATGAACACCTCCAGTTAAAAACTAAAGCTGCTTGCTTTCTGAGTGTTTATAGCCTTTACACGTAAGAAACCGCACACGGAACAATCTTAATCATGATTAGTTTAAATAAAGTGACATCTCTAATCTAATAATTTTCCTAATCCCACTTGCTCCATACTAATCAATCATGTTTAGTTTAATAAAATTCTTCTATTCTGATAAAACTTCCCTTCTTTTATCGTCCTTTGCATTTGCAACCCATTATCAAACTCCACCTGGAAATGTTTCTTTAATTGACTTCTACATGGTACTTTGGAGAAAAAAAGGTTTTGAGGTTTGTGTATAAAACACTTGAAATCTTGAGAGATGTCATATTGAAAACTCTTTAGCTTTGGCTTCTGTTCCTGACACTTGTATAGTGAAGTGGGCTTGTGTTATATTGATGCGATCTCTCTCTTTATTTAAAAGTCTATTAGAGAGATCTTGATGCTACTTCTGTCCCTTTCCAAGTGATTTTACATCGACCAACTAGCTTTCTTTATGTGAGTGTATATATTCATGTACCTATCTCTCTCAATTACTTCTCACCAAAATCATCTTGCTGATTCATTTACTGTTTGAATCCTCTTGATTTCCTCTTTACTTTTTCATTTGTTGATTAAAACCATGGGAGTTCCCAACTATAGAGCTCGAAACCGGTAAGGATCTTTCTCCGCGGTTGAAATAGCTGGGTTCTCGATGAACAGGGAAAAGGTCTAGCCTTTGGTGGATGTTACCAGCCAGTAGTCGCAGATGCAGCACCATTAAGATTCACAAGAGATGTGGTTCCCTTTGTTTTCGCCTCTCGATCCGAAGAAAAGGGTTCCTTTCGAGTGGGAATCTTGATGATGCTGCATCAGCAAATACATGGCTACTCTTATCACTTTTTTTTTTTCATTCTCTAGTGAAGAAAGCAGAGATGTCTTGGAGATCTTACAAAGGACTCAAAAACAGAAGGTAAAGTCTCTTTTCTTGTTTCTGTCTCATGGCAATTTCTTGATCATGCACATGTTGTGAAATATCTTTGAAGTTCATGGTGTTTCTATTTTGCATTTGTTATTGGCAAAACCATTCACATGTGTAAGGATCCCACATATGCTTTAAAAACCCAAACAAGATTGTAACAACTGTATTTAAAATAAATTGATTATGACAAGTTTCTAAGATGAATGTGAATAGAGTGAGTGAGAACTCAGAAGTGAGAAGTCTCTTGTGGTTACGGGTTGTGAGAACTCACATGGTCACATGTGAAAATGGTCCATAAATGTTTGTTGGTCAATTCTTTGCCTTTGGTCCCAAGGTTTATTGCGTATTTATATATTTTCTTTGACCCCATAAAGGATAATAAAAACATTTTTTCCACATGGATCATATGAATTCTCGAGACACATTTTCCTTGTTAGAAAATATCTTTGTTAGGGGAGAAATTGATGTATACTTGCAAATAATAAATATTATTGAAAGTTTGTTTGAGAAAATATATATTAAAATTTTCAAAGTTTACATAAATTGGTGGGTCTCTTGTGCAATGGAATATTGTGAAAGTAAATTCAAATTTTACTTGCTATTTGTTTTACATTTGAATTGTTAGTGACTTTTCTTTAGCAAATCGTACACTAATGGTCCCAACTCCTGATAATATATTTTAATCCGCATTTGTAAGCTTTTTAACAAGTAAACAACGATGACAGAGAAAAATAAGTAGTGACGTCGATGACAAATAGTTTAATAAGTTTCTGTGCTTGATATTTTTTATATATGAAAATCTAGCCCGATAAACCATAATCTCTCGATAATATGATATGCCATGTTACTTCTGAAAATATAAAATGTATAATATGTTTGGGTTTTATGTCAAATATTAGTTACCCATTCATCAACAATTTGCAACAAGACATGTAATCACCAAATCACCAGTCAAATTTAAATCTAGTCTAGTAATATTTATATGCAGATTAGTGACAAACAAAACAAATTGACAAATTGCTAATTAATAATTAGTTGCTCAATTACACATTTAAAAAAAAAAAATGAATGACTAAAAAGTTATGTGCCTAGGCTCTTACATACCCTTAGATGAAGGATCATAGTATTATATATGTTTTTTTTCAAGTGTCACTCGAACTGGCGGCATCTAGGCTTTCTCTAAAAATTATTACCAGTTGAGCTATTGATACTTGATAACTGTTCATAATTTTTTTTTTGGACTACGAAAAAATTACTATAATGAATGATTTATCATTAACTATATTTTAAGTGTAATTCCAAACTTTATTTTATTTTTTTTGGGACCATAGTATTCTCATTAAAAGAAATTAATCTATGAAAATCAAAGTTTGGCGTTCATGATTGTTCTGTAGAAGTTTTATTCAGTTTTATGACGTTCCATTTATCAATTATTTCACTATTCTATTAGACTATTACCATCTAAACATACATGTCAATGATGTCATCGCTTATTTTTTTTTTTTTGGTAGGCACATGTCATCGCTTATTTATCTAACTCGAAACTATCGACGATATTATAATAAATATTTATATTCTAAATTCTACTCCATATAGTACTGAATAAAACAACAATATATAACTTTACCGACTTTCAAAAGACATTATTTCCACGATTTGTCTTTAAAGCTTTGACCTATTTCATTCCAAACTCTCTAGTATCTCTTAGTTCCGTCTTCAATTCAAACATCAAACAAACACACACATATTCTACATTGATGTAGCTAGTACATACATATATATATATATATAGAGAGAGAGAGAGAGAGTTGGATCAAAACCACTGAGAACATCCACTCTTGATTCATGGATGATGAAAAGTTGTGGAAAGTTTCCAAGAAAGATTCCATCTTCGAAACGACTCATTTCTCTTCAAAACCTGTTTTCACACGAAGCTTCTCAACAAAAACTTCTTCTTCTTCTTCTTCAAAACCCGTTTTCACACGAAGTTTCTCAACAAAATCGACGTCATATTCTTCATCAGAACCCATCTTTAGACGAAGTTTCTCTGCAAAGCCTGCTCCTTCGAAATCTTTGTTTCTGTCTAGAAGCAGTTCCACGAAATGCCAAGCTGATACATCTTCTGCTTCCAAGTGTTCCATCTCTCGGAGCTTGTCTCAGAAAGGAGCTTCGGTGACCCGAAAGTGTCGTAATATGGCCAAGGAGCACAAGTCTCGGTTTTACATCATGAAACGCTGCGTTTTGATGCTCGTTTGTTGGCATAAACATGCCTGAGATTCGTTATAGATGTGAAGAAAGAAGATTAGGTTTTTTTTTTAGAATCGACGAAGATTAGGTTATTTAATTACAGATTTTACTCGTTTTTTCTTTACATTTTCTTACCCATCCGTTGATTTTTTCTTTTCTTTTCTGGTTTAATGATATACTTCTTCCACTTTAAATTAGGGCCTGATTGGCAAGTGCTTTAGAGTCTTTACAAAGCAAAAAAAATTCTAAAGCATTGAAATAGATCCAATCAAGCTTTAGAAGCTTTAGCTTTCCTTTTTTTTCTCACAGCCAAAATATTTCCATAATTAATTTTTTTGGCTGTAGAAAGCCTTTTTTTCTAAAGCATACAATTTTCAACTTTCCAAAATTTTAAATGATACAGCAAAAATACTACAGCACTAAAATCTACAGTCACAGCCAAAACATCTACAGCCTAAAATCTACAGTAAAAAATCTACAGCTACAGCCGGAACCAATCAGGCCCTAAATGTATTTTGTTTCTATTGTATTTTGAATAGTGTTGTTTAATTCCATATTTTGAAAACAAATCTTCACGAAAATCAACTTTTACTATTGTAGATAAAATCTATTAAGTAAAAAAGAAAAAAACTGCAAATGTCTATATGGAAAGAGAATTTTGTTGAATCACATTTTTATCGATTCATGATCACATGATGTAATGTAAATATACAAAGTGTCATGGATTAGTTTTGTCCAAATATATTTTTACACTCTAGTTTATTTCTAAGTATTTTCTTTTGATTAAAATTGTTGGATACTACTTGTATTGAAGTTAGAGAGATTCCCTCTGAAACATTGGGAAATTAAAAGACATAAACAAAACTGTACGAGTGTTCCAATTCCACCGTTCGCATTTATATATGTCGGTCCATATCACAAATTAAAGTAAATAATAGTACTATCCTTATTCCTTAGCTATGCAAATCGATGAAAAAAAAAAAAAAGCTATGCAAATTATTCGAAAACAAAAAAAAAAACTATCGGCATATTAATTCGCAGTGTTGGGCTTGTAGGCCGATTTTAATCTGTAATGGACCCTTAAGAAGAAATCTAATGTGCATGAGTCGAATCTAATTTTTATAGCAGATCGATGAATACGTAGCTTATAGTGGCTTGGTGGCTTATCACATTCACATATCATATACATAAATGTTTATATTCTTTTTCACAACGGTTTACGTACATTGAATTGTTAAATTCTGCAAAATTAACAAAAACGTACGAAGAATATGAACAAGGAGATTTGAACGAAATAAAAAACTAATGAATGAAACTAAGTATATCGATATCACTTAAAATCAATCCCAAATCATAACAACAGAGAGCAAAGCAACGCCGAGGAAGACAGCAATAAACTTGTAGATTGGCTTGTCGAAGTAACATTCTTCACGAGGCTTATATCCTTTTGAGATGAGATGGTTAACCGCAACATACACGAAAACTCCACACGCTAGGCCCATAGAGATCGCGTAGGTCCAGTCACCACCAGCTCCTTGGCTAGTGGCATTGATGCCAATGCCAATCCCGACACCTATGGGACTCGATATCCCAAAGGCGAAGGAGTAGACGACAGTGAGAAAGAATGGACGTTTAGGGATTAGCTTGAGGAGAGCTATTCCCATTGCTACGGCCGCGAAGACCTTGTGCAACGATATTGTCCATAGGTTTCTCCAAGCGTCGCTTTTAGTGTCTGACCAAAATATTCATTACAAAACGTTACTAAAGAATAATGTTTGAATATGCATCATGAACTGGCTCCAACTTTACATTAACTTTCGCATTTGTAACTTCTAGCTGGATTTTTCTTCTAGATTATAACTAGTATTTTGTCATCTATAACTCACACATGCAAAATACCGAATTGAAACCGAATTATAACACGACAAAGAAACTAGTTCATATCGAATTCATGGTCATATTGCATAAGATATTATCTTCAGAGTGATTTACACTATCAATAAGTGCTTTTAATTTCCACAGTTCAATAATCATGGACCAAACCTAAATAAATTACCAAAAGTCACATGAAATGAATGATATGAACTACTTCTAAAACAATTCCATCAAGATTAAGTACATGATTATTTAGCAAAGAAGCAATTAGGGTTTAGCATTATTAGTTACCTGAGAGACCAATGGCGATGCCCTCAAAGATGGAGTGAAAACAAAGTGCAAAAATCAGCAAAGCTGTGTCTCCAAATCCACTCGTTCGTATAAGCACTTGACTCACATCCACACCACTCTTTATCTCACGACGTCCTTCCTCTTTCACTGCCGCTTCATCATCCACCCTCGACTCTCCGACGACGCTAGCTCCACCGTGGTTGTTACTACTCCCAACCGCTACAAACACAACCGCCACATCTGCGAGCATTGTAAGGCAATATCCAGCGGCTGCTAACATGAAGGCGTAAGGATACTCTTTGTGTTTTAATCCTCTGAATGTCTCGTTAGCGTCGCTGAGAAAATGGATTAGAGCGGTCGCAAGGAATATACCGCCGGAGAATTGAGTTCCGAGGAGGAGAAAAGACTCGTTCCATCGGTAAAAGTAAGGTGAAACTCCGGCTAAGAATGTGCTAAAGAAGAGGATTATAATACAGTAGATCTTCACAAGCACCAAGCTTTTCGATCGGAGATTCACTACGGTTGTTGTTCCGGTGGCCGGAGGTGGCTGGTTAGTCTCCTCTTCGTCGCCGTCGTCTATGCCGCCGTGAGCTAGGATCAAGGAGAAACAGAGGAAGAGAATGGAGAGGAGGAAGAGAGTTGACTTTAGGGTTTTGGAAGACAAAGCCATTTTAGTTATTCTTTGTTTTGTTTTGTTTTGTTTTAGTTATTGTTTGTTTACACTTCATGAACATTATTAGTGTATGTTTATATATGTTGGTGTTTGTAGTACAGTGTTGACTTTATCGTTAGAGATTTGCTGTGACAAGTACAACGGTAAAGTAATTCGGAAGTTGTACTACAAAAAGTACATACAATGTAAATAAGCTAATAACTAAATCGCCGGCGACCAAAGAGCTGGTTCTTTGTGAAACGCCCTGTACCGGATACAATTATCCCATATGATTAGAGTCAGAACGTTGACAAAATAATAATATGAAAATGATACTTTGATTTTTTAAAAGAAATTTTAGTTTTTGTCTAGTGAAGAATTATAGAGATATTACATCCATAATTCTTCAGACCGGAATATTTGTTGATTACCAAAAATTAAAACGAAGACTTACAAAAGTTTTTTTTTTTTGGCAATAATCTTTAAATTTTGAATGGCAGTAAATTTTCCAAAATTGATTTTTTTCTGAGAAATAGAAACTTTCTTAAAACGTAACGGAAAAAATATACTGTAAACTTCTTAAAACGAGTTTACGTTTCAAATTTCTGCAGAATATTATAATATCAAATCAAAATTCTTTCCGTAATAAATTTGCCTTTAATACCAATATATATAATGGATGTTTCCAATTCGATTCATATGGCTATGAAAATAGGCAGAGTGAATCAATATATTGTGTATCTCTCTCTGTATCAGCATATATTTTGTATCTTTAGTGAATTTTTCTAGAGTTGAGCAGTTAATTAGTACCACACTATCACGTATAGAAAACCATTTCATTGTTAACTAGTGCATGATTGACATATAATTCTTATGCAGACCAATCAGGCAATCATATGCATTAAAGAAAATATAAGATTTTAGGTCGAAGATCTATAATTTTCGGTCTAATTCACATCTTGCATAAGAAATTGAAAAAATAATAAATATAGAGACCGTGCCGGTCTAGTGAGCTTTGATTATCTATCATATAAAATGTTGTCAACATTCAAATAATCCGGTGGTGATGGAGGGCATGACGAATCTGAGCATATTGACAGCTATATCCATATATACCTTTATAATACACACATTGATTAAGAAGACTCGTTACCTCTTTTGAATTTATATGTTATTGACAGAAATATCCATGTATATAATTTAATATGGATGTCGGATAATATTCAAGTAGGAGTCAACAACTTCGTTAGTTCTCCATTCCATCATATACTGTATATGAATAAGCAATTTTAAAATTGGTGTTGTATACTCTTCACGCTGATGAAAAAAAAAACCTTTTTAATTGAAGAGCTAGTATTTAGATCAAATGAATGCAAAACATTCACTGATATTTTTATACAGTACTTATACCTATCTATGGCTAAGAAAGATCCAAATACAGAGTAGTTTAACACATAAACGTTAACATAATAAACACATTATTTCTTCTTATTTTTGGTACATTTATTTGATTGTTGTAGAGCCAAGAACAGAGTAGCTGATGCAAGAAACACACCAATATGTGGATGGTATGAATATCTTACAAACAAACAAGACAATGAACATTTTTCTTTATATAGTTCTTTTCATATCCTGAAATTTGACAGATGCGATGTTCCATCAAGACCTTTCTTAAAGTATCCTTCGGAGTATTCTCTTAAAGTTGTATCTCTATATTTTGGAGGGTTTTCTTCAGACACAAGCTCTTTCATCGGTCCATAAACTGTTGAATTCTCACGTATGCTTGAGCTGAAAAAGCTCGCTACTGAAATCCTTGGTCCTCGTGTATTCGCAAGCACCCTATGCTCCACACTTATAAACTTATCGTTGGTTATCAGCTGCAAAATCAAACCCAACATATATAAGCAAAAGACCTATGATTTTCAAGGTATCTGTTTTTTTCAGATTGTTACTTTACCTGCAAGAAATCTCCGATGTTGACTACCAGAGCTCCAGGAAGTGGAGAGACATCAACCCAAGAGTCTTGATGAAGAATTTGAAGACCACCAATGTTGTCTTGAAGAAGAACCGTGAGGAAAGAGTTGTCTGAATGTTTACTTATCCCTAAAGTTAGGTCAGGTTGTGGACAAGGTGGGTAATAATGGCAGATCATAAGCAAACTCTTCAAGCAATCCATGCTCTTAAGTATCTCAGATTTCAAACCTAGTGCTTCTGAGAGAAGCTCAAAGAGCAAATCACCTAAACTCAACACATGCTTTGAGTATTCAATCATAGCATCCCTGAGTCAAATCAATACTTTTAGAAATTAATCACTCTCTGTTTAAGAAAAACAAAGTCTTCACTATTCAATCACTTCTTGATTGTTTCCGATTAAAGAAATGAACAAAAAAGGTTAGCTTGTTTCCGGTTACCTGCAAGTCTCTGGGAGCTCCTCAGGAGCTGGTGGATCAGGAGCCATGTAACAAGAGATGGAATCTCTCCAAGTAAGAGACGGCGAAGAACTATATAGATCGAAATTACTACTGTAAGCAAATTTGTTCTTGGTGAAATCAAGTGAGTAGTATGATTTCTTGACCTCAGGATCTTCTTCCTCGTGAAACCTACGAACCCCATCTTTAATCTCTTCAAGAACGTTTAAAGGAACACCATGATTAATCACCTGGAAGAACCCCCAATTCTCCACCGCATATTTGACTTTCTCAACGACGGCTTCACGTGAAGCTGTGTCCACGTAAACGCTTGCAAAATCGATGGTAGGGATCTCTAGGTCTGAAACAGAGGGTTTCTTGTCTGGTAAGGTATCTTGCGGTACATGGAAGATTCGAGGGATTTCGGTGATCTTAGCATCGATGAGCCCTTTTACACCTTCTTTTGTCTCGTCGAATGCTTTTCGCTCGGTATAATGATCGAATTCGATAGAGTTTTTGGCCATTTTACTGTTTCTTACTTCCTTCTAAGGAACAGCAAAATGAAGATAAAAAGGACGACTGAGAATAGACGGTAGTAGTAATTGTGGATTCTGACCGGAATTAATGTTGTCTACTTCTCTCTTTCACATTGACTTTAATGAGTTGTCGTGATTGAATTTTTCTTTGGCACTTTTGTTTTATTAAAGACTGATTAGCTTGTGCACAAAAAAAAGAGACTGATTAGCTTTTAATTACGCATATAACCCTGGATTCTACTTTAATTACCGTAATTTGAGTGCTGAAATTGAGGAGAGAGCTTTGAGTGTGTGTTTTTTACTATTGCATCAATCAAAAGATGGATTTATCATTTATGTTACAACAAATCATGACGCAATTCCTATCACTTGATAACATTTTACAAGTAATAAAATTTGAGTACAGAGTAGCTAAAGAAATAAGATAGACACACACACACACACACACTCTATTCTTTCTTATTTTTGGTACATGCATTGGTTTGATTATTGCAGAGCCATAAACAAACAGTATATTTGATGCAAAAGTACTCATTATAATAATTCTGTCGATCATTTTCTTTTTTCATATCCTGATATGCGATAGATGCGATGTTCCATCGAGACCTTTCTCAAAAAATATTTTTGAATACTCTTTTATGGTTATGTCTCTGTATTTTGGAGGGTTTTCTTCAGACACAAGCTCTTTCATCGGTCCATAAACTCTGGAATTTGGACGCATACTTGAGCTGAAAAAGCTAGCTACTGAAATCCTTGGTCCTTGTCTATTTGCAAGCACTCTATGCTCCACACTTACAAACTTATCGTTCGTTATCAGCTGCATCAAATCAAATCCAACATTATATAAACAAAAGACACTTAAGTTTAAGGTATTTGGTTCTTCAGATTGTTACTTTACCTGCAAGAAATCTCCAATGTTGACGACGAGAGCTCCATGAATAGGAGAGACATCGACCCAAGAGTCTTGATGAAGAATTTGAAGACCACCAATGTTGTCTTGGAGAAGAAGCGTGAGGAAGGAGTTATCTGAGTGTTTAGTTATCCCTAAAGTTAGGTCAGGTTGTGGACAAGGTGGGTAATAATGGCAGATCATAAGCAAAGTCTTCAGGCAATCCATGCTCTTAAGGGTCTCTGATTTCAAACCTAGTGCTTCTGAGAGAAGCTCAAATAGTAAACCACCTAAACTCATCACATGCTTTGAGTATTCAAACATAGCATCCCTGAGTCAATAAACAATTTAGAAATCAATTAAACCACCTAAGTTGTTAACTAATCTCACTTCTAAGTTTTTAAGAAAAAGTTAAAGAGTGTTCCCGTTACCTGCAAGTCTCAGGGATCTCCTCAGGAGCTGGAGGATCTGGAGCTATGTAACAAGAGAAAGAATCTCTCCAATTAACAGACGGTGAAGAACCGTATAGATCGAAGTTACTGTTGTATACAAATTTTTTATTGGCGTCATCACGCGAGAAATATGATTTCTTGAGCTCAGGATCTTCCTCATGAAACCTACGAACTGCATCTTTAATCTCTTCAAGAACGTTTAAAGGAATACCATGATTGATCACCTGGAAGAATCCCCAATTCTCCACCGCATATTTGACTTTCTCTACGACGGCTTCACGTGACGCTGTGTCCACGTGGACGCTTGCAAAATCGATGATAGGGATCTCTAGGTCTGAAACAGAGACAGAGGGTTTCTTGTCGGTTAAGATATCTTGAGGGTGGTGGAAGATACGTGGGATTTCAGTGATTTTAGCGTCGACGAGGCCTTTTACACCTTGTTTTGTCTCGTCGAAAGCTTTACGCTCGATGTAAGGATCGAATTCGATGGAGTTTTTGGTCATCTTTGTTTATTTGCTCTTACTGTCTTCCCAAGGTTTCTGCTATATATGAAGAAATAGCAAAATGAAGATAAACAAAAGAAAGATTGAGAATGAACGGTAGGAGTTTGTTTTTTTTTTTTTTGGTGTGTGGGACCGATTTATGTTTGTCCGTTTTTGTGGAATTTCTGAATGGAACTAAAAAAATGAATGATTACATGAATGTGGTGTCTCACACACACACACACACACACTCAGTGACTTGTCGTGCTTGAATTTCCTTCTCAGCTTTTCTTTACCGATTTTTGAGTTCCGAAATTGAGGATAGAATTCTGAGTGTTTTTCGACTTCTAACATCTACCCCAAAAAAAAGGATTCGAAGACTATATTATTATGTGAAGTGTTGTTGTAATTAACTCATGGTGCAATATTTGGACTAGACAGTTTTGACCTGGTCATTCATTTCCAACCATAAATGTAACGGTACCGTCAAGGTACGAATAAGAAAGCCTGCAATTGAATTTGAATTCAAATTTGGCAACTTCAGCATCAATTCTCACGACTTTCTTATTTTCTTTTTGTTTTCTGTGCATCTCTTAGCATCCGAGGAAAAAAGGGTAAAGGTGGGTGGGCACACATTCTTTTACTTTTTCGGATTTTCTCGGAAACCAAAGAAGCCAAATTCTCGGGAAAAGTTTCCAAGGGGTCCAAGACGAAAGATGAACAACACTTCTTTATGCACACATTAGACATTTTGATGTAACATAATCGAATTGATAATAGAAAACGAAGCACCAATCTTTTTCTTCTGAATTTCATATTTACATTGTTGAATGAACAAACCAAAAAATAATATATATAGTTATCAATCAATGAAGAACTGAAGAAGAAGAATCTCTGTTACTTCTGTTTCTCCTGAAGTATCTTCTCATCACTGAATTCGACCTATCCAAAACCCTAGATTCTACTTCAATGTTCAAATCCAGATTACTGGAAGAAGAAATTGCAGCAGATGAAGAAGAGCTACGATTTGGTCTCACTCTCCTCATTAACGACACCATTCCACGAACCATCCTTCTCAATCTACCGCCGGAGCCAGTACCGGAGCCCGCACCATTGCTATCCGATTCGAGTGTACCGTGTGACCTAACCCATGAGATCCTTCTAGGACCATCCTGGCTATTACCAATCCCACCACCGTCCATTTCTGTTAACACCACAGGTAAAACTCTCTCTCCGTCTCTCATTGCGGCGTTAAACCTTCCGACGGCGAATCCGCCACCGGGGAGTCTCCAAATTGTCATCCCCACGGCGTTATCCTCCTCGTTGTTGTTGCTTCGTCGATTAGGCTCTGAAGGTAGCTCGAATCTGCACACGGGGCAAGAGTTTCGAATCGATAGCCACGGCACGATGCAATCGTCGTGGAAGAGGTGTTTACACGGCATCTCACGCGCCTCCGTCTCCGCCTCGAAAATCTCCGTGCAAACAGCGCAATTAGCCTCCGAGCCTATGTGGCAATCCGAGATTTCGACTCTAGGCAAAGACTCAATCGCAGATTTCGACGCCGGAGGATTTCCAGATCTACCGATTCCGGTGGCCGACGCTTCGATCTGGCTTAACTGTTCGAGTAACCGCTCAAATCCAGATCCCATCAAGATCTCAGTTACAGAATCCGGAAGCGGTCTAAGACCCGATCCGGATCCGTCATCGTAATAAAACTCAAAAGCGCGTCGATCTCTAGCCGCATCTCCTTCTTCTCCATCTTCTCTCTCGCCGGCGCCTCCTTGGAGTACGATGACCGGATTAAACGACGGACGACGACCGGATCTCCGGCGTCTAATCACGGATCTACGGTTGTTATTAATCGATCTTAATTCAGTAGAAGCCGGAATCGCTAATTCGGTAGCGGCGGAGGAAGAATCGTTAATCTCTTCGATAAAACCGCCGTCGCAGTGAGGACAGGCGACACCGCCGACGGTGGCTGTGCCTTGATCAGCCCAAACGCTGACGAAACGCGTACAGCTATAACACCAATACGAAGCCGTGATCGGCGTTGTTGTAGTCGTCGTCGTCGGCGTTGACGGCATCTTTAAAACGTTCTTATTCGGTGAGAGGAACTGAGAAGAAGAATCGCTGACCAGAGTAATGACAGAGAGGTTAGAGATGAGAAAATGAAAACGTGGTTTTTAAAGCGATTCTTAGGAGCGGAATTAACGGCGTCGGATTAGACGGTAAATAGACACGTGGTGAGTGTTTGACTGGGTAGATGATAGCGGAGGTATAAACGGTCGTTAAGCAATAGAGAAGGAGCGTTTTGACCAAACGTGGAAAGTGTAAAACGCTGAGTAGAAAATTCAAAAGAAGCGCCGTGTCTGCTGTTTGTGGGATCCATAAGGGACCTATTTGATCTCCGTTTTTTCTGGGAAAAGACACTAAACGACATCGTTTCGACCTGTGAATCATGCCAGAAACAAAAGTGTGCTAACTGCAAAATAATTATTTCACTTTTTAATTATTTTAATTTTTTTTTGTTAATGAATTACATTAAATAATTTGTGTCATATTTTATTATGTTGAGCAATGAGGTGGAGGATGGAGAGTCTTTAGAAAATTAGATTTTATACACGTTGATGGCTCAATATGTTTTTTTTTTTTTTTTTTTGGTCAAATCAATATGTTTTATTTGTCAACCGATGGCTCAATAAATTATATGTGAATTGATAAAATACATTACATAAACCAACTAGTATCTTTGTGTATTAACAACTTAATTTATATAGGGTGCCAACTTGATAAAATTACATCTAGAATAATAGAACCAACTCGTGTCTATATATAAGGGATGTATTAACTTTCTAATCAATTGACCATATTAAAGTTAAAACAAACGAAAAGAAAAGTTCCTCAACTATTTTTCTCTCTTTTTGTTTGCAAGTTGCAACCAATTGACATAGATAGACAAATCGCAATGATGGCAACTGATTACCATCTTAAAGACTATATACACAAATACATAATGATAATATCAACTTAGCTGAAAACTGATTGCTACTTAATTGCTAGGCCTAGACACAACAACAATAGAGTAAAACATGTTAATTTTTGATAACATATTCATTTTTTTCCATGGATACTGAATCAAATCCAATTGATTGACATAGAAATAAACCAAGGTTTGCATCTTTATTATGATCAGACAAACATTAAATTTTATTGACTGCATTGATAAGTCATCAACTTCAATTGGTTTGTCCTCCTCTCCCTTGATGGCTAAGATTATGCAGGGAGAAAAAAGACAGAAGCAAAATGTTACACAAATGAAAATCAAAGAGCATTTGAAACAATGATCTAAAATTCCTCTGAAACCAACAATGGCAGCTCTGAATCTATACCAGAACTGAAAAAATGCCAGCTTGAATCATGGAACGCTGCAAAATAATCTTCAGATACCGTCTCAATAGCAAACTCGCTTGTGACTCTTTGTGCAGCTATGATTCGTTTGGTGGCACAGATGACTTCTGGGTCAAACGAAACTTGCTCCTCATACATCTGAAAACTGTTCCCAAACAATGCGATTCTAGACAATCGATCCATTCTCCAATTTGCTTCCAACAGGTTGCCGTATAAATTGGCTTCACAGTGTGGCATAAAGAAAAGAGTAGGCCTTAAAGCTTCTCGACGAGCTTGCTCATTCACAGATAGAACAGTGCATCCCAAAGATTCTAAGAAACAAGATTCAGTTGCAGAGAGAACTGGATCAAACACTTCAATGTTATCACCAACCCAATCAAACTCTCTCTTCATCAATATCGCAATGCTCAGCTGAAACCTCGGAGATTCATATGACTCGATGCTGCCTATACCATACATCACCATCTGCAACTGTGTTTCATTGCCTAACACGAGGCGAATCTTGTCCGAAACCTCAGGAGACTTAAGCTGCTCTAAGAATGCTGCGTAAAAATTCGAGCTTTCGATTTTCTTCAAAGAGATTTCCATCTTCTGCTTTAGTCTTGCTTGTCTCTTCGGATCAATTTCAAGATCATCAGATTTCCATGGTTGCTCTTCTTCTTCTGCTGGACCTTTAGGTTTCGATTTTCTTCTTCTTACTTGTCTTCCTTTACTAGGTAAAACCACTGTCCACTCACCATCACTGCTTGAGTTTTTAACCGTTTCTTCCATTGAAGCTTCGACAAGAAACTGGTTCTTCTGATCTAATCACTCATTTACACTACTCCACAGTCCCCCAAAATTAGGGTTCCTACTCAATGCAATGATTCCATTGGTTCCGATTACCTAAACATCACAACAAATTTCGAATCCTAAACCTAATTATCAATCTCTTTGCTTGATTCTGATCTATCTACTTTGAGATCGAGAAAAACCTTTGAAAAGTACCAAAACAAACTTACTATTAGAGACGAAACCACAGGAAGAAGATCGAAGAAGCTTGCTCGCAATACAGAGGAAGCAGATAACGCTTGGAATATGAGGCGACCGAGTGGACTCAGTGAGACATTTGTGATTGAGTTTGGTGCTGCCGAGTCGGGCGGCGATATAATGAAACAGATGATTTGTACGCGAAGATTTGGAAAACAGATATTGGGCTAAGGGAAAATGGAATGGGCCTAGATACGGCCCAATAATGGCGCGAGACAAATACAGATAACTGAATTAAGTTGGGTCATAATTTAATTTATGTAATCCTTAAGATGGTCGACTGTTGCTGTCAAAAAAAAAAAAAAAAAGATGGTCGACTGTCATACTAAACTTAATTAAAAGCAAAATTAAACAAGTTTAACGAGTGTCAAAGAGAGTAAAAAACAATAATTAGATTAATTAATAAGAAGTTCCCTACTTCGAAACATACTCTAAATAATTGAAAAAAAAATAAGGGGGGGGTATTGGACGGATGAGTTTGATAGAATTTTATAGAATCTTAGATTCTAGTGTTATTCAAGTAGACGTTTCACAAATTCTTTTAAATTCTTGTGTTATTTAACTTCCTCATTTCTTAATTCTAATAATTGCATGTGTTATTCAATTTTTTGTAGTTTTTAATGTCCTCGATACTTGATAGGAATTTAATAGAAAAATCATATATATGAAAGGAGGTGAACACTCTCCATATGATGGACACGTCAGCACTCCAAAGAATGACAAGTGGCATTTTTAGTTTTTCCAAAACATATCGACAAACAATGTTGACGAATAAAATCCTTACCTTTTCGCCTCCTCTTCTACGTTTTAGAAGCTGGGAAGTTTTGTCCCAAAAAAAAAAAAAAAGCTGGGAAGCTTAAACGTTCGAGACCCATCACCTCACCTCTGAAGATGATATAACTGCTCCAATACTAATTCTCAGCTTCTCGGGTCATCGTCATGTTTGCTCAACGGACGATTTTTGTTTGATCATTTAGGGTTAAACCCAGAATACAACATTCATTATCCGAGTATCGATTCGAAAATCTTAGTGAAGTGCTAGATTGGCAAATTCAATGGCTACGCTTTATAGAAGACTTGATTGATCTCTTTTCTCAAACCCTTCGTCGGCACAAATAACATCCAATTTCTCCATTAGTCGCCCACTGATCCGAAGGTTTCAGATCCAATTTCTAGATTTTCTGGAGAAGAACGCGTGATCACAAAGCGACCACTCGAAAATAATCTTGAATTTCGCATTTATAAAGTAGAAAACGTAGGTTCTAATTTCAGTTGATACATATGGTTTCTAGGGTTTTTAGTCGTTATATTCATTAGATGGTATCTGTTTATTTTTATGTCGACTCTTGAGTTCTTTTACTAATTCTCACTTTTGGTGAACGGTCACGGTCTCTGACTCAAAATCGAAAGCAACGGATTGGATGTGAGCTCTTTGGAGCGTGATGATATATATTTCGTGGATTTCCTGGTTATGAAACTTGAGAGGAGTTTCAGACGAACCCTAGGCTGAAGTCAAATGACCCAAGATCGGTTTGTTGGATTTCCAAGAGAGAACTCGTGAGAACATAATTTTTGGCTGATGATGCTCTGTTGTCATCGACCACACAACACAAGGTTAGGATTGTTTTCTTTGGCGTTTTGATTTTTTGGATTATTTTTATCTTTTTAAAAGGTTTATGTTTATGGTTTGTTACTGGACTTTCTTGGCACCATGAGCAGTAGCACTAAGAGTTTAATGTTCAAGGTTTTGTCTGTCTTTTGTTTTAGTAAGAGATTAGCTAATGTGTCTGCTGGTTATTTCAGATTTTATGGTTTGTGCTAAATCGTAGGTCATGCAAAAGCTGTTCTTTGTGTTTCGTTTATTCCTGATGGCAAGCAATTGTAAGTGGTTCGGGTTACTCCATTGTTAAGATTTCCGATCTCAACACTGAAACTCCATTGAAATTTTGTCCAAATGAGGAAAAAGAAGAGCAATTTTGGAACTCCTTTACAAAATTAGTCTAGGAGAGGAAGAGGTCAATCAAAAGGCGCCCAAGCTGTCGACGAAGACCAAGGTGTACACTTTTTGAACTGTGTTTTTCTAATTAACGTTGTAACAGTGTGGTTGAATTTGTGGGTGTATCTATCTCTCTCTCTTTTAAATCTTTGTTATATAGTCAAAAGATTATGCAATGAGTGAATTGTAAGAAGAGGCATAGTAGTTTGATTACTTATGAACCCTGCTCTTGAATGACTTTCAAATATTAGGTATATTTCCCCAAAATGATGAAAAGGTTTGTGAGAGTCTAATGGAGGAGAAGAGTCACGATGAAGCAAAATCTTTGGTTATTTGTCGAAATAACCAAGCTAAAATATGCCTACAGTTGTAACTTGTAAGAAACGTAGGGAAAAAGAGAAAAAGAAACCCAAGCTTGTCTAAGTGGGCAAATAAAACTTCACGTTTACCTCGCTAAAAAAAACACACACACTCACGTTAAGTGGACTGAGCCATTATGAAATTAAAAATAGGCCGTCTACAGAACGTTAGAAACATTCGTTTGACTTTTTATTTTCCTCTTCTTGATCGATTTTGAATTCAACACCCTCAAATTCTAACTTAAACCCAATTCCACTTTAAATCTCAAAGTTGATTTTGCAGCTAATTTCCAGGCATGGTGGTGGTTCTTTCTCCCCTTCTTCGTTGAGCAAGACAGGCAACGAGTGGCCGTTGTAGATCGCTGAAAAATCTAGCCATCAGCGACTACCAAATGAATAATATTTGATCACTATCGCTGGTTGTTGTCGTTGGTCAATGTTGCTAGCAACTGACAAATGAACATGGCTATAGTGACTAAGCCGACGACTGAGGCGAGATAACTACCTCCGTTTGATTTCTTATTTAATCTTTCTGCTTGTTTCATAATGCTCAATTTCTAGAAAGTAATTATCTGTGTTATAATTTAACAAAATAAATTAAATGTTGTTTAGTATCCGAATTTGAAAAAAAAACTACAAATCATTTTGCCGATTTTCCTGTATTTTGCCCTTTTTCGTAATGTTGTAGTAATAATAGTGTAGTGAATTCCGATACAGTTTAGAAGTATTTAGTGAGATTTTGTTTTTCTCAAATTCATAATCGTCTTTCTATATGTTTTCTATTTCCACTGGTGATTGATCGGTTGATTTTGGTTTGGATTTCCAAACCATTATTTGCTCGTATAAGTAAATTTTGTTGGAATAATGTCATTAAATTGCTTTTATATCAGGAGGTGGCTTTACCTATCAATTTCGCATATGAGAAGGTCACCATCTTTGAACACTACGAAGCTGAAATCCATCGGTTTCTTCCAATACATAACGAGGTTTACAAGAGTAGTAGTTGATTTATATATATGAAAGTTTAAAACATGTAATGACATGAAGATGTCTAATAATCTAATGTAGTTTTATAAGTAAAAAAAAAAACAAAACAGTAAACATTTAAAATTTAAAAACTATGACTCAAACCCACGCGTATGCGTGGGATACTCACCTAGTTAGTCTAAAACGTGAACAACAATTTCTGAGGTTTTGAGTTGAGATTTGGATAGAACATATCCAGCCTCCTTCATCTAATAATATTTACTTTTTCTCTTTCATCGATTTGCTTCAATCATCGACAAAAGCTCAAATCTGAGGGAGAGTGTGTATTCATCTAACACATCCATAATCTGTGATTTCACGATCCGGCTAATTTCTCGTTGTCGGATCATCAATTCATCATCCATTAGATTATATATGAGGGGAGAGTGTGTGAATCGAGAGAGAAAGCGAAACAGAGAGGAAATGAATGGTGGTGATGACGTCATCGTTGATGTTACATAAGGGATCTCTCTTCCATTTCATGTAAACGTCAACGTATGTCGTTTATGGGTATAATCAGGGAGGGTGAAGGAGAAATGCAGAGTTTTAGGGTTTGGGCATAGTGGCTGATAGAAACCAGAAACAAAAATTCTAGTAATTCATTAATATCTTTTTACTTCTAAATTCTATTAAAATACTGTAAGGTAAATTGTTAGAATTGAAAAGAAAGATTTGAAAATCTTTTACAATACTCGAAAATCTATAATTTATGTCTTCAATTCTATTCTATTAAATTCTCTCACCCAATACCCCCTCCTAAAGCAAGATAGATAGTTTGAGTCTTAGAGAGTCTATACAACAAACGACAACTTAAGAAGATCTTTGGAAAAAAAGATGACAAGATCATAGGATTCCACCGAAAATCTGAAGAGTTTATGAATTAAATATTTAAATTGGTGTGTATTTGAAGCCAATCTAAAGATAAGAGACGTAGATAAATATATTATATTGGCCTCAAATCACATCAATTTGATTTAGAAATTCTTCAGATTTCATGTGGAATCCTATGATCTTGTTATCCTTCTCTCCAAAGATGTGAGTGTGGCCCACCCCGTATTGGCCAAGTCTGCATCCCAATACTTTAGTTTTTTCGTTATTAGTCGTGAACTTTAGATTCCTAATCGCATAATTTGCATGCAAATAGTTTGTAAGATAGGCCTCCATGGATGTGATGTAGTCGTCCTCCTCGAACTCAAACTACACAACAACAAAAAACACAAATTAAATTTGTCTTTGTACAGAAAATGTTTTGAGTTGGTTTTAGTTAGAGAAGGGAGCAAATACCGTATATACTTTTCCGTTCTCTGAGAAAATTCCGTGATCATCTCCGTCTACAATATCTTAAACCATCGACATAGTGAATCTTTTAGGAAATTGACAATCATTCCTCTCTATACAGTTATCCTACAAACATTTTCGTGGTATCCATCATCCCACTTATACCCAGAATTCCTGCCAAATGCTGCTAAGCACTTAAGAGGAGGACGTATTGCGAGATTCGTCCCGATTGCATTGAGACTCGCCATTGAAGAAAACTCTTTGAATCTAACTATCTTATACTCATTTGCCTCGATCTTGAATTTAGAACAAATAGCTCTCCCAAACCCCTTGAATGCTTCTAGTCACTTAAGTTCTTTTTATTTTTCTCCACTTTTTATTTTCTCGCTGTTAATGTGATTTTTCTTTTGTAGTTTGTCCTATCGGAGGGAGAATATTTGTTATCTATAGAGGGAACGAGTAACATAGATAGTGTAAAGAGTGCTAGTGATGTTTGTTTGACGTTGCTTACCTTCCATTTGATGATGTTTGTTTTACAATATATAATATTTTGTTGAACCACAAAAAATAACCTATATTATTTATCAAACAATATAGTTTATTTAAAGTAGGTGTTATTTTGCTATTTCTTGATTTTCATAGCTGGAGTTTCCAAAAAACTAATGTTTAGAGCAAAAACATTTATTTTTGCCATATGAAGTGTTTAGTGGTGAACTATGATTTTATAATGGGATTAGTAGAATTCTCATTCTCCAACACTATCATAAAATTTTCAACTACCGAATCATGATGAGTTGAGTTTTTATTAAGAGTATTTTTGTATTTACATAAACTTTTGAAATTTGAAATAAAAAAAAGATTGGAATTTAGTTTTATTGTAAATAATTATTTTCCACCACCTCAAAACAAATGAAACTAAAACCCTAATAGTAACCTATACATGTTTGATAAATTTCATAAAACATATATGTAGAGTAGAGTTGGAGATGCTTTATGAGCCTAAGAGTACCTTTAAGCTCTAATAAACCCACCAGTTTTGAACTCGTTTGTTGGCCCACTTAGTCACGTTTACTATTTGTAAATTATACACCCTCGAGCATAGCGTACTTGGCCACACTCGAACCATCTGGCTAAACCGTCGTGCCTATTGTCTTGAACCATGCACACTCTCATGACGTGGCTTGAGATAAGTTGGTTGACTATACACGTGTCAGTTAGATAGAGCGAATAGACTTTGATGCGGGTAAAATATATTTTAGAAGATTAGCTCATTAGTCCACGTTGGCGGATATTTGCACTTTTTCCACTTTTTTTCTATTAAAAAAAAAAAGAAAAATCGTTATTATCACTTTCCAAAAAAACTAGGCTCTACGAATTTTCCGGTGACCTTCTCCGATCTCTGATCCGATATTTTCCACATGTTGTTGAGCATTTGAGCTTCAAAGGAGTTGGATCCGTTAAGAAATTTATGAAAACGAAGAGAGTGTGAAAAATGGGGAAGGAAGTTAGGATGAGCGATTACGGTGACGACGACGGAGAAGACGCCGGCGGCGATGAAGATAGGGTTCCGGAATGGGAAATTGGATTACCCAACGGAGATGATTTGACTCCTTTATCTCAATCTCTAGTCCCGTCGATTCTGGCGTTAGCTTTTAGCATAATCCCAGAACGGAGCCGTACGATTCACGATGTCAAGCGCGCGTCGCAAACCACGCTCTCTTCGTTGCGAAGCAGTGCAAATGCTTCGTCTGTGATGGAGGAGGTCGTGGATCGAGTTGGATCGAGTAGTCCAGGATCAGATCCGAAGAAACAGAAGAAATCAGATGGAGGTGAAGCGGTGGTGGAGGAATCCACGGCGGAGGAAGGAGATTCCGGGACTGAAGATGCGTCAGGGAAAACATTGAAACGACCGCGTTTAGTTTGGACACCGCAGCTACACAAGAGATTCGTCGACGTTGTGGCTCATTTAGGGATTAAAAACGCAGTGCCGAAGACGATTATGCAGCTGATGAACGTTGAAGGACTTACTCGTGAGAACGTTGCGTCTCATTTGCAGAAATATAGGCTTTACCTTAAACGGATTCATGGATTGACGACGGAAGAAGATCCGTATTCGTCGGATCAGCTCTTCGCTTCAACGCCAGTTCCTCCACAGAGCTTTCAAGACGGTGGAGGAAGTAACGGAAAATTGGGGATTCCGGTTCCGTCGATGATTCCGATTCCAGGCTATGGGAATCAGATGAGTATGCAAGGACATTATCATCAGTATCGTAACCATGGTAATGAATCAAACCAATATATGATGCAGCGGAATAAGTTTGGAACAATGGTGACCTCTCCTTCTGTTGGTGGTGGTGACGTGAATGACAAGTAAATGGATTTTAAAGGTCTATAATTTGCTCTACCGAGAGAAATAGGTGAGCTTGTTTTCATTTTGTTTCTCTTAAGTACAATTAGAATTTTACTCTATTTGAGGACTGTTTATAATAAACATTGGGCTATTGAGATTCTTATTCTTTGATGTTTGTTCCTGTTAATAGCAAAGTGTTACTATTTTCTCAGTAAGCTGCTAATGTTTTGGTCAAATCCTAGTTTCGATTGTTATATGTTACTTATTTGATTCTTGTTACAGGTTCTTGGCGTCGTTGTGACTTTTAATTTCCCATGTTTTCCACACAAGTCTTCATTGCCTTTGTATAGAAAATGATTCGAGAAAAATCACGCGGAAGTTCTGTATTATTGGAGAATGAAGCCTTTCTATGAATGAATTAGTTTCCATACTGTCTCCATTCTTGTGAGGTAAAGCCTTCTTTGCTCATCGCTTGTAGTCTTCTTAAATTCAAGACAGCGTCACATGTTTGTTCGGTTTTGTTAATTGTTTCTTTCTTTGGATAATGAAGTATAGCATCAGGCCCTCGTGTTTCCTCACTTTGATAAATATCTCTTTCATTTATCATTTCTTATATTGAAATAGTTTTTTTCTATTGGAACTCTTTCTCTTTCTTGAAAAAAAAATATCTTTGGTGTTGGAGGATCACACACCAATAAACTCCCAACCATAAGGAAGAAAGTGACATTTCAACCATAAGCTCGTGTTTCTTTGTCCACAATGAGTTATTAGTTTTAGGCTTTTAGCCATATAGAATTCCTTTGATAAATAATAATCTGTTAAGATCTTAAAATCTGTAATATAGATGAGAATAGTAGAATATTTCTGTGACCAATGTGGAGTCTCCATTAGAGGATCACTTTGCACTTATCTTTTCTGTTTAATTCCAAAAGATGTTTCTCTAACATTATCTTCATATTACTTTTATGTGGGTCACTCGTGTCTCCTCTACCCTTCCTAAACTTACAACAACTGACTCAAGCTGTCCCTGAAACTTCCAATGACAGTCTTTGATGGGACTTAGTTGAGCTGTTTGGTTTGGTGACAGTGAAATATTATTGAAGTAACCTTAATGAAGGTTTCAAGTGGTTGAAACGTGGCCTCAGCAACTGTAATGGAGAAGCCAAAGCTCTTCATCGCTTATCCTGTGAAAAATGATTTTGTCTCCATATCCAGAAACTCTTTTATTTAGATACAACTACAAAACATTACACTTTAAATAGAAAACATCTCCTTTTATGCCAATTGATTCATGATACTAAACGAATCTCTTCTGATACAGTTGTGACTTCAAACAGGGATTACATGAAATTCTTCATTTTCAAGGAATTGACAAAGTTGTCTAATGAGCTGCATGAAGAACCTCCACTTCTAACAGAGGCTTCAAGCTTCTCTTTCAAGTTGATAGCTCTCTTCCTCATTTCTGCTCCTTCTTCATCCACAATCAACCTCTCTACAGCTCTCTCCACAGTTCCTTTATCCAGCTCTCCCTCCAACTGAACCCCAATTCTCCAAACTCTCTCTAAGTACCTCGCATTGACTTTCTGATCGCCCGTAAAAGGCCTACAGATCATTGGAACTCCTTCTCCGATGCTCTCTAGCGTCGAGTTCCATCCGCAGTGACTCCAAAACCCTCCTACTGCAGGATGTTTGAGAACTTCCATCTGTGGTGCCCATTTCACTATGTAACCTCTTTCTGAAGCCAACCTACTGAATTCCTCCGGTAAGGACTCTGTCCATTCCGACCCGGGAATAGAACCCGGTCGGATCACCCATAAGAAGGGTTGGTTGCTATTACTTAAACCCCAAGCCATCTCCAACATGTCTTTGGTTTCCATTAGAGCCAAGCTTCCCAAACTTATGTAAATCACAGAGCCTAATTTTTGCTTGTGCAACCACTCAATGCAACTTCTGTCCTCTTCTAGTAAACTAGAAGGCGCTGAAGCTGCAATGTGAAGTGGGCCTATAGGATACACTGGAACTTGTAGTTCTCGTTGCAACCATGCCAAAGACGAGTTCTCTAGACAGCTCGTTGAGTTGATGATAACAGCGGAAGCTGTTCGAATGTTGACAGTCTCACTGTAAACCTTGAGTATACTCTCTATTGGCCCAAATGCTGAAGTTGGTAGGTCCTTGTACCTTAGCGGATGCAACCCTGGAAAAACCTTGTCTGACACTTTGGGATCTGCAAAGCCAACAACAACATTTGGATTGGTTTATCTAGATGGTCTTTCCGGAGGTAAGAAGCTAAAAAATCATGAGTACCTTTCATGTCGAGCAAGAACGACTCTGCATCGACTCTAGCCAAAACAGAGCGACAGACAAAAGCAGTAGCACTTGTCGTGCTGAAGAGAACACTAGGAAGTTGAAACTCCTTAACTGCTGCTTGGGAGAAGTACATGTACTCATCGTAGACAACACAAGCAATATCATTACCTTGCTCCTGCAATAGTTGACCTATACATTGCTTGAAGCCTGCCTCGCAAATTTGATTGAGCTTGAACAGGAACTTGAATGGTCCGAGGTTTTTGAGATCAGACTCAGTTAAGCTGCCTGGGATGGTGAGGAAATGAAAATCAGAGAAGTCCTTGGATGAGCTAACTCGATTATACTGTGTGAGAACAACAGTGATGGAGAAACCCTTGGAGTAAAGAGCCTTCCCGAGTTGCATAATCGGAGTTACATGACCTTGAGCTGGAACTGGAACCAACACTATCCTTCTCTTCACTCGTAGTTCTTCCATTGTTTCTCTGTTTTCTTTGTCAATGTGTGAATGGAAAAATCTCAAAGACACATAAGGAAGCTTAAATGCTTGAACCAGATGTAATTAATATGAAATATAGACACGTGAGATATATGCTAACTTGTTTCATCGGTCTCATCGACATGTTATTTTTATCCCTAAGTGGAAAATTCTGAGGTTAGGGAAAGATCTCAACATTGTGGAAGGACAACACCACAAGAAAAAGCACGTGGAGTTGATAAAAGAGACAAAGAAAACCCAAGTTACAAGGAAGTGACAAATTTGGTGACCGGCACCATTTAAGGCTTTCTTTTGTCATTTTCTCTATTAAGTTTGTTGTCTTGTTTTGGACCATTTTCTAATTAAATCTATCTCTATCATTTATTTACTCTTGCTAGATAGTACTACAGTGTTATTTTAAAGGTTAACATAGAATTTCATGTCTGAACATAACAATTAGCACTCTCGTTTAAACTATGTCTACACATAGAAATCTTACACCTTAGAATTTCATGTCTGAACATAACATCTACTTACTGTAGCTGCCGCGTTGCCGTAATTTGGATTCAAATTTTGAAGTGTGGATGTATAACGCGACAAAAGACAATAGGATTTTGTATTTTTCTAGTTTTACTTGACCAAATGTTATTCTAAGGATTATTATATGGCCATTTGATTATTAAAACCAGAATGAGCCTTAGGATCAAACAGCTGTTGCCAAACAAGATCATTACTTTTGTGGATCTCCTTCCCGTGCTTCATATTCACAAGTGTGTGGTAGTTGAATTTGGATACAACACATGAGTTTAACATCTGTTTAAAAGCACCAAGAGCTTTCTCATTCTGAAAATTATGTACAAGGACTTATACAGTAGAATTCTAGAACACAACCTCTGGCTTGTGACGATCCAAACAGAAACCAAACTGGTACGATTGAAGTAACAAAAAAAAAAACAATGCTTCTATCTCCAAATGCAGAATCTCCTTTTTTTTTTTGACAACAATGTAGAAATTCTTCTTTAATTTATAGAGACAACTTCCAAATATTACACTTAAAATAGAATTCATGTTTTGTTATATCATTTGATGCACTTTGACTTTGAATAGTGACTATCTCCTCCTCTTCATCATCTTCACAAGGAATTGACAAAGTCGTCTAATGAGCTGTATGAGGAACCTCCAATTCTGACAGAGGCTTCAAGCTTCTCTTTCAAGTCAATGGCTCTCTTCCTCATTTCTGCTCCTTCTTCATCCACAAGCATCCTCTTTACAGCTCTCTCCACAGTTCCTTTATCCAGCTCTCCTTCCAGTTGAACCCCAATTCTCCAAACTCTCTCTATGTACCTTGCATTGACTTTCTGATCCCCAGTAAAAGGCCTACAAATCATCGGAACTCCTTCCCCGATGCTCTCTAGCGTCGAGTTCCAGCCGCAGTGACTCCAAAACCCTCCTACTGCAGGATGTCTAAGAACTTCCATCTGTGGTGCCCATTTCACAATGTAACCCCTTTCTGCAACCAACTTGCTGAATTCCTCTGGTAAGGACTCTGTCCATTCGGAACCGGGTATAGAACCCGGTCGGATCACCCATAAGAAAGGTTGGTTGCTATTACGTAAACCCCAAGCCATCTCCAACATGTCTTTGGTTTCCATTAGAGCCAAGCTTCCCAAGCTTATGTAAATCACTGAGCTTGATTTCTGCTTGTTCAACCATTCAATGCAACTTCTGTCCTCTTCTAGTAAACTAGAAGGCGCTGAAGCTGTAATGTGAAGTGGGCCTATAGGAAACACTGGAACTCGTAGTTGTTTTTGCAACCATGCCAAAGATGAGCTCTCTAGACAGCTTGCTGAATTGATGATAACAGCAGAAGCTGTTCGAGTGTTTACAGTCTCACTGTAAACCTTGAGCGTACTCTTTAATGGCCCAAATGCCGAAGTTGGTAGATCCTTGTACCTTAGAGGATGGAACCCTGGAAACACCTTGTCTTGCGTTTCAGGATCTGCAAAGAGAACATCATTTGGATTAGTTTATCTAAATGGGCTTTTGAATTGAGATAAAAAAGCTAGAATCTTGAGTACCTTTCATTTCGATCAAGAACGACTCTTCGTTTACTCTAGACAAAACAGAGCGACAGACAAAAGCAGTAGCACTTGTCGTGCTAAAGACGACACTGGGAAGTTGAAACTCCTGAACTGCAGCATGAGAGAAGTACATGTACTCATCGTAGACAACACAAGCAATATCATCATTACACTGTTCACGCAATAGTTGACCTATACACTGCTTGAAGCTTGCCTCACAGATTTGATTGAGCTTGAGCACAAAATTGTGTGGTCCTAGATTTTTGAGATCAGACTCAGTTAAGCTGCCTGGGATGGTGAGGAAATGAAAATCAGAGAAATCTTTGGAAGAGCTAACTCGATTATACTGTGTCAGAACAACAGTGATGGAGAAACCCTTTGAGTGAAGAGCTTTCCCAAGTTGCATCATCGGAGTTACATGACCTTGTGCTGGAACTGGTACTAACACTATCCTTGTCTTCTTCACTCTATTTTCCTCCTCCATTGTTTATGTCTCTTGTTCTCTCTCTCTTTTTTTTCTTTCTCAATGTATGAATGGAAAAAGCTCAAAGAGACGTAATGCTTTCACGAGATCTTATCTGATATATAGACACGTGAGAGATATTTTAACTGTTTCATTGGTCTCATCGACATTATATTTTTTTTATCCGGAAAAAAATTATGAGGTTGGGGAGAGCTGTGTGGGAGCAGCAAAAGAACAAACACATGGAGTTACAAAAACAGACAAAAACAGACGAAGATTAGCTTCCGGAAATGACAAATGGCGTTGTGTGTGACTTGCCCCATTTAAAGGCTTCCTTTTGTCATTTTTTTTGGCTTTCTTTTCAAATTATGTACAAGGCTTAATATAATAGAAATCCATGACAACGTCGTAATAATCTAAACAGAAACCAAACTGGCCTGACTGGAGTCAATTCGCTTGGTTTGGTGACAAGTGACAACTGTAATGGAGTTGGAGTTGTCCAAACTCTTTATCTCTTATTCTGTTTGAGAGCAACTCAAAACAATGATTCTGTCTCCAAATGTAGAAACTCCTTTATTTCGAGATAAACTGCCAAAAATTACACTAAATGAATATTTTCTGATACAATTTTGACTTTGAACAGGGGACTACATGAAATTCTTCATTTTCAAGGAATTGACAAAGTCTTCTAATGAGCTGCTTGAGGAACCTCCACTTCTGACAGAGGCTTCTAGCTTCTCTTTCAAGTCGATGGCTCTCTTTCTCATATCTGCCCCTTCTTCATCCACAGTCAACCTCTTCACAGAGCTCTCCACAGTTCCTTTATCCAGCTCTCCCTCCAATAGAACCCCAATTCTCCAAACACTCTCTAAGTACCTCGCGTTAACTCTCTGATCACCGGTAAAAGGCCTACAGATCATTGGAACTCCTTCCCCGATGCTCTCTAGCGTCGAGTTCCATCCGCAGTGACTCCAAAACCCTCCTACTGCAGGATGACTGAGAACTTCCATCTGTGGTGCCCATTTCACAATGTAACCCCTTTCTGAAACCAACTTATTGAATTCCTCTGGTAAGGACTCTCTCCATTCTGAGCCAGCAACAGAACCTGGTCGGATCACCCATAAGAAAGGTTGGTTGCTGTTACTTAATCCCCAAGCCATCTCCAACATGTCTTTAATTTGCATTAGAGCCAAGCTTCCCAAGCTTATGTAAAGCACTGAACTTGGTTTCTGCTTGTCCAACCACTCAATGCAACTCCTGTCCTCTTCTATTAAACTAGAAGGCGCAGAAGCTGCAATGTGAAGTGGACCTAAAGGATACACTGGAACTTGTAGTTCTCTTTGCAACCATGCCAAAGATGAGCTCTCTAAACAGCTTGCGGAGTTGATGATAACAGCAGAAGCTGTTCGAATGTTTACAGCGTTACTGTACAGCTTGAGAATACTCTCTAATGGCCCAAATGCTGAAGTTGGCAAGTCCTTGTACCTTAGAGGATCCAACCCTGGAAACACCTTGTCTTGCGTTTCAGGATCTGCAAAGAAAACAGCATTTGTATTGATTTTATCTACATGGACTTTTGAATTGAGGTAAAAACTAGAATCTTGAGTACCTTTCATGTCGATCAAGAACGACTCAGCGTTGACTTTAGACAAAACAGAGCGACAAACAAAGGCAGTAGCACTTGTAGTGCTAAAGACGACACTAGGAAGTTGAAACTCCATAGCTGCAGATTGGGAGAAGTACATGTACTCATCGTAGATGACACACGCAATATCATCATCACCTTGTTCCTGCAATAGTTGACTTAAACAGTGCTTGAAGCTCGCCTCGCAGACTTGATTGAGCTTGAGCATAAACGGGAGCGCTCCAAGGTTTTTGAGATCAGAATCAGTTAAGCTACCAGGGATGGTGAGAAAATGAAAATCAGAGAAGTCTTTGGACGAGCTAACTCGATTATACTGTGTCTGAACAACAATGATTGAGAAGCCTTTCAAGTGAAGCGCTTTCCCGAGTTGCATAATCGGAGTTACATGACCTTGTGCTGGAACTGGAACCAACACGATCCTTCTCCTCTTCACTTGCTTTTCCTCCATTGTTTATTTATTTTCTCTCGATGTAGCAATGGAAGAAGCTCAAAGAGATGGGGTTGCTTTCACCAGATCTCATCTGATCTGTTCTTTGGTCTCAAATATTTTATGTTCATTTCTAAATGGAATATTTAGATTTGAGTTAATAAAATAGAAAAAAAAAACAGAGAAAAATTCATATTCAGAATCGGCAAAAAATCAAAGTCCTTCCTTTTGTCTTTGTTTAATAAGGCAATCTCATCCTCTCCTTTGTAGATAATACTATTGTTTTGTCAAGACAGAAAAAAAGAAGAAGATAATTGACTAAAGTTGTGAATTTGACAAATCAAACCTCATAACAAAAGTTAAATCTGATTCCCTTGTTACAACCGCTTGATTTAGATGCTTCAACACTTAAACTCGAGGCGCATGTGCCCTGCTTTCCCATCCATTGTCTTTCGTACAACCGCTCTATACTTAACAACCTCACATGTTACTAGATCATCTCCACATTCAAAACTGCATTCGCCGACTTAAGCTTCTAAGACGGCTCTATTTCATCTTCTCCTCGAGTTTCCACAACCAACTTTTGAGTCTCCAACAGTAGACATTCCGCAATATCTCTCAGCGAAAACTGTGCCATTCCATTTCGTGTTGAACACAAACTCAGTGAATAGATGCAACCACTCATTCTCCATGCCAAACAACTCTGTATCTTCTTACAAATCATCATCATCAAACAACCATTTGGGCAAATTCACCTTTGTACCAGTCATCTATTCCCTCATTGTCCCACTCATGATCCCCCACTTCATTACCTTCCACATTGCAAAAATATGTCTCCCAAAATAATTGCACAACTTCTGGTTCTCGACGATCATCAAGCTGAACACATGTCTCAAAAGTGAGTGGAGAATCTTCTGTTGGATTCACTGCCTCTAATGTAATAAACAACCTCGTGAACCAACCATACTCAGTATATAAATTGCTCACAAACTCAAACTTGTAGTCTGTACCATTCTGAAAATTGTAACAGTGAAGACCATACTACAGAGGACGATGTCATAAAAATTCCTCCAATTTCCAGGCTTTCAGTTCACACCAGAACCGTCGGAATCTTAAACATGTCCGATACATATTTTTTCGAAATATAAGTCAGTTTTGATGATCCAAACCAGAATGGGTCTTAAAATCAAACAGTTTCTACCCAGCTGCTGCCTAGAAACCTTTTAACCCTTTTCTTCTTTATCATCTTCTTCATTCTTACAACACTTTCCCAACTACCAGCATTGGCATATAAACTGGTCAGAAGCAAACCATTCCCTGAGTTCTCAGGTTCGAGCTCTGCTAAGTGCTTTGCTGCAATCCTTGCAAGCTCCATGTTCCCGTGATTCCTACACGCACCTAACAAAGCACCCCACACAAAAAAATCTGGCTCCATTCGCATAGTCTTGATCATTTCATAGGCCTCAACAAGCTTCCCTGCTCGGCCGAGAAGATCCACCATACAAGCATAATGCTCCAATCTCGGCTCGATTCTGTACTTGGTTTGCATCAAAAGGAACAAATTTTGTCCAATATAAGTTAACCCTGCGTGGCTGCAGGCTGTGAGGATGGCCGTGAATGTTAAGTGGTCGAGTTCCTCTCCCGTGGCTTCCATCTGATCAAATAGCTCAACTGCTTTGTCTGAGAGCCCGTGATTCGCGTAACAGAAGATCATCGAGTTGAAAGTAACTGTTGTCTTCTTTCGCATTTTGTGAAACAAGATCATTGCTTCTGATATAAATCCACATTTCCCATAATAATCGAGCAAAGCACTTCTAACGAAACCGTGATCTTCTAGTCCAGTGACTATCGAGTAACCATGAATCTCCTTCCCGTGCTTCATATTAGCAAGTGTGGTACAAGCAGGCAAAAGAGTTGTGATCGTAGCTGAGTTTGGATACAACCCATGAGTTAACATCTTTTTAAAAGCATCAAAAGCTTTCTCATTCTGAAAATTATGTACAAGGCCTGATATAATAGAAGTCCAGGACACAACGTCGGGATTGTAACCATCCAAACACATCAACTCAAGAATCTCAGATACTTTTTCTTCGTTTCCCATATGCGAGAACCCTGAAATTAGAGCATTCCAAGTGATAATATCCGGTTTTATTCCGAGTAGTTTCATATCGTTCACCAAGTTCAATGCTTCATCTGCTTGGCTATTGTTAGCATAACTGGAGATCATAGCATTGAACACGACCAAATCTTGTTTAGCCAAATCATCAAACACCTTCCTAGCATTCCCCACCTCCCCAACCTTCGAGTACATGTCAATAAGCGAACTAACTATAAAAGCATCAGACTCAAACGAACACTTCAGCACAAGACAATGTATCATCTTCCCGAATTCTCGATCAAGCAGATTGCGACTGGCTTTAAGAAGACTAGGAACAATGAAAGCATCAAGTTTTAAACCTTCTTTATTCATTTCTCTGAAGAAATCCAAAGACTCCTGATAATACCCATTTCGAGCACAAGCCCCAATCATGACAACCCATCCACTAATATCTCTCTTGGGCATTTCATCGAACACCTTCCTCGCATCTAAAACTTTCCCACATTCAACATAAAAGGTTACAAGCTTAGCAGCAATTCTCGTCAAGCGAGCAATCCCAGATGTCACTAAATGAGCATGAAGCACTCTTCCTCCACAAAGCAGTCGATCTCGACTGTTGGCTTCGATGAGTTCAACATAAGAACCGATTGACAATAATCGAACAGAACAAGGAATGGTGGCAAATTTATTCATGGGTTAGAATAAAAGCTTCAATATTTATCAAAAACCGCATTACTGATGGTAGATTGAAGTATTAAAGCTCCCATTTTTATAGGACAGAGAACGAAGTAGTAAGAACAGAGTTAACGATTATACCAGATTAAACGGTACAAACCGGAATGGTTAATATATAACCGGAAATTGGAGGTGAAATTAAATAAAAACCGGATTCGATTGTCCAAAATGGGGGAATTCAATCCAATGAGACAGAGCAAATTATGTATGCAACATCTTCGATTCTGTCTCCAACACCACAAAGTTTCTTCCTTTCTCATCATCTTCCTCCAATTTCATTCCTTTATCGGATTAATTTTCTGGGCTTTCCTGTAACAACAAGTTGCTGCTATGGTGGAGACATTGGTCTCGCTTCGTTTTGTAAACGACGGAGTGGTATACAGAGACGGAGGAATCGAATTTTCGTAACCAGAGCTAGAGCCTCTCCTTACGAGATTCTTGGTGTATCTCCATCAGCTACTCCTCAAGATATAAAGAGGGCTTATCGTAAACTTGCTCTGAAATATCACCCAGATGTTAATAAAGAGGTACTTTTTATGGTTTCTATTTCATTGAAATTTACTGAATTGGAACTATGTATGAATGCTTTAATGATTACATGTTTGTCTTTTATATACAAATTCATGGAATTGAGACTTTGTATGTTGCTTTCATGTATATCTTTGTAGAACTACTTGAAGTTAGTTGATGGACTTAGTTTACTTAGTCTCTCTATCCCTGTGGAAGGAAGTTTAATTCATGATTCATCCCCTGGCTGTTTTTGGTGTATAGGCAAATGCGCAAGAGAAGTTTTTGAAAATAAAGCATGCATACACTACACTGATAAACTCTGACTCACGGCGTAAGTACGGTTCAGATAGTCGTGCCTCTGGTTCGACGGGTCAAACAAATCGAAAAGGCAACAGTCAAGTCGAGGAAGATTTCTATGGACTTGGTAAAACTCTAAACCCCTGAAAGCACCATATATTTGTAATTGAAATGCGGTCATTTGAGGATCCTGTTGTGTAAAATGGGAACTGTTTCTTTGAAGTTTAATGTTAAAACTATGGCTTGACATTATTTAGGGAATAGAATTTTTGTATGAACACAGTGTAGAAGCATTGCCAAAGGGTTTCGAGCACCAATGCTAAATAGGGTTTGTGAAAATGTTCACAGTGTCTGATAACTTATTGACTTATTGTGAATGCTAGGCTCCATTTAATGACTGTGGTTAGAAGTGTGGTGCGGTGTTCTCTCTTATGTGTTGTCATCTTTTGGGGCACTTAGGTTAATTGAGGTCAGTGTGATCTTATACACAGCACACTTTATTATGCAGGTGAATTCGTGAGGGATGTTCAAATAACAATCGGTAGAGCCAATCTGTGAAATCTATTATCTTTCTGTCGATAGATTCGTTTTTTGCACGTCTAGAGATTTTATGCACAGCACATTGTGTAGTTGTAGTTAATTGTTTGTTTAGAGGCTCACTTACTGTGGTATATTGACAGGGGATTTCTTCAAAGATCTTCAAGAAGAGTATAAAAACTGGGAAGCTAGTGCGTCCTCACAGGGAAAACCGAAAAGTCTTTGGGAAGAACTAGCGGTAAGCCCGATAATTTCAAACTACTGATAACTCGGAGTCCTTATTGCGTGTCATATATGAATTTAAATTTGAAATTCCGTGGCTATCAAAGCTTGGATCTTCCCTCTATTGAAGGGTTTTAGTCTGCTGGTTTATTCAATACACCTTGTCATTAGAAACCTGTGTTCAAAACACTGATCTAGTTAAATGCTTTATAATGTAGTAGTAAGCGTCAATCTAAAAAATCCATATGATAAACAGATTCTTACTATAGGAACATGTTTCCTCTGATTTGGTTTTAGTTCTTTCGATATGGTAATGTCTAGACTGAGATTGTTTTGGCTGGAAACTTAGTTCTTTTTCCACGAAGATTTTGGTTCTGAGGAATATGGACTAAAACCAATGTAGGCTCCTTTTGATTCTCATGTTTCTTTTTCTTTTCTCTCAGGAAATAGGGGAAGAATTTGTAGAGTTTCTTGAGAAAGAACTTAACATTAGCGAAGAAGACAATGAAGGATCAAGCAAAAACGGAGAAAGATATGATTTTGAAGAAAGCTCCTCAACAGAGAAATCGTCGTCAGGGAAGAATAATAATAATAATAGCACGAAGAACAGTATAGAAGACAATATTGATGAGATCGAAGCAACTCTTGCTCAATTGAAGAAAGATCTTGGCTTGCAATAATCCCATGAGTTATATTAAAATCTTTTTCTTATGAAAGATTTATTTCTCTATACATGTGGTGAGAAAGTATATTTCTTAGAATATTATTTCATGAAAGCAATTATGGTTAATTGGTTATAATGATAAATTCAAAAAAGAATATTATGAATGAGTACTTTGTGTTACCGGGCAATAACGACGATTCGTTTCAGAATTTAGTCCTCTGCAAGATTAAAAAGAAAGAGAATCCCAAGAAGATGGATGATGATGACCATCATGCTCAAGCTTCTACTTCAACTTGTCATCATCGACGTGAATCTTTGTACTCGGAGCAGAAGCAAGTTTGTTCTGTTTCAGAAAGGGAGAAAAACATAGAGCAGTGCGTGGAAGGAAGCAGTGCCGGCTTAGCTAGGGGGGCAGACAGTGCAACCACCAGGGGCCCACACATCAAGGGGGCCCACAATTTTTTTTGTTTGTAAGCATTAACAGAAAAAAAAAAAATTTGCCGTAGGAATTATTTTTTTAAATTAAAAGGGCCCATAATTTTTGTGTTTTTTTGTAAACATAATGACAAGTTTTCTCTTTCTTTTTACTGGGCCAAAATTGGATCTTAATTTTCTTTAACCCAACCATTCTAAATTTTTAATTGATTTATTGGGCTATGACTAATTCTTTTTTTCTTTCTCTTACAAAGAAAAGATTTAACACACATCAAAAATCATTCTACGAAACTTTTCACCTTCCCACCCCACCACATCTCTGAGTCTGTCTCTCGAGTCTCTTTCCCAGCAAAATCATGGATCAACACACAACAATGAATGATTTTGTTTTCGATTTTATACAATAGTCAATTCAGTTCAAGTTCTCTAGATCTGTAATCTATTTATGTAAGTTTTCATGTTCTGTTTGAGTTTTGTTCTGTTTTTTTTCTAAACTAATATTTCATATTCTTAAATTGAAACTCACTAATCACTAACAACTCGTCAATAATATTTTTTCAGGTTTACATTGTTCATTTGGCATTCAGATAATCATATTGATTCTCCAAAATAATCTTATTTCTTTCTTTTTGAAAACGTTGGTTTTTTTTTAATATAATAGGGGTCCTGTTTTTTATTTTGCCCCGGGGCCTATCAAATGCTCGAGCCGGCGCTGGAAGGAAGCATGATTCATCAAGTAGATTCATTCTCTTTGATGGAGAAGAATGAAAAAGTTGAAGGCCTGGAGGGACAGAAACATGTTATGGGTAGCTTCTCAATCAAGGAATGGTTGGAACATATTGATCAACAACCACCAGTACTCGTTTCTGCTCGCATGAATGATCCTCATGTTTGTCTCGGAGACAAATCTCTACCAATCGAATTGGACAACTGACGATAATGAAGAGGATGAAGAAGAGTATAAAGAAGTTTATGGGTTTTTGAAATTACTCGGAGGAGATGTCCCTAATAAATAATGGTGACGGATTATATAATCAACTTCGTCTCTCTGTTCAAGTTTTCTTCTTCTTTTTTTTGCTTAAGTGTCATAGTTAAATTTTTCATTAATAAATACTAGCATAGTTAAAAAACAAGAGTCTCTTGATGGTTATATTTTTTTTTTGCATCAAAGATTTATATTTTATTTTGTATATTTGCATATTTAATCAGCAATGGATGTTCGATCAGTCAACTTGAGGCTTACTTAACCATATATTCTTATTGGGGGAACAAAAAGAGAGGAAGAAATCCATTTCAAACATATAGGGAAAAAATCGGATCAACAAAGTAGAATTTGCATTGTTCAAGAGCTGTGAAAACACAGAGAAGCGGAAAAAGAGAGACTAATAGTGTCTAGAATTCTCTCTTTCATGTTATTAGAACAGGTTTGAAAGCTGAAGCACTCACGGTAGTTTCCATAAGAACGCTTAGCCTACTCGCTTCTACAACTCACATCAGTAGATCACCTGAGATTTCAAAACAGATCATGAACAAAGGTAGAGAATGGTAAGTGTTACTGATTCAAACTGAGATTCTTGTTACAAGAGTCTGGTCAAACACACTTAGTTAATCTGAATGAAGTGGAAAAATTCATGTATGACATCAAGCATTACCATATATACAGAACCAAAATGGCTCAAGAAACAGATGCAGACAAATCAAACATTACACATTGAGATTTAGGATAAGTGCTAGTCAAAACATTTCAAATCAGATATCAAATCATGAGTTACGATTAATGAGAATTACAATAAAATGTTAAGGCATCTGAATGAAGTAGGTGACTTGATAAGATTCAATTGACAGATGCGGAGAAATCACATAACAGATTTTAATTCAGCTTCCAAATCGTAAACTAACATCGAAAAATCTGAAATCGGATACTATCGAGACCTTAATGTGATTCAATTAACAACAGATGCAGAGAAATCACGTACATTTTCTTCTAATCAACACCCAAATCGTAAGCTAATATTAAAACCATTGAAAAAAATCCAAAATCAGAGACTAATGAATATGATCGAAAGAGCAAATACATTACCGCCTGTGTTGTTGGACAAACTTGGAGTTCTTGGCGTCTTCCTCTGCAAATCAATCAATACATTTACATTTAGTTAGGGTTTCACAACCAGCGATCCAACAATCAAAACTGAGACATAGTACGTCAATAAATCCGATCTGATTCTACACAGATACGAATCAATTAAGGATTAGCTCTTTCATTTCCGATGAAGATCGGTCAGATCTGAAGATATTTACCGGTGAGTCCAGCGGTGAGCTTGGTGATGAGGACGCCGGTAACGGCGAATCCAGTGAGAAACGGCCAACAACGTTTCCATTCTCTCTTGAAGAACACTGGCCAGGGATCGAACAGCCTCATCTCTCTCTCTCTCTCTCTCTTTTTGTTCTGTTTGGTCTTCTCTCTAAACTTTGATATCTTGGTAAGTCGGAGACTGCTTCGCGTAGACAAGATGAAAGTGACAACAAAAGACAGACTGATTGATAGGTAATAGTTACTGGATCCGAATTTGTTCTGGATTAAAATTTTTTTATATAATGGGCTTTCTTAAGGCCCAAAATAAGCCTTCCAGTTAATTTCTTAAACCCACTTCTCTTTATAATGTTTTACCTCGGTGCTGCTCTTTGAATCAGCTTCAAGCTTGATCTGTCTATAATTTTCTTAATTCGAAGCTATTATTCTCAATGGAAATTGTCAAAGCTTGTTTCATTAGAGAAAACATGGAAAAATGGACCGATTCAAGTTAGTGACCACTACAAAGTCAAATCCGTGTGAACATTCTTAATGTATTAGCTATAGAGTGATAACTATATAACACCTGAGATCAATTGAAATGGTCTTTCAAAAACCAAGTTGTCTATTGTCTGACCAAGAAATTTACATGTGTTTCTTTGGATAATGTAGCTATTCAAGTTCTTGATTGTGATGTTGGAGATTATTTTCCTAGTCTTCTTGTTTTTTTTTTCAATAGAAAACATTTACTCATTTTTTTCAGTCATTTCCCTTTTTTTTATATATTTGCTCGCTAAAGACCTCTTCTCATGAAGCCAGAGCTTTTATTTGCCTTCCATGTCCGTTTATGTTTATTTATACATGCGTTGTTGTTAATCTCTCAAAACTTGGGAATTGTAGTGTTTTGATATATCTTAAGAAGTAAAGAATTATGGAGAGTCTTTGTCGGGTTTTGGTGGCGGTATTAGGAACCTTGGCAATTATTCATCTTGTTCAAGCTCAGGGTCAACAAGGTATTCACAGTTGTTATATGAAAATGCGCCTCTTGAAATGGTACTTGTGTTTGCAGATACTAGAATTTCTCAGAAACGGTCGTTTTTTTCTCTTTGTGTTAGCAGGCTTCATCAGTTTGGATTGCGGGCTACCCGTGAATGAACTGTCTCCTTATGATGAGCCGAGGACCGGTTTACGGTTCTTATCTGACGAAAAGTTCATCCAAAGCGGAAAAGCTGGCCGAATCCAACCAAATACTGAAGCATACCTGAAGCCATACGAGACGCTGAGATATTTTCCAGATGGAATTCGGAATTGCTACAATCTAAACGTTGAGAAGGGAATGACACATTTGATCAGGGCTTACTTTATCTATGGAAATTATGATGGTCTTGACATTAAACCAAAGTTTGATCTCTATCTTGGACCTAATCCATGGACCACCATAGATTTGCAAACACAAGTGAATGGTACACGGGCTGAGATCTTGCACATTCCAATATCAAACTCATTGCAGGTTTGTCTTGTTAAGACCGGGACGACTAATCCGCTAATAACCACCTTGGAGATACGGCCTATGGGAAATGACACTTACATTACTAAGTCTGGTTCTCTGAATCTTTTCTTTCGGGTATACCTTAGCAAATCAGACGGTTACCTAAGGTAATTTCATTTCAACTGAAACTGTTCTCTTCTTTCTGCTCTGTTTTTATACTCTGTTTCTTATTGCTCTGTTCTCCTCTGTATTTGGCTATGTCAAAAAAACGACTATTCCAAACAAGTGTATGACAAGACAAAATGAAATGAAAAATGTCATACATAAGGTTTTATATAGATGATATTTTCCATCGTATTTACTCATTCCACTCCTAAAACAACGTTGTTTCTATCACAAGGTACCGAAATGATGTCTATGATCGTGTATGGACTTCGTTTTCAAGGAATGAATGGACCCACATTTCCACCACTCTGGAAGTGAGCAATTCAAACAAATATTTTCCACCAAAAGAAGCACTCAAAACTGCTGCAACACCTACTAATTCCAGTGCACCATTGACGATGGAATGGAGTTCGAGTAATGTTAATAACCAATATTACTTGTATGCACATTTTGCTGAGATCCAAGAGTTGCAGACCAACGATACAAGGGAATTTAACATGGTTTGGAATGGACAAGTCATCTCCGACCCTATAATTCCTCCAAAATTCAATATATATACTATCTTTAGCCTGTCACCAAGTACTTGTGAAGGAGGAAAATGCAGTTTTCAGCTGAGAAGAACCAACAGATCAACTCTTCCACCTTTGCTTAACGCTTTTGAGGTCTACACAGTTATCCAGTTTCCGCAGATCGAAACAAATGAAAACGACGGTATGTTATGCATATAAGGTCTATACTTTGTTGTATGTTTAAAAAGATAGATCATATCCACAATAAGAGTAGTCAAGTTATCTATGTATTAAGCATCATTAAAAAAAAACTGTTATGTCAGTGGTTGCCGTCCGAGACATCAAAACCACCTATGAAATTAGTAGAAATAGCTGGCAAGGAGATCCATGTGTCCCTCGGCAGTTTATGTGGGACGGATTAAACTGCAGTAACACTGATACGTCTACACCAAGAATCACTTATTTGTAAGTCATAAGATCACTAGTACACACGCTCTTCAAGATCTGTTAATAGTAGTTGTGATCTATGATCATTTACAATTTTACATTTTGAATGTGTTTTTGGACATGTCGCCAGAAACTTGTCTTCAAGTGGTCTAACTGGATCCATAGCTGCTGCCATTCAAAATCTTACGCAACTAGAAAAACTGTAAGTATGTATAGTGTTGACATAGGAGGCAATAAATTGTTTTATGGATGGGAATAAATTAAGATTTTTTTTTTAATAAAAAAAATCATTCTGGAATAGGGACTTGTCCAATAATAATTTGACTGGAGAGGTGCCAGAATTTCTAGGCAACATAAACTCTTTGGTGTTCATGTAAGTTTCTCTTTACATATTTTGCTAATGCTTTTCAAGTTCCACCTCGTTCAGTTTCCTGTATTTATGTATGTATGTCTGAAGTATGCTCTGTTTTTTTTTTTACATAGAAACATAAGCTGGAACAATCTTAATGGTTCAATTCCTCAGGCTCTTCGAAGAAAAGGACTGGAATTATTGTGAGAAACTTTTGACACAGATTTTGAACTTCTCTCAGTTATTTTCCAGAGAACCATTTGTGTATTTGATGTCTTTGTCCTCTTGTAGTCCTCAAGGGAACCCTAGGCTTTGTCTCTCTGGTTCATGCCTACCATCCAAACGCAAACCATTTCCAGTGGCAATTGTTGCATCAGTTGCTTCGGTGGCCAGTATTATTATTGCTGTCTTGGTTCTTATTTTTGTTTTCAGAAAGAAAAAGCCGTCAACTGTGGGAGGTAACTTGCAAGAGAAGTCTTACCAAATCAAGGAACTATAAAAAGCTAATGAATAGTTATGGTCATATTCCCTTATGTTTCTTCTTATCTACAGCTCTACAACGGCCACCTAGTATATCGCCAGCGGTGAATGTTACATATCCTAATTCACCTGAACCATCAATCCAAACGAATAAGAGGAGGTTTACTTATTCAGAGGTCACTGATATGACAAAAAACTTCCAAAGAGTTGTTGGGGAAGGAGGATTTGGTATTGTGTATCACGGTACTCTTAATGGAAATGCACAAGTAGCTGTTAAAGTACTCTCTCAGTCATCAACTCAAGGCTACAAGCAATTCAAGGCAGAAGTATGCTTAAAATTTGTAAGTTTGTGATCATCCTAAGCATCATAGTAGCTTAACGATTTCGTATGTGTTTGTTCTATGGATTAGGTTGATCTTCTTATGAGAGTTCACCATACAAATTTGGTTAGCCTGGTTGGATATTGTGGCGAAGGAGATCACTTGGCTCTCATCTACGAGTTTGTGCCCAATGGAAACTTAAGACAACATCTGTCAGGTAAACTTGCAGATAAGATTTTCTAGTGATGATTTCACATGTATCAATAGCTCATGAAACACATACTTTAGGAAAGGGATCTAACGATCTAAATATACAGGAACACGAGGCAGATCCAATATCAACTGGGGTATTCGACTACGAATAGCTGTGGAGGCTGCACTAGGTTTGTAGTACTAAGTTTAAACCATATAACAAGATTAACTCTTTCTTACGTCTTCCGAGTTTCCAGAAAATGGGTTTATGATATAGAGGAATCCATTGAACAGGGTTGGAATATTTACATTCTGGATGCATACCACCAATGATTCACAGGGATGTCAAAACTACAAACATATTGTTGGACGAGCATTATAAGGCCAAACTCGCTGATTTTGGACTCTCAAGGTCTTTCCCTGTTGGAGGTGAATCTCATGTTTCGACGGTGATTGCAGGAACCCCTGGTTACCTTGATCCGGAGTAAGTATTGTTAGTTAACATCACAATGTTCTGAAAAAAGCTTTATTTTCTTTTCAATGGTTGAAGAATTACATATAAATAATAGTACATCATGTTCATTGCCTTGCAGATATTACCGTACAAGTCGGTTAACTGAAAAGAGCGATGTGTACAGCTTTGGTATTGTGCTATTGGAGATGATCACAAATGAACCCGTGATTCACCAAGCCCGTGCAAAGACTCACATAACACAATGGGTTGGGTTTGAGCTAAATAGTGGAGATATTAGTAGTATCATGGATCCAAACCTTCATGGAGATTACGATTCTCGGTCTGCATGGAGAGCTCTTGAACTAGCAATGTCATGTGCAAATCCTTCTTCCACAAGACGACCAAGTATGTCCCAGGTTGTTCTCGAACTAAAAGAGTGTATTGTGTCCGAAAACTCGAGGAGGAATATGAGTAAAGGCATGGAGTCTCAGAGTTCCGCTGAAGTGAATATGATCTTTGACATTGGGATGTTTCCTATGGCGAGATAGTTTGAGCTTCTGCAAGTAACATGTGAAGAATATCATATTCCTCTCTTTCTTTGGTTTAATATTGAATGTGTGTTAACTCTTGGAGTGCCATGTCGGGGGTGATTACTCTTTAAGATATAGAAATATATGTCACTATTTTCACAACCTCATCTCTGTTTTTCTTATCTTTGGTCTTCTCGGAGGATTTCTCTCTCTAACATATATATATAGGTGATTTTTGATAATGGATCCAAATTCGTTATATAATGGGCTGAAACAACCCAATTTTGCCCCAAAACAATTCTTTCTGTTATTTTTGCATCCTTGTAAAATATACTGACCGTTGCGTTTAAAACGCGACTGCGACTGCGTTTCCAGCACTCCAAATCGCCAATCGCGTTCTCAAATTTGCCGATGAAGAGGTCTCATCGTCATCGCCGTCCTTCTCACGACGGGAGGTTTCGCTGCCGTGTATGGCCGATTTTTGGCCGGAGAGTTCTCACATTCGTCCTCCTCACAACAGTTATTGGGCCGGTCGACGCCGGCTGAAAGAGATGGCTCTCAAAATTCTCTCAGATTCATGGCCGGAAGGTAATTTCTCAGTTAAAGATATGGCTGAAAATCCTGTAAAAATTGCAACTTTATATAAATGGGTTAATGATTTTAGTCTTTAGATATCTGATAATGGCGTCTTTTTCTGGAATTTGCTTCTTCATTTTGGATATAGTCAACGTTGATAACTGTGGGTCAAAATGTGTTTTAATGTAAGAGATTTATCCGATACATTTGGAGTCAATGACCACGTCAAATCTCTTGCTCCCTCTATCTATCTCTCTATGTCTGAACATTTTAATGCGTTAGAGAGTGGTAATTATAAAAGCTGTGATTTTGACAGATTCTCTCGAAAACACAAGTTGCCTATTTTCTGACCAAGAAAGAAACTACAACAGATGTAGTCTTGTTGGGGTAATGTCCCTAATTAAGTTTAAAGATGTGGAGTTGCAATAGAAAACACATTTACTCATTCGTTTCATTGATCTCCTTGTTTTTAATTTATCTATTTCCAGACTCAGTACATCTTGCCATGTCGCCAGAGACTTGGCTTGACTTCCTTATCCCGTCGGGTTTATCTAATTTATACGCTGTGTTTCTCTCAGACTCGGTCATTCGTAATGTTTTGATATCTAAGAATTATGGGAAGTCCTCGTCCGCTTTTGCTTCTCCTATCAGGAGTTTTTGCCATCATTTGTATTGTTCAAGCTCAGGATCAACAAGGTATCTACATCTACTACTCCATATTCTTTAATGCTTTGAGTCTCAATCATGTTTGTACATGCTTTTTGATTCTCACTTTTTCTTTTTTGCAAATATAATCTTAATTTCATTTCTCTTGCCAGGGTTCATCAGTTTGGATTGCGGGTTACCCGTGAGTGAAATGTCTCCTTATATCGAGCCATCAACCGGACTACAGTTCTCGTCTGATGCTAAGTTCATCCAAACTGGTAAAATTAGTAAAATTGAGGCGAATCTGGAGAGTGCTTACCTGACGCCCTACATGAGTCTGAGATATTTTCCGGATGGGATACGGAACTGCTATAGTCTGAGTGTTGACGTGCATAGGAAACATTTGATCAGGGCTATGTTTGTTTATGGAAATTACGATGGTCTCAACTCTAATCCGAAATTTGACCTGCATTTAGGCCCTAATCCGTGGGCAACAATAAATTTGCAAGCGTCTGTGAATGGTACAGTGCAGGAGATCATTCACACCCCAACATCAAACTCATTGCAGATTTGTCTTGTTAAGACAGGGACAACTACACCAATGATCTCAGCCTTGGAGTTACGGCCGTTGGGAAATAATTCTTACCCCACACAGTCAGGTTCCCTAAATCTTTTCTTTCGGATGTATGTCAACAAGGCAGATGACTTTCTACGGTAAGTCAATGCCAACTTTTTTTTGTTTGCTCCGCTATATGGAAAAACTTCGAGTTCTTGGCTAATATAATATTTGTTTCACATAGGTACCCAGATGATGTATATGATCGCAGATGGTTTGATTTTTTCTTGAAGAGTTGGACCGAGATTTCCACGACCCTCAAAGTGAGCAATGATAACGAATATGATCCACCAAAAAAGGCACTTGCAACAGCTGCCACGCCCTCCAATGCCAGCGCACCATTGACAATCAGTTGGACACCAGTTAATCCTGGTGACGAATACTACTTGTACAGCCACTTCGCTGAGATACAAGATTTACAGACCAATGATACCAGGGAATTTGAATTGTTCTGGAATGGAGCTGTTATTAGCAAACCTTTCATTCCTTCAAAGTTAGCGGTAGATACTCACCTGGATATTTCTCCAAGGACTTGCAAAGGAGGGAAATGCATTTACCAGCTAATTAAAACCGCAAGATCAACTCTTCCTCCTCTACTTAACGCGCTTGAAGTCTATACAGTAATCCAATTTCCACAATCGGAAACAAATGAAAATGATGGTATGTTACTTACATTGCAGATACGCCCTGTTCGTTTTTAAATACTATAGAAAGTCAATTTCACCTATTATTCCTCACATCATTGAACTTTACATCAGTGGTTGCTGTAAAGAATATCGAAGCTGCCTATAAATTGAGTAGAATCAGGTGGCAAGGAGATCCTTGCGTCCCTCAACAGTATGTGTGGGATGGTTTGAACTGTAGCAACACAGATATTTCTACGCCTCCAAGAATAACATCCTTGTAAGTTGAAGATGACTTACACATACATACATGTTTAAAATATGCTACTTATCATGTTTTGAATCACCAGAAACTTGTCTTCAAGCGGGTTAACTGGAACCATAGCGGCTGCTATTCAAAACCTTACACAGCTAGAAAAACTGTAAGTATGTCCACTGTCAGATATTGGTTTTTTCGATAGAAGTAAAACAAACGGCCTTTACTTTATTTTGGCAATAAACTTTAGGGACTTATCAAATAACAAATTGACTGGAGTGGTGCCTGAATTTCTAGCCCAGATGAAATCTTTGTTGATCATGTAAGTTTCTCAGCATATTATCTATAACCTTTTCAATTCCCCTCTGGGTTATGTGTCTGGATGCATGAAGATTGCTCTTCTTTAATAGAAACTTAAGCGGGAACGATCTTAATGGTCCGCTTCCGCAAGCTCTTCAAAGAAAAGGACTAGAGTTACTGTAAGAAACTTCCCACATACTTTTGTAATATTCCATATCCACAGCCCTTTTGTGAGTTAATGTTTTCAACAACACTCTTCTTCTTGCAGAGTCCAAGGAAACCCAAGGCTTTGTCTCTCTGGCTCCTGCACAGAAAACTCCAAGAAGAAATTTCCTGTCGTAATTGTTGCATCAGTTGCTTCTGTGGCCATAATCGTTGCTGTGTTGGTTCTTATTTTTGTTCTCAATAAGAAAAAGCCGTCAACTGTGGAAGGTAATTTACAGGAGATCTCTCATCAAATCAAGAAACTAACAAAATTCGATGAATAGTTTTTCTTACATTCCCTACTCTTTTTTTTCCCTGTATCTCTGCAACCTCCACTGAATACGCCAACAGTGATTGATACATATGCTATTTCATCTGAACCATCAATCGGGACAAAGAAGAGAAGGTTTACTTATTCAGAGGTTATGAAAATGACGAATAATTTCCAAAGAGTAGTAGGGGAAGGAGGATTTGGACTCGTGTGTCATGGTACTATAAATGGTTCCAAACAGGTAGCTGTTAAAGTCCTCTCTCAGTCATCAAGTCAAGGCTATAAGCATTTTAAGGCAGAGGTATACATAATCTTCTTAAAAAATTATGATCATCTTAAGCATCACAACCTTACGTTATCTCTTGTTTTATTTCCCATGGATGATTAGGTCGATCTTCTTCTAAGAGTTCACCATACAAATTTGGTGAGCCTCGTTGGATATTGCGACGAAGGAGATCACTTGGCTCTTATCTACGAGTTTATGCCCAATGGAGACTTAAGAGAACATCTATCCGGTAAACTTGAATTTCTTCATGATTTGAGAATCTACCTAGACTATGTTTATAACTTCTAAGGTGATCTAAAGGATCATATATATACAGGAAAACGCAGTGGGTCCTTTATCAACTGGGGCAATCGGCTACGAATAGCTCTAGATGCTGCACTTGGTTCGTACTAAGCTTATCCAATAAAAGTATAGCTTAGAATGACTTTTCTTCTGGTGGATTAACAAATAATAACTCCTTTGAATAGGATTGGAATATTTACATTCTGGATGCACACCACCAATTATTCATAGAGATATAAAAACTACAAACATATTGTTGGACGGACAGTTAAAGGCCAAGCTTGCCGATTTCGGTCTTTCGAGATCTTTCCCTGTTGGGGGTGAAAAACATATTTCAACTGTGGTTGCTGGGACTCCTGGATACCTTGATCCTGAGTAAGTGTCGTTAGTTACCTTTACAATGTGCTGAAAGTGAGTTGTCATTTCGCACTTTATATATTGGTCAGAGAGTATAACCATGTACTTTGCTGTGCAGATATTACCAGACAACTCGACTGGGTGAGAAGAGCGATGTGTACAGCTTCGGAATTGTGTTATTGGAGATGATCACAAACCAACCTGTGATTGACCAATCCCGTGCAAAGTCTCATATATCACAATGGGTTGCGTTTGAGCTTAACCAAGGAGATATTACTAAGATCATGGATCCAAACCTGCACGGGGATTACGATTCTCGTTCTGTATGGAGAGTTCTTGAACTGGCAATGTCGTGTGCGAATCCTTCTTCTGTGAACCGACCAAACATGTCCCAAGTTGCTAATGAATTGAAAGAATGTCTTGTGTCTGAAAACTCGAGGACGGACTCTCAGAGTTTTCTTAAAGTGAGCATGAGCTTTGACACACAGTTGTTTCCGAGGGCAAGATAGTTTGTGCTGCAAGTAACACAACCATGCTAATTAGTTGGGCTATTAGTCTAGACACGTCCATGTAAAATATGTAACAAGAATCAGTCATATTTGCTTTGATCATCGAAATGTGAAGATTATATTCTCTGTTACTTATTGATTATCATTCTTTGTATGAATGGATTGGATGCTTATAATCATTGGCCGTAAAAGATAATACGTCTTTGTGGTTCCATCATTAACAAACAAATGATTTTGGTTAAGTATTTGTAAAATAGTTAGAAAAGAATATTGATTTAAAATTTTGTGTAGTCTGATAGACATTTCTCACTCAATCTGCGTCCCTGAACATTGCTTGTTTGGAAGTAAGATGGATATTGTGTGACCAAGAAACTAAACAGATGTACTAATTCACCAAATGTGACATATTGTCCCAAATCAAGTTCTCTAGAGAAGTAAAGAACCAGAATGTGGGTTGTGAATCTTGTGATTTCTTATTCACGTATCTCTACTCTTAAACAAAATTATTAGGGCATTAGGCTAATCACTTTAACTAAACTAACAAGACTCACAAATTAGTGAAATGGATCCGAATTCATTCTAGAAAATGGGCCGTAAAAAAACCCGTCTGGCCCAAAACAAATTTTTCTGTTATTTTCCCGCGACGGCGTTTACAACACTCCAATCGCCGATGAAGAGGTCTCATCGTCATCGCCGTCCTTCTCACGACTGGAGGTTTCGCTGTTGTATATGGCCGATTTATCGCCGGAGATTACTCACATTCGTCCTCCTCACAACAGTCATTGGGCCGGTCGACGCCGGCTGAAAGAGATGGGACTCAAAATTCCCGACCGGAAGGTAATTTCTCAGTTAAAGATATGACCGAAAATCCTGTAAAAATTGCAAATTTAGTTTTATGGGCTATGATTTTAGATATCTTATAATGGCGTCTTTGTCTGGAATTTGCTTCTTCATGTTGACCCACTTCTCTTTAGATATAGTCAGCGTTGATAATTGTGAGTCCTCTGCTTTGTGATTCGAAGCTGTTCTTGTCGATGAAGGCGTCAAAATATGTTTTAATCAGTGATAAAATTATTCGATATATTCAATCCAAGTCAATGAACACTAGAGAAAGTCAAATCTCTTGCTCTCTCTGTGTGAACATTTTTTAATGCGTTAAAGAGTGGTGACTGTAATAAAACCTGTGATTGACAGATTCTCTTGAAAACACACAAGTTGTCTATTTCCTGACCAAGTAACTGTAGTAGATGTATTCTTAGGACAATTTCCCTAATCAAGTTCATCGTAATTGTGAAGTTGCAATAGAAAACACATTTACTCAAGTTTTCTGACCAAGTACTAATTCAGAAGAAGTCTTTTGCCAATCAGACGTCTTATCACGTTGCCAGAGGTTAGTTTTTGCTCGGAAAAGTCTTTTTTTTTTTTTTTCTTCAATCCCTATCCTTCTTTATAAATACGATATGCACTGTTTCTCTCTCAAAACTTGAGAATTGGTAGTGTTTTACAAGTGATTATGGAGAATCCTTGCTGGTTTTTACTGGTTCTGTTAGGAACTTTCGCCATTCTCCACCTTGTTCAAGCTCAAGATCAACAAGGTATATAAATTTAATGGTTGTATCTGAGAGATGCCATTGGTTCTCACTCTTTTTAGCATTAAATTCTCTTTCATGTCTCGTTATAGGGTTCATCAGTTTGGATTGCGGGCTACCTGATACGGAACTGTCTCCTTATACTGAGTCAATAACCAGACTAAAGTTCTCATCAGATGCAAAGTTCATCAAAACTGGAAAAATTGGTAAAATCCAGGCAAATCTTGACTACCTGGAGCCATACACGAGGTTGAGATATTTTCCAGATGGGATGCGGAACTGTTACACCCTGAGTGTTGATAAGGACATTACATATGTGATCAGGGCTACGTTTGTTTATGGAAATTACGATGGTTTAAACGCTTACCCGCAATTTGATCTGCATCTAGGCCCTAATCCATGGCAAACAATAGATTTGAAAAAAAAAGTGAATGGTACAGTGGCGGAGATCCTTCATATTCCAACATCAAGCTCATTGCAGATTTGTCTCGTTAAGATAGGGACGACTACACCGATTATTTCAGCCTTGGAATTACGACCGTTGGCAAATAATTCGTATGTAACAGAGCCAGGTTCCCTGAAGCTTTTCTCTCGGATTTATCTCAACGAGGCAGAAGATGAATCTCTACGGTTAGTCAACATCAATAGACATTCTCTTTTTCTTTTCTTTTATGCTTGTGGCCATCAACCCCATAAAAAAAAAACTATATGCATTTCATATTGTTAATTTTTTTTTGTATTAACCTACCTTTGGATATATATACATTATTATCATCTTTTCTTATTTTTCTTAGAAAACAGAGTTATTTCTTTATTGTTACTACTTACTACCGTCCGAGTGAAATAATATATCATAGCATCCATAGTCATTTACTTATTCAATGCTAATGCAAGCATTGTTCCGTGTAGGTACCCAGATGATAGCTATGATCGCCGATGGTTTTCGTTTTTTAAGACGTCTTGGACTCAGGTTTCCACCAGTCGTACTGTCGAAATTAGTAACGTATGTTATCCACCGAAAGTTGCACTAAAAACGGCTGCTGTTCCTACCAATTCTAGTGAGCCATTGATGATTAATTGGCGTTCAGATAATCCTAGTGACCTATACTACGTGTACAACCACTTCGCCGAGATACAAGATTTAGGTAGCAATGAGACCAGGGAATTTGACATGTTCTGGGATGGACGTAATGTTGGTGAAGTTCTCATTCCTTCAAAGTTAAAGTTACTTACTTTGCAGTCACTGGGTCCATGGCCTTGTAATGAAGGCAGATGCATTATTCAGTTGGTAAGAACCCCGAGATCAACTCTTCCTCCTATACTTAACGCTCTTGAAGTTTTCACAGTTATCGAGTTTCCACAATCGGAAACAAATGAAAATGACGGTACGTTAACTAAGTTTTAATGTTATGCATTTAAGCTCCATTATCTTTGTAATACAACAGAGAAATCTCTCATATGCTAATTTGACATCATTCAACTATATACTAGTGGTTGCTGTAAAAAACATCAAAGCAACGTATGGATTGAGTAGAATTACCTGGCAAGGAGATGGAGATCCATGCGTCCCTCAAGAGTATGCATGGGACGGTTTGAACTGTACCAATATCGATAAGTCTACACCACCAAGAATCACTTCCTTGTAAGTCGTAAGATTACACATACACTCTTCAAAATCTGTTGGTAATCATGTTTTGGACGTATCACCCAGAAACTTGTCTTCAAGCGGGATAAATGGATCCATAGCAGCTGGCATTCAAAACCTTACGCTGCTAGAAAAACTGTAAGTATTTCCATTTCTGATCAAAAGTAAAAAAGTGGTTATGTCTATGGAAATCAGTTGGATGACCTCTACTTTCTTTTGGTACAAACTTTAGGGACTTGTCGAATAATAATTTGACTGGAGGGGTGCCGGAATTTCTAGGCAACATGAACTCGTTGTTATTCATGTAAGTTTCTCTCAACCCGTTTTCTAATGCTTTTCAAATTCCACCATGGACCAGGTTTAAGTATGTATCAAGATTGCTCCTTTCCATGCAGAAACTTAAGCGGGAACGATCTTAATGGCCCAATTCCTCAATCTCTCCAAAGGAAAGAACCAGGACTAGAATTACTGTAAGAAGCTTCCCACAAATCCTCCACATATGTTTGAACTTCTTTCAATACAATTCACAACCGTTTGCGCATTTTGATATCCTAAAATAACGTATGTCTTCTTGCAGTCTTCAAGGAAATCCAAGGCTTTTCCCTTCTGTTTCACCCCCAAAACCACCTAAAAAGAAATTTCCACTGACAATTGTTGTAGCAGTTGCTTTTGTGGCCATCATCATTGTTGCGTTGATCATTTTTCTTTTTCTCAGAAAGAAAAAGCCATCGACTACGGAAGGTATATTAATTTTAGGAACCCTCTCATCAAATTAAGTAACTATAAAAAAATCACATGAATATTGTTTATACATATTAATCTACAGCTCTACAAACACCAAGTACCCCACCAATGAATGTTACATATGACAATTCACCTGAACCATCAATCGAAACGAAAAAGAGAAGGTTCACTTATTCAGAGGTTATGAAAATGACGAACAACTTCCAAAGAGTATTAGGAGAAGGTGGATTCGGTATTGTCTGTCATGGTATTCTAAATGGTTCAGAACAGGTAGCTGTTAAAGTGCTCTCTCAATCATCAACTCAAGGGTATAAGCAGTTCAAGGCAGAGGTATAGTATGCATATATATCCCACAATCTCTAACAAAAAGTTATGATCATCTTTAGCATCCGAAGCATATGGATTATGAGTTTGTTTTCCTATGAATGATTAGGTTGATCTTCTTCTTAGAGTTCACCATACAAATCTGGTAAGCCTCGTCGGATATTGCGATGATGGAGATCACTTGGCTCTCATTTACGAGTTTATGTCCAATGGAGACTTAAGACAACATCTATCTGGTAAACTTGATATTGGTGATTTCTAGTGGTTTCAAATGTATCATTACTCTGTTTATATTAACTTTAAGGTTAATAAGGAGATAAAAAATCTAATATACAGGAAAAGGCGTTAAATCCATTATCAACTGGCGTAGTCGGCTAAGAATAGCTGTGGAGGCTGCATTAGGTTAGTACTAAGCTAAACAGTGGAACTAGAATTACTTCTTTCTAGTGGATTAATACCGGATAAATCCTTTGAATAGGATTGGAATATCTACATTATGGATGCACACCTCCAATGGTTCATAGAGATGTCAAAACTACAAACATATTGTTGGACGAGCAGTTCAAGGCCAAACTTGCTGATTTTGGGCTGTCAAGATCTTTTCCAGTGGGAGGTGAATCTCATGTTTCAACAATGATTGTCGGTACTCCGGGATACCTTGATCCTGAGTAAGTATACCATTACAATGTTTTGAAATTTGTCCTTTTCTTCTTCAATGGTTGAAGACTGAAGAGTATAATAATGTATTTGCCTTGCAGATATTATCATACAAGTCGCTTAGGTGAAAAGAGTGATGTGTACAGCTTCGGGATTGTGTTATTGGAAATGATCACAAACCAATCAGTGATTGACCAAACTCGCGAAAAGCCTCACATAACACATTGGGTTGGATTTGAGCTTAACAGAGGAGATATTACTAGGATCATGGATCCAAACCTGCATGGAGATTACAACTCTCGTTCTGCATGGAGAGCTGTTGAGCTGGCAATGTCATGCGCAAATCCTTCTTCAACAACAAGACCAAACATGTCCCAAGTTGTTACCGAATTAAAAGAGTGTATTGTGTCTGAAAACTCGAGGGGAAATATGAATATGGACTCTCAGAATTCTCCTGAAGTGAGCATGAGCTTTGACACAGGGATGTTTCCCAGGGCAAGATAATTTGTGGTGCAAGTAACACAACCATTGCTAATTACTTGGAAACTCGACAATGTGAGGATCATTTTCTCCTCTTCTTGGTTGAATTTTTATTTTTTTACTTTTCGTTATTTGTATGTGTGTTGACTCTTTTGGGTCTGAACCCAGGACCAGGTCGTGTCCACTTGAGTGCTATCTTCTTGTTATTCCAATATTTGAGAGCATATATTGATTAAAAATGTGTATAATCTGATAGATGAACACAACACAGACAATTCTCACTCAATCTGCAATCCTAAAAACAGTGAGACCCCTAAGCCGTAGTAAGAATGGCTTAAACCCAACGGCCAAACAAGATTTTATTTCACGGTTTTGTAAATGAACCTGTAACGGTACGATAAATCCCGAATCAGCACTCACCGAGAGCACGAGATAAGGGTAAATCAAAGCCCAGAAGGTGAAGGATCACCTCGAAGATCTAAGATTCAGTGTTAATGGAAGATGATGATGATCGAAAGAAATAGAGGAGATTGAAGAAGATAGTTTGTGTTTTTGATTGATTCTCAGAAAATGGCTAAAACCCTTTACATATAGAGTCACGATGGTTTGGTGGTCTAAACAAATGACCAAAGATGATTAGTGAACCGGAGATTAGAAAGCTAAACCGGTTACCGGTTTATCCTGTTACAGAACCCGACCGGATGATAGTGTCACTGCGGCTGCGTTTCTACCGCTTCAATCGTAGATTGCCGGGGAAAAAGATCTCTACACCGGGAAACCGCTGATGGCGAAGCCCTCTTCTCTTTCTCTCGATGGGAGGTTTCGCCGTCGTAGACATTTTTTTTACAATCAGAGATTCTCAATGTTATCCGCCGACTCGCTGATACACCGGCTGAGACAGATGAAAGAGACCCACATTTCTCTCGGATTCGCTACATCTAATCAGGTTGTCTTTGAAACTCCGAACTCTATGCAATTCACTTCGATTAGGATTTCAACTTTTAATTATGGGTTCTGATTACGGATTCTCTTATGATTATATTGTGTACAACAGTAGAAGAAAGTCAACTACCTCTTAGCAATTCTTAGTGTGTCATGGTGGTGCTGGTGCATTATCTTTTTGTGTGATTGTCTTACCAAGAAACTACTGTTGCACCAAATGTGCAAATGTCCCAAATCAAATTCTCTAGAAAACTAAAGAAACAGATTATGGATTGTGATTTCTCAACATTCACATAATAGTTAGACTTACAAATTAGTGAAAGCAGTTGAATAAAATAATAAAATTCTTCTTAGGCTTTGTCTTATATAATTGATTTTCTTTTGGTGTAAGTTCATTGCTTAACGTGCTTCTGGTCTGCTCTATATTTTGCATGATTGAGTTCATGATAGTGATGTTGGGGCTTAGCTGTCCTCATTTTCTTCTTATTCTTCCTCTTGTTGAATAGAAAATGCATTTACTCATTTCTTTTGACTTGACGAAGTCTTTCTTTTAGCTTATACATTTTCTTCCTAGCCAAATGGTTTTCTTGATTTTTCCTTGGAAGGTTAGAGAATATGAAGAATTCTCTTGGCCTTTTGTTGCTGCTAGTAGCCATCATTCATATTGTTCGAGCTCAAGACCAACAAGGTATCAGAAAATCTTTTCTTTTTTTTTCTCTCCTTTTTAGACACATTCTTAAACAAACATTTTGGTTCTCAAAAGTGAATTGTTTCTAACGGATAATCTTCACAATGTCTGTTAGCAGGATTCATCAGTTTGGATTGCGGGCTACCCGCGAATGAACAGTCTCCTTATGAAGAGAGTTTCACTGGACTGCGGTTCTCTTCGGATGAAAAGTTCATACGTAGTGGAAAAAACGGTCTAATCCGAGAAAATCCTGTGGGATACGCGAAGCCATACGAGTCGCTGAGATATTTTCCAGATGGAATAAGGAACTGCTACAATCTAAACGTTGAAAAGGGCAGGACACATTTGATTGTGGCTAGGTTTGTATATGGAAATTATGATGGTTTTGACCTTAAACCAAAGTTTGATCTGTATCTTGGACCTAATTTATGGGCCACGGTGAATTTGCAAACACAAGTTAATGGTACAGCGGAAGAGATCTTACACATCCCAACATCAAACTCGTTGCAGATTTGTCTTGTTAAGACTGGGGAAACTATACCGCTAATATCGGCTTTGGAATTACGACCAATGGCAGATGATTCTTATATCACTAAGTCTGGTTCCTTGAATCTTTTCTCTCGAAAATATCTTAGCAAGTCAGGATCTGATCTACGGTAAGTCAACTTCAACTGATCAATGTTTCTTCTTTCTGCTCTGTTTCCAATACGAGGGTTGGTTTGATTGACACTTAAAAAAGGTCATACACAAAGGTTTTAAGGAAATCAATATGATCATTTTACTATTTGAAAAATGATACTGTTCACTTATTTACCTATTTTAGTACTAAAACAACATTGCTTCCCACCCCCAGGTATATGAAAGATGTCTATGATCGCACATGGGTATCATATGGAGCAAATTTTCGGACGGGGTGGACACAGATTTACACCGCTCTTGAAGTGAACAATTCCAACAATTATGCTCCACCAAAAGATGCGCTAAAAAATGCTGCCATACCGACTAATGCCAGTGCGCCATTGACGATTGAATGGCCTCCAGGAAGTCCCAGGTACCAATATTACTTGTACGCACACTTTGCTGAGATCCAAGACTTGCAGGCAAATGATACCAGAGAATTCAACATCCTATTGAACGGAGAAGTTTTTTCTGACCCTATCATTCCTAAGAAACTTGACATAACTACTGTCCAAAGTGTGACCCCAAAAACTTGCCAAGAAGGGAAATGTAGTTTGCAGCTAACAAGAACCAACAGATCAACTCTTCCACCTCTACTTAACGCTTTGGAAATCTATGCAGTCATCCAATTTCCACAATCCGAAACAAATGAAATTGACAGTATGTTTATGTTTAGTTTGGAAACAAAACATAAGCATGATAGAGTACTCGTGACTTTTTTCATGTATTAATTTCTAACATCATCAAACCTTCTATGTCAGTGATTGCTATAAAAAACATTGAAGCCGTCTATGGATTGAGTAGAATCAACTGGCAAGGCGATCCATGTGTCCCTCAACATTTTATCTGGGATGGTTTAAACTGCAGCAACACGGATATCTCCACACCACCAAGAATCATTTCTTTGTAAGTCATAACTTCACTAGTTACGCACATTCACTCTTCAAGATCTGTTAGTAGTAATGATCATTAACAACTTTGAATGTGGTTTTGAAAATTTTACCAGAAACTTGTCTTCAAGTGGTTTAACTGGAAACATAGCAGCTGCCATTCAAAACCTTACGCAACTAGAAAAACTGTAAGTATGTCCATTGTTGATTAAAAACAAGAAATTGTTCTATATATGCGAAGAAATCAGATGTAATATCATTAAACATTCTCTCTTTCTAACATTAGGGACTTGTCGAATAATAGCTTGACTGGAGGAGTGCCGGAGTTTCTAGGCAAAATGAAATCGTTGCTTGTCATGTAAGTTTCTCTCAACATACTTTTTAATGTTTTCCAGATTCCACCTAAGATCATGGTCGTTTTTAACAGAAATTTAAGTGGGAACAATCTTAGTGGTTCAATGCCTCAAGCTCTTCAAAAGAAAGGACTAGAACTATTGTAAGAAACTTTCTACACAGTTTTTGAAATTTCTCAGTTGTTTATCTACAACCATTTTTGTGCATATGATGTCATTAACAACCCTTGTCTTCTTGTAGTGTTGAAGGAAACCCAAGGCTCTGTCTCTCTGATTTATGTAGGAAACCACCTAAGAAAAAAGTTCTTGTGCCAATTGTTGCATCAGTTGCTTCTGCAGCCATTGTCATTACTTTATTGATTCTTTTTCTTGTAGTCAGAAAGAGAAAGTCAACTATTGTAGAAGGTACTTTGCAACAGAGATACATCAAATAAGAAAACTTATCAATTCATTGTTCCATTATTGCATTAAAAGAAGAGACACCGATGGTTCATAGGTGGATGCGAATCTCAGGAATTGACGGTGATCGCTGGCACTCCTGGATACCTTGATCCCGAGTAAGTATTATTAGTTATCATATACACACACGTAAACACTTGTTCTGAAACTTTCTATTCTGTCTTTGATGGTTAATGAGTATATACACTTGTTTTGCAGATATTATATACCGTACAAATAGGTTGGCTGAGAAGAATGATGTCTACAGTTTCGGGATCTGTGTTATTGGAGATGATCACAAACCAACCTGTGATTAATCAAACCTCTGAAAATTGTCACATAACACAATGGTTTGGCTTTCAGATCAACCGAGGTGATATTTATGAGATTATGGATCCAAACCTTCGCAAGGATTATGATATTCATTCTGCTTGGAGAGCTCTTGAACTGGCAATGTCATGCGCGAATCCTTCTTCCTCGAAAAGACCATCCATGTCACAGTTTATTCACGAGCTAAAAGAGTGTATTGTGTGTGAAAACACAGGGATAAGTAAGAATCGAAGCTTGGAATCTCAAGTCTCAAGAAATGAACGTTAGCTTGGACACGACGGTGGTTCCCATGGCAAGATAGTTCTGAGTGTTGTCTACTTGTGGTACTAATAAAGAATCAAAACTTAACTAGTTACATATTAAGTAAAAATTTGTAAACTAGTTAAAGTATTGATTAAAGTATGTAACTGTGTAAGAGCATCTCCATCCACACTCTATTGAGTGTCTAACAAATAAAATAATATTAATTTTTTATTATTTAATTATTTTATTATTTAATTGTTTATTTAAACCAATCAGAAGAAGACAACTGTAAAAATGGGTGTCTCAGAGTTTCTCAAATGAGAAACAGTTTCTGTCCTCTCTCCTCCTTTTTTAATTTTTTATTCTGTTTTATTGGAGAGTGTCTCACCTAGACACTCCCAATGGAGATGGTCTAAGGTTTTATAGATAAACTCGAACTCGACAAATTTCATTCTGCTTTCATTGATCATTGATAAATCCAGATCATATTTTCTGCTCTTTTGTTTTCTACATGTCTTTTTTTTTTTTTGGTTTAATTACATATGTGTCTTGAGTACCACGAACAGGTCATGTTGCTTTGACCGTCAAAATTTCAAAGATCATTTTTCTCTGTAATTTTGGTTTCTCTGTATGTGGTTTACTTGAGTGCCACGCCATGAAGGTGGTCGTTTTATCACGGGAAACTTTGCTCGCTGCCGACTGGGTCATCAAAACAGGTTTTTGTCTGAAAAATCCGAAATTTATGCGACTCATTTAATTAAAATTCCAACTTTTTTACTCATTATGGTTTCTGATTACGGAGCTCTGAATGATAATACGTAGTTGGAGAGTTGTCTTCACCAATAAAAAAGTCAACGGCCATTGACTATTTCTCAAAGTTTCTTCGTGCTGTCATGGTGCTGAGTCTGGTCGTTATTAAAAGCTAATATCTTTGTTGCGTGATTGATACATTCTTTGGAAGTTATACTAAAAGCAAGTTGCAAATTTTCTGACCAGGAAACTAAAAAGTAGACTGATGTACACAATTTTCATGATAGTGATGTTGGAACATTATCTTCCTTTTGTTCTTCTTAATTTTTCCCATGGTGAAGTTGCATTAGAAAACATCTTTTGTTCATCATCCATCTTGTTTAAGCTCAAGGGCTAATTGTTATAAACCTTGTTTAGTCGGCATATGTAGATCATGGTGTCTCTAATTCTGAATATTGTTGTGGTTTCTAACTTTTATTCATATGATTGTAACAAACTCAGGTCTTCTACATATATAAGACAACGACCATAAGAATGTCAACTCTTTCTGAACATTTCTTCATGCATCACTGTGGTGAGTTTGGTGGGCTATTAAATATTTAAATCCAATATTCTTTTTGTGTGATTGACATTTTCTTTTGAAGTAAATTGCAAATTGCCTGACCAAGAAACTATATTGATGTACAGTACCACAAATGACCCCAGTCAAATTGTTATCCTCTTATGAGTCTTCTTCCTCTTCCCATGGTGAAGTTGCATTAGAAAACACATTTTACTCTTCTTCTTTGATCATTGACTTGAAAAAGTATTTGCTTTTAGTTTCCAATTTGGTTTTGGTTATATATTCTCATGTTATCTTCCAGAGCTTGGGCAACGATTTTCTTGATTTGTCCTTGGTGGGTAATAGAATATGGAGAGGTCTCTTGCGCTTTTGTTGCCGCTAATTGGAACTTTGGCTATCATTCATATTGTTCAAGCTCAGAGCCAACAAGGTATTCACATTTTAACTCAGATATATACATATTTGTGTACGCTTCTTCTTCTCCATCTTACTACCATTTTGGTTCTTGATCGCAATTGTATTGGGCAGTTCTATCTGTTTGTCTATTTTAAGTGTCAATTTTTTCCATTCTGTTTTACAGGTTTCATCAGTTTGGATTGCGGGCTGCCCGCAAATGAATTGTCTCCTTATAAAGAACCAAATACTGGATTACAGTACTCTTCCGACGCAACATTCATCCAGAGTGGAAAAACTAGTAAAGTCCAGGCAACTATGGAGGATACATTCCTGAAGCCATACTCAACGCTGAGATATTTTCCAGATGGAATACGGAACTGCTACAATCTAAACGTCGAGAAAGGAAGAAATCATCTGATCAGAGCTTGGTTTATGTATGGAAATTATGATGGACGTGACAATAGCCCGAGGTTTGACCTGTATCTTGGACCTAATCCATGGGCCACGATCGATTTGCATAGACGAGAGAATGGTACACGGGAAGAGATCTTTCACATACCAACATCAAACAAGTTGCAGATTTGTCTTGTTAAGACTGGGGAAACTATACCAATGATCTCAGCCTTGGAAATACGGCCCATGGGAAATGATTCTTATATCACCCAGTCCGGTTCTCTGAGTCTCTTCTTTCGGGTATATCTTACCGAATCGAAGAAGTACCTAAGGTAACTTCAACTTAACATTATCCCTTGTTTTTGCTCTGAGTTCTTCAAGGAGAGGACTATTTCCAGACACTTAAGTAAAAGTGTAAGACAAGACAAAAACAATGAAAAAGAGCAATCTGATAATATTTACAATGGTCCAAGAGGACAAAAATGATATTATCCATTCTTGTTTACTGATTTCAATGTTCAAATGTTATTTTTCTCACCCTCAGGTACCCGACCGATGTCTATGATCGCCAATGGATTGCGTTCTTTTGGAGGGAGTGGACCCAGATATCAACCACTAGCGATGTGAAAACTTCCACCAATTATGAAGTACCAGAAGCCGCACTTGTAACTGCAGCCATACCTACTAATGCTAGTGCGCCATTGGCGATTGAGTGGACTTCACCAGATCCTAATACCCAATATTACTTGTTTAGACACTTTGCTGAGATCCAAGACTTGGGAACTAATGAAACCAGGGAATTCAACATGTTATGGAACGGAGAAGTGATCTCTACACCTATAATTCCTGATAAGTTAAAGATAACTACTATCTTAAGTACATCTCCAAGGACTTGCGATGCAGGGGACTGTAATTTTCAGCTGAAAAGAACCAATAGATCAACTCTTCCACCTCTACTTAACGCTCTTGAAGTCTTCACAGTTATCCAGTTTCCGCAGTCTGAAACAAATGAAACTGACGGTATGTTTCAACCTTATGCAAATAAGGTCTAGTTCTTTTTAATGTTTCTTTCTAACATCTTGAAATTATTTATGTCAGTGGCTGCTATAAGAAACATTGAAGCCACCTATGGATTGAGTAGAATCAACTGGCAAGGTGATCCATGCGTCCCTCAACAGTTTAGGTGGGACGCTTTAAACTGCAGCAACACGGATCCCTCCACACCACCAAGAATCACTTCTTTGTAAGTCATAACTTCACTAGTCACGCACACAGATCTGTTTGTATTCATGATCATTAACAACTTTGAATTTGGTTTTGAAAATATTACCAGAAACTTGTCTTCAAGTGGTTTGACTGGAAACATAGCAGCTGCCATTCAAAACCTTACGCAACTAGAAAAACTGTGAGTATGTCCATTGTTAATTGTAAGGAAGTAATTACATGTAATAGTATCATATAACATTTTCTCATTCTAACATTAGGGACTTGTCGAATAACAACTTGACCGGAGAGGTGCCGGAGTTTCTAGGCAACATAAAATCATTGTTGTTCATGCAAGTATCTCTCAAGCATATTTTTCTAATGCTTTTCAATTTCTACCTCGAATTCATTGCTCTTTTTCTTTTTCTGTAAACGATATTCATTGCTCTTTTTATACAGAAACTTAAGCGGGAACGATCTTAATGGTACAATTCCTCAATCCCTACAAAGGAAAGGTGGACCCCAGCTAATGTAAGAACTAATTCCCACATATATTTTGAACTTTTCTCTGTTATTATCCACAAACCCTTTTGTGCCTCTGATGTCTTGAAACAACACTTGTCTTCTTATAGCCGTCATGGAAACCCAAGGCTTTTTCCCTCTGAATCACCCACAATATCAACAGGCAAGAGCTTTCCAGTTGTAATTGTTGCATCAGTTGCTTCTGCTGCCTTCCTCATTGTTGTGCTGGTTCTTGTACTTGTTCTCCGAAAGAAAAAGTCGTCGACTGTTCAAGGTATTTCTGCAAGAGAGACATATCAAACTAGAATAGTGATGAATCTAATGGTTATGGTTTTTGATAGCCTCTAATTTCTGATCTAACAGTTGTTCACCCGCCTCCAAGTAGGCCAACCATGAATGTTCCTTATGCTAACTCACCTGAGCCCTCAATCGAGATGAAAAAGAGAAGGTTTACTTATGCAGAGGTTATGAAAATGACGAATAATTTCGAAAGAGTTGTAGGGGAAGGAGGATTTGGCGTTGTCTGTCACGGTACTGTAAATGGTTCTGAACAGGTAGCTGTTAAACTACTCTCACAATCATCAACTCAAGGCTATAAAGAGTTCAAGGCAGAGGTATTTGTAGTACAATCTTTCCAACTAGTATCTGTTTTTTAACATCACAAAGCTAATGCATGGATTCCTTGTTTTTCGTTGCATGATTGCATTAGGTTGATCTTCTTCTGAGAGTTCACCATACAAATTTGGTAAGCCTTGTCGGATATTGTGATGAAGGAGACCACTTGGCCCTCATCTACGAGTTTGTACCCAATGGAGACTTAAGACAACATTTGTCAGGTAAAACTTTGTGTAACATTTTCTAATGGTTTCATTATGTATCATGAACTCATGAAAAATCGTTGTTCTTCCCAAAAATATGAAAGGATCTAATGATCTAATATATAGGAAAAGGAGGTAAACCCATCGTCAATTGGGCTACGCGGCTAAGAATATCTGCGGAGGCAGCACTAGGTTGGTACCAAGTTACACCGTACGTAGAACTAGAATTCATTCGATTGTTCTTACAATAATTAGTTAATACGGATGAATCCATTGGATAGGTTTGGAGTACTTACACATTGGATGCACACCACCAATAGTTCATAGAGATGTCAAAACTACAAACATATTGTTGGACGAGCAGTTCAAGGCCAAACTTGCTGATTTTGGGCTCTCAAGGTCTTTCCCAGTTGGAGGGGAAACTCATGTTTCGACGGTGGTTGCTGGTACTCCTGGTTACCTTGATCCAGAGTAAGTATCAACAGAAACTTTTCTCTTCCTTCTTCAATCATTAAAGAGTATACCATGTTCTTGCCTTGCAGATATTACCAAACAAGCCGGTTGGGTGAGAAAAGTGATGTGTACAGTTTTGGAATTGTGTTATTGGAAATGATCACAAACCAACCAGTGATTGATCGAAACCGCAGAAAGTCTCATATAACACAATGGGTTGGGTCTGAGCTTAACGGAGGAGATATTGCTAAGATCATGGATCCAAAGCTTAATGGGGATTATGATTCTCGCTCTGCGTGGAGAGCTCTTGAGCTAGCAATGTCCTGCGCGGATCCTACTTCAGCGAGACGACCAACCATGTCTCATGTTGTTATAGAACTAAAAGAGTGTCTCGTGTCTGAAAACTCAAGGAGAAATATGAGTCGAGGCATGGATCCTCTAAGTTCCCCTGAAGTAAGCATGGTCTTTGATAGTGGGATGATTCCCAGAGCAAGATAGTTTGTGCTACAAGTAACACAATTGTAAAGAAACCACTCAACGAACTCACTGTGGCTTTGACCTGTCGTGTGCTCTGTTTGTATTTGTGAGTGCCGGTTAGTATTTTTTTTGTTAATGTGGTTTTAAAACCTTCTTATGTAAATAGTTACTTTATCTATTGAAGTGTGTTCTTGTGGTCTATAGTTTCTCAAAGGGAAATAAAAATGTTGAAATCCCATTTACAGTTGATAACTTGATATACACAAACTTGGTTATGTAAATTTGGTTGTATTTATAGTCGAAAGAAAGCAATACCATTTATGTTCCAATATCAATATCAATACCAAAACTTGATAATACTAAGGGCTTGATTGGTTCTCCCGCTAGCACCCTCCTAGCGGTTGCTAGCGGTCGGTTGCGGTTGTTAGCGGTTGGTACCAATCATAGAAACCGCTCCGTACCGCTTTGAACCGCTCGAAATCGCTGAATTTCAAAAGCTCCTTCCCGCAAGCGTTTGCGGTTGCGGGCGGTAGCGGTTGGATTTAAAAAAAAAAAAAAAAAAAAAAAAAATCAAACGTTTACCTATAATTATTATAATATATATTAATCCTATATATATCTTTCATATGTGTATCACGTTCTCATCAGAAACCCTAATAATATTCTGAAACCCTATTCTCTCAATGTCTTCCACCCAAACTGATGAAAATCAATAACCAAACGTAAGTATCATATATCCTTTTATTCATTCATTACCTCATGTGTAACTTTTTGAATATTTTTCATGACATCGTTTTTTTTCTTTTCATTACGTATTGCTTTGCTTTTTGATTGAATATATGTTTCGATTTGTTTTCTCGAATAGAAACTCACTTGCTTTTTGATTGAATTCAACGTTATTTACAGTTTGTCCCATTACTTGATGCCATTTTTGATGTTAAACAAGATGCATAAAGTACTATCTTGTTACAAAATTTCTTTATTTTTGAATAATTATTTAGTACTTTATTTATGGTTTTACTTATTAAGCATGTTCAATTTTTCTAGGTGCTTTTATTTCTTTTTTTTTGTAATATTTTTTATTCATTTTGGTCATTTTTTATTTAACTGCTACCGCACCCGCTGGTTTACCAGTCATAAAACTCCCGCAAACGCATCCATTTTCAAACGCTAAACCAGTCGTTCAAAATGCTTGATAACGCATGAAACCGCAACCGCCCGCTTCCGCAAACTCCCACAACCGCAACCGCAACCGCTGCGTTTAAACCAGTCAGGCCCTAAACATATGATTGTCATTGTTTTTCCAATATCAATATATTAGATTTCATTTAACATTAGTATAAATCACTATGTTATAAATGATAAATCTTTGTCGGTTGTAAGTTGTAACTTGTAATTCGTGGGTTTTAAAAACAAACGCATATGAAAATTTTCAAATAATTTGATGGTGCAATTTTATTTTACGAGTTCCAAAATATTGCCGCTTCATTACCCCAATTACTGGCGCCGCATGTAAAACAAAAGACGATTCTTATTGGCTAATAATGCCACCACGCGGATCACTAATTACAACCGTTGATTAATATACATCGACGGTTCATACATCTTTTTATTGTACATACGGATCGATATCTCAGCCGTTAGATCAACTATGCGATCTGATTGCTCAATTTATTAGACTCTCCGTCTTTGCCTATAAAACCAATTTCACATCTTGTCTCACCCAAATCAACTCTTAACCGTTCTTCTTCATCTAGCATCAAATTCTCTCGAGAAAATCTAAATCTTCGTTGAAAAAATGTCGGGTCGTGGAAAGGGAGGAAAAGGTTTGGGCAAAGGAGGAGCCAAGCGTCACAGGAAGGTTCTGAGAGACAACATTCAAGGAATCACCAAGCCCGCGATTCGGAGATTGGCTCGTAGAGGTGGAGTCAAGCGTATCAGTGGTCTGATCTACGAAGAGACACGTGGCGTCCTCAAGATCTTTCTCGAGAACGTGATTCGTGACGCTGTTACTTACACCGAGCACGCTAGGAGGAAGACTGTGACCGCCATGGATGTTGTTTACGCTCTCAAGAGGCAAGGAAGGACTCTTTACGGATTCGGCGGTTAAAACGTGGTTTTTCAGATCCGCGTTTGTGTTTTCTGGGTTTCTTACTTAGGCGTATTATTCTGGAATTTTCTAATCAATTCATGTTATCTTCAGCGTTTGCGTTTTACTTTTGCTTTAGGTATGGCGTTTAGTAGTTTGCGGTAGTGTTCTCGTTATGTGTAATTACGCCTTTTCTTCTTGCTTCAGCAGTCTCTGGTGAAATATAATCGAATTAAGTTTCAATTTATCAGTGTTGTTTTTGATTTTGGCATTTAATTGGTGAAAATGGATTCAAATTTGCATCTAAATAGAAGAATCATCATGAAATTGGACATTTGAGCTCAAATCTGCGAACATTTATTTTCTCATTTCACGATGGTTGAGGATGACGAAAGGGCGGTTCCTATGACCGGGAGATTTTCCGGAGAAGACAATGAACTAAGCTATTGAAACGAGAAAACGACGTCGCATTGGGACGGATATGAGTTAGACCGACTCAATTCCTTTATTAATACATAAACCGGTTTTGGTTAAGATGTAACAGCTGATGGAAAATCATATTGGTCATTGAATGAAAATCATAGTCTAATCTTTAAAAATGTACAGAAGAAAAGCTAGAGGAGAACAAATATGCTATATTCTGGTTCCAATAAGGATTCCTGGAAATTTATCATCTCTTTAGCGTCCCTCAGATTTAACCAGCTGCGAGAAAACTTTACTCATGGAAACACCTGAACTATCATCAACACTCGATTCTTCTTCATCAAACTGTCCCTCTTTAGCTACAGAAACGTTAACACTCGTGTCTCCATGGTTATAATCATTGAACCGTAGAGGTAGCTCACCGATCATGTTTGTGCTGTCTTCTGGATCACCATCAATGACAGCTTCTTGTAGCTGTAAAGCGTATTCAAGATTCCACAACACATCTCCCATTGATGGTCTATCGACTCCGTAATCAGCTAAACATTTCTCCCCTGTTTCACCAAACTTTCTTAGCGAATCAGGTCTGATTTTACCTCGCAGTGACGGATCGATGATATGTTCAAGATGTCCTTTCTTCTGCCATTTCATCGCCCATTCCGCTAGATTTACCATCTCTCTAGTAAGTGTCGGGTCTATAACAGGTCTCGCGCAGAGAACCTCGAACATAACCACTCCAAAAGAGTAAACGTCTGATTTCTCTGTGAGCTGTTGTCTTCTGAAGTATTCCGGATCAAGATATCCGAAACTTCCTTTGACCGCGGTACTCACATGAGTCTGATCGATCTCGGGTCCGGTCTTAGACAGTCCAAAGTCTGCAACTTTAGCCATGAGATTCTCGTCGAGTAATATGTTGGCGGATTTCACGTCTCTGTGAATCACGGGTTTTGCGTCACCGGTATGGAGATAATGCAAACCTCTTGCTGATCCAATGCATATCTCAAGCCGTTGCTTCCAACTTAAGCTAGGAAGATCTGAGCCGTAAAGGTGACTCTTCAATGTTCCGTTCTCCATATATTCGTAAATGAGAATCATCTCGTTGTTCTCATCGCAGTAACCGATCAGAGAAACCAAGTGGCGATGACGGAATTGAGACAGCATTTCGATTTCTGTCCTGAACTCTGCAAGTCCTTGCTGAGACTTAGGATTCGCTCTTTTAACAGCTACTTTAGTACCGTCGTGAAGCTCTCCTTTGTACACTTTACCAAAACCACCAACTCCAATTGCTCTGTTCTCGTCAAAGCTATTTGTGGCCTCTTTGACTGCTGCCAAAGGAATTCGATAACTGGAATTGGAAGCTTTACTTGCAATTGTAGTTCCATTTGAGGATGAAGTTGTTCCATTGGAAGACAACGGAATCCAAGTCTTTGAATGGTCATCCGGGTCTCGTCCTCGTTTCTTGTACAGCAAAAAGAAACCTCCTAAAACCACTAAAGCAAGGAATGAGCCAACCGTTACACCAACGATCATACCAACATTCTTCTTAGTGGTTGAACTTGAACCACTAGGCAAAAATGTCCCGTTACTGAGCTGACTTTTGGAGTTATTCATCTTCATGATCTCTAATCCGTTTAGAATCGCATTAGGGTAATCCGTGTGAAGACTCGATGGACCGATGCTCACACGGATTCTTTTAGTCTGTTTAGCTGATCCGGTGACAAAATCCATCGAGTATGCACCGCTCAAAGTGTTGGATAAATAAGAGCTTAAATCGAGATGCTCAACAACCAACATAGAGTCGACATACAGATTGAAGTAAAGCTGGTTTAGTGCTTTACTCACAATATCGCAGAAATGAAACCGTAGAAAGTACTGAAAACCCGGGTCAACATCGAAATCCCAAGTCACATTGAACTTGCTAGACGGGTTATCCGCGGAATTCATCTCGGTGCAAGTACCATAAACAGTTCTTGGGGCAGTCTCCTCTGTAGCAAAACCAGGAACATAATTAACACTTGCAATCTTAGACACAATCTTAACTAGATTCTTCTCCACTATAAACTCAGAATCAGGCTCCCAAATTCTCGAAAGAGTATCATTACTAGGCGTAACACGCGGACCGCCCATATTCACTCTATAAACAGTCTCAAGAGCTTGCCATGACATGCCCTGAAACTTCCCGGGACTGCCTACAAATGAAGGATCGCCACTGATCAACGTATCAGGAACCGATACAACCTCGAGCGCATTCACAAAGGCGAACGAATCACCCAAGGGAGTAAACGTGAGCTCGAGATGATCCGCAGCTACACTCAGAGAGTACTCCTTCATAACTCTGGATTTCCCAGTGAAATCACTCAAGAGGACATGTGTTTGTGAAGAAACAGAGAATTTGGCTGAACCCATTTGGAAGTTTTGGTACTGAAAAGGATTGAAATGGAGACGAACCCAGTGACGGCCTCTAGTGACGGAGAATCTGTACTTAGAAACTCCGGTGAAGATTCTCGCCGTCTGGTAAATATCTGAATTCGAATTGCGATTACTCGCGGCGAGGATTTCATTAGGAGAGGTTAAGAGGTTTGAAGCAAGCTTATCAGAGATAAACACTCGACCAGTGACAGTGACGTTGGTTGATGATCCACAGTTGATGAGGTAATTATTCACAGGTACGTATCCATGGCAGAGGCAGATTAAGCAAGAAACCCAAATCAAAAATCCAAACTTTTCAACACCCATCTTCACAAAACCTGGAAATTTTAAACAATTCGACTGAAATAGACAAAGAATATATCAGCTAGATTCGAGGGATATACGACATGAGTATAATTAGGGTTTCTGTTTTAGCAAAGATGACAACTTTCTCAATAACGACAGTGATAAAAAAATTTCATAACGGATAAAATTAAGCAGCAAAAGAACAAAATTTTTGTACCTTTAAGACAAGATTTCCGAGAATATTAATTGTTCCATGAAAGGTACAATAGCTGAGGATCAGCTGATCGATTGATTTCCAGATTTTGGCTTTTGTTTTCTTAAAATTTGTGTGTGGAAATTGGAACAGACTGGTAACAAAAGATGGATTTTTTGTGAACTCTAAAAACATGAACTAAATATATAATAAATACCAATTTAATATTTGTGTAGATGCAAACGACAAATAAATTAATATGAGCAAATTTAGGAGACGCAGGAATTGAATTGAATTGTCAGTCTGATTTTTTCTGATGGCTAAGAAAGTTAGGAAGAAGACATAATTTCCCAGATTTTACCATAAAAAAACTGCACAAACGTTAGTGGGTATGTTTCATTACCACTTTTTAATGTGTAAAGAAATAACAATTGTCAATTATTTAACTTTTTCTCACTATTTATTTTTCTTGTTAATTATAATTATCATATCATTTTTGTCTGCATCGGTTCGTCAATCGTCACTCCTAAATCCTATTATGAATTTATGATAAATCTCAAAAAAAATTAAGGAAGGTAGTGGAGGTTGGAACGAAAGTCAACATATGTGGGTTTTGTGATTTTTTTTTTTAAGAATATAAACCAAACTGCCGACTGCCGACCGTATTTATGAAGAAAGCACATGATCTTTTTCGGCTTCTGTTCATGCAATATAAATAGATTATCATAAGTTTACTATTCCATGTTTGTTTTGTTGGAAGTTTCATCTCAAGCTTTTGTTACAGCTGATCTTTTAAATAGCACACACATCAATCATTTTATACAAATAATAATGTTTTATACTTAAGTGACAACTGTTTTAAAGTAATTTCTCAAAAGGATTTCTCATAACCACACCATACCTATGAGGAGGCTATGATTGATTCAGTAGTACTCTTAGAGCCCTGAGATTTTTCATAAATCAAAACTAAACATAAGCTTAAATATTTAAAATGTTCGGGTGTAAATGGATTAGAAGGAAAGAGATTGAGAGGGATTGGGAGGAAAAAAAATATTTTACTATTTTTTTTTTTTTTTGAGTGAGAAACTTTCCACCAAAATTTTGGATTTGGACAAATACCTCTGAAAGATTACTTTAAAATAGACAACCATTCATACCCGAAATGAAGTGATCACATACATATATGTGTCAAGTATCTAAAAGTTCTAGATTGAAAATAAATGAAGAATGACGACATTAACCACTCCACTATTCATCTATATAGAACATGAGATATAATATAGTTTACATGAAATGATTAATAAGATGCCACTATATTTACCCAAATTAGCTACAATATGATGATCCCACTATGTTTTTCTTGAGAGTAGGGAACTTATAATATAATTCTTAATTTCTTATTTGCCCAAAAAATAATATAATTCTTATATATCAACCTATAAAGTATAAATCATTTACAAAAATTGCTTGTGTTAGTGTCGTGTGTAATATCCAAGTTCAAGCATGTATGATTTTTTTTTGTGCGAAATAGTCTCAAAGATATCGGTGGACCTGTGGTCTACCGACACATTGGTTTGGATTGGAAAGTGGAAACAACAATTCTCTATATATTAAAGCATAATTAAACAGAAGAAAAAAAAACTAGAAATTGGTTGAGATGTCGCAAGGAGAATGACCCTAAGATTTGTTTTATATTCCATATCGGGTCATGTTGTCACGTAAATTACACATAACGTTAATTTTTCTTAACATAAATTTGAGTTGTATGTTGCTAAATGCTAAGTGATAATTTTGGCCCAAACAAAAAGAAATCGCCATTTTCTATTTTTGTAAACTTGATAAGCTTATATCATATGATTGAAGTGCATTAATGGACGTAATATTCATTATCTTCAAAGATCTAACGTCATTTTCATGTAGTTGGATGATCTAGTTCGTTTACTACATATAAAAGAAAAAATCTTAGCAATTATAAGTGAATAAGAGTCCTAGTTAGTAGTTACTACTATTCAACACTTTTAGCTTTAACTACTACAACCTTCAAACACACACATTTTGTCGTTTTGTTTTATTTTGTCCTCGTAATCTTGTAAGCAGAATTTACCCACTTCAGTTTTTCTTCTTTTACACTACGATTTCATGATTATTGATTCCACAAAGTAAAAAAACATCATGATTTGGAAGTAAAATTGTGAATGGGCCTGGTCAATTAGGCCCAAACATTAATCCGCAAATAAGGAATTGTTTCCTTACTCAAACACTCTTTGTGATTGAGAAGGTTTCATGGGGCCCGTCGTGACCTATGAAAGTTCCCTCCATCACCAATCATTCGGCACAAAAATAATAATTAAATTTTTGTTTCCTTTATTTATTTTATTTAATAAATATTTTTATCGATCCCATTTTCTAAATCTTGCTTCTTCTCGTTCCTATATCCGTTTTTCGATTTAGGGCACCAAATTGAATCAAAATCTCCGCTCTTCCCAATTTACGAAACCTCACGAAAATCTTCTTCGGATTCTTAACCCTCTCTCTCAATTCTTCTTCCAGGGTTTTCGAATTGGGCACTGTTCTCTTCTTCTTCTTCTTCCTCCGTACGCATCCTTCTCCTTTTACTGTGAGTGTGAACAGATTCAAACACGCGATTTTTAGGGTTTTCGGAGTTCAATTTTCTTATCCTACTATTGAATTTGCATCGCGATAGCTGAATTTAAGATCCTGTGTTGTTTACTCAGTCGTATTTTCACAACAGCTGAATTACGCTTGCGTTGATTGGATCCTCGTTAGTTTTTTTTTTTTATATACTTTTGGATTTTTTTCTCGTTCTGAATCGTTTCCTAGACTTCTGATTTCCTTCTAGAAGTTTGTTTCATGGTTGCTGATTCATTGTCTTCTTGTTTCTGGATGAAAGTTTTGTTTGGGATAAACCTTGAAAGAATGAGAATTTCAATCTTACTTTGAATAATATGTAGCTTATACAGTAAATTCGTCTGGTGTTGCACCATGGTTAATAAGATTTATGTTTAAGTATTGTCTCCTTTGTTTAGTTTATAGAATTCTTCTTTTTTCAGGCTATTCATTTCTGTGCGTCGTTTATTCCCTCTCAGATTGTAAGCAGTTCGCGTCTTGTCGCCGAATGATATTTTGTCTCACGTGATTGTCAGTCAGTTCCTGCAATGTCAAACCTTCATGTACTGTAACCTTCCTTTTCACCCTGATCATTTATATTAGTTTTAGTGTGCTTAGGATAACGTTTGCTTAAATATGCGTACCATCCCTCCTCTTATCAACTCTTGTGTTCTTGTCTTTGCAGTCATCTCTCAATGGTTCAGCTTCGAATTTACCAGATGGGTCGGGCAGATCATTTACTGCTTCTTATTCTGGACAATCTGGTGCACCGTCTCCCTCTTTTCATCATACTGGTGGGTGTAATACTTATCTTGACCTCCTTCTGTATTTTGCGTTGTTCTGAACTTATGTAACTTCTACATTATTCGATTCGTCTTGCAGGAAATCTTCAGGGACTTCATAATATTCATGGGAACTATAATGTCGGGAACATGCAAGGTACACTTACATCAAGAAACTCAAGTATGAATAGTATACCATCTGCCGGGGTTCAACAACCTAATGGGGGTTTTTCCAGTGGAAGATTTGCTTCAAATAATCTACCTGTTAATCTATCTCAGGTGCATCTGGTTTGAAAATACTGTGAAAACAACTGGTCATGTTCTTAATCTTTGTCTCATATTATACGATGATTGTTTTGTAGATGTCTCACGGTAGCTCTCATGGGCATTCGGGAATCCCAAATAGAGGAGGTCTTAATGTTGTTGGCAACCCTGGATTCAATAGTACCGCTAATGGAGTTGGTGGTTCTATTCCTGGAATTCTCTCTACATCTGCAGGACTCAGTAATCGGAGTAGTGTTCCAGGGATGGGAATATCCCAATTGTTGGGAAATTCAGGTCCTCGGATAACAAATTCAATGGGAAACATGGTTGGTGGAGGTAACTTGGGGAGGAATATTAGCTCTGGTGGATTATCTATACCTGGTTTGTCTTCACGACTAAATTTGGCAGCAAATAGCGGATCAGGATTAAATGTTCAGGGACAGAACCGAATGCTGGGTGGAGTACTTCCTCAAGGTATATATGATTTTTCCAGTTCTTTCTATTTGCTTTCTTCAAAATTCTTTTGCGTGTAAGTCGATACAACTGAGCCTTGTTATCTTATTGTTATATTATTGTAAATAGAAAAGAGTATGAATTTTGCTTCATGGAGTACACCTTTTTTACTTTTATGACTATGGGTCTTTGGTATAGTAGCTAGGAAGTGATGTGGAAACTAAGTAAAGAAAGTAATTTGCTTATTGGCGACTTAAAATAAGTAGTCATTTAGGGAGGTTGGATTGATATCAGCAGTTGAACTTGTTTTGCTTTTGTAGTCTATACTTCTCTAGACTCACGTGAGTACTATATAATGTAGAGAAAGCAGACTGTATATTCATCTCACATACTTTGGGATTTTTTGGAGTTTGTAAGACGAACTTGTTTACTTTACACTTACAATCTTATTTACTGTATATTCATCTCACATACTTTGGGATTTTTTGGAGTTTGTAAGACGAACTTGTTTACTTTACACTTACAATCATTTACGTAAACATGCAATAAGTTAGCTGATTCCCTAAATGTATGATACAGGATCTCAGGTCATGTCTATGCTGGGAAACTCCTATCATGCTGGTGGTGGCCCACTTTCGCAGAACCATGTTCAGTCAGTTAACAATATGATGCTCAGTGATCACTCTAACGATAGCTCTCTTTTTGACATCAACAACGATTTTCCCCAGCTGACAAGTCGTCCTGGATCTGCTGGTGGCACTCAAGGACAACTAGGTAGTCAGTTTATCTGAAGATCTTTTGAAATTCATATACTTAATAGAAAATAAGTTTTTGAAAAGATTTTCCATATCATGTCTTGTTCCCTCATGCTCTTACGGTGATGTTTCCAGGCTCTTTGAGGAAACAAGGTTTAGGAGTCCCACTTGTCCAACAAAACCAGGAGTTCAGCATCCAAAATGAAGACTTTCCTGCTCTACCTGGATATAAAGGTGCTGGTCTTTGATTATCGATAACATTGTATTATATTGTGCGTAAAGTTGGGTCTTGCATATTTTATGTGGCAAATTGAGGAATATCTTCTCTAGTTTCCCCTATTGTGAAAAGTTTTTCCCTTTGCTATTCTCCAAAATCTCATGGAAGCCCGTTTCCAGATGTTCTAGATAGTTAGGATGTTCATAAACTTCTTAACTGCCTTCATATTATAGCTTATTGCATCAGAAAGATGATAAGATGTTCCTGACATTTGTGCTTCTTAATGCTGTAAACTAAACCTGCTAGATCATTCACAAGCGTAGTAGATTTTTTGCAGGTGGTAATTCTGATTATCCTATGGATTTGCATCAGAAAGAACAACTCCATGACAATGCTATGTCAATGATGCACTCTCAAAACTTTTCTGTAAGCTTTAGACTGTTTCGAAGTTAACAAAGTGTATGGTTGTTGATGTGAATTAATGTTTGGATAATTGCAAATTTGCAGATGGGTAGATCTGGTGGTTTCAACTTGGGAGCAACATATTCATCACATCGTCCACAACAACAGCCACAACATACTTCATCTGTGAGTGGCAGTCTCTCCTATCCCTATCTGTATACAAGCCAGAACTTTTCTCATTTGCATATCTCGTATATATAATATTATGATACTGCATCTTATGGTTGGGCCACACTTGTTCTACTACGTCTCTTATCATTAATTCTTATTTAATACCAGACTGGTGGGCTACAGGGTCTTGGCCTTAGACCTCTAAGCTCTCCCAATGCAGTTTCCAGTATTGGTTATGATCAGCTTATACAGCAGTATCAGCAACATCAAAATCAATCCCAGTTTCCTGTGCAACAGATGTCATCAATCAACCAATTTAGAGATTCTGAGATGAAATCGACACAGTCAGAGGCAGATCCTTTTTGCTTGCTTGGCTTGTTAGACGTACTAAACAGGAGCAACCCTGAATTGACCTCACTTGCTCTTGGCATCGACTTGACGACACTAGGATTGGATTTGAATTCAAATGGAAATCTTTACAAGACATTTGCTTCCCCTTGGACAAATGAACCGGCCAAGAGCGAGGTTGAGTTCACGGTACCAAATTGTTACTACGCCAC